CCGTCTGGGTTTCTTCCGGTGTCGCCAACCCTGCCGGTAACTCTGGCTGCCTTGGCATTGCTGTTCGCGCTGTTCAGATCACCGACCCCAACAGCTGCAGCTACACCTCTTAAGCGGTTGCTTGGCTTGTTTGATCTCTTCATCTTTCACACATTTCTCATCAAATTCGCATCGGTATTAAGGCATTGGGACTACCCGGGTATATCCATAGATGGCGAACATTTGCATTTGTGGCATAGCATTGCCATCGCGGTCACCCCGCTGATAGGACCTGTATATTGTACTGTAGAAGGGTTTGCCTTCTTTGAACATGGATTAATATGTCATTTTTCAACTTCACAATTTTTTCTTGCCTTTGTCAAACCGTGAATTTGCCGCACAATTTTGAATAAAATTTCTTATCATCCACTGGAGGAACGTATTACACGATGATATGGGAGTTGTTACTCTTGTGTTTTCACCCACAAGCAGCCCGCACTTGATTATGCCAGTGAGATTTGCCAAGTTGGGTTGCTCATCCTATTTCGAAGGATCCTCATAAGTGGACCATATATCAACCGCTAATCCAATCGGAGTAATCTTTTTATTTCTCTTCTCTCTTTTCTCCTCTCGCATTGCAACGACGTCGAAAATGTCCGTGGTAGGAGATTATCAGTCATTAGGATTGTCGTATGTTTCTACATTGCTCCACGCCCCTCTCCTAACCCTCCACGGCAGCGATGCCCTCCTTATCGCCCTCCAATGCGGCCTTATTGAACTCGGGATCGTTCGTCGGCAGCTCAACGTGCCATTTTGAAATCTGCGCCGCACCAATCTCGACCTCGCCGTCCGTACCAAACGACAAGATGTGCCCGCCCTGAGTCCGGTCCTCGGTAATGAAGTGCAGGTGATCGCCGGCGACGCTGATGCCCATGGTATACTCTGGCGACCTGAAGCCGACAACGGTGCCGCGCACCGGCTCCTCAAAGGTATGCGACGCCTGGTGCTTGCCGACCTCGACCAAGCCCTCGCCAGGCTTACTCTGACCTCCGGCCGTCCGCACCGTGATACCCTTGAACACGCCCTCGATCCTGATGGCCAAGAAAAAGTTTTTCGAGTCGGGGAAGTCTCGTGAGAGGTGCTCAAAAAGCTCCTTCTTGTTGCTAAATGCGGCCTTGATGGTTGCCGTGGGCTGGAAGCGGGTGATCATGGCGAACGGGGCGACAGCGTCGGAGGCGGGGCTTGTGTCGATTGGGGTCACGGTATTGTCTGACTTCATTTGGTAGAGCTTTCCGTCGAGGATGATCATCTCGCCGACCATGTAGCGAAAAGTTCCCAAGCCTTGGTTTCCGTGGGAGATGAGGTCTGAGACGGGCAGGCCCTTGGAGGCGACGCCGTCCATGAGGGCCGAGATGATGGAGTACTGGAATATTTCATTGACCGCCATGATGTCTTATGGTACCCGGTCAGGTCGTTCGTTTTCTTTGTGGTTAAAGTTGGATTTAAGTTTCAGTATACCGATACTTGGATAGAAAAGAAGATGAAGCCACACTGGTCAGGTGAAATGAGATAAGATGTTCACGGAGAGTGAGATGGTGAGTGAAGTGGTGAGTGAAGGTTTGGGGTTCTATTGAGTTTGGCCACGAAAGCGGCCCGCAATTGCTGACTGCTGGCTGCAGCAGGAGCGCACCTGCCCGCGCACCTTCCCTCCCGTCCGCCGGATCGGAGGCATCGGAAGGCCACGGAAGGCGGCTCCGGACCCAGCGACCTTTTCAGCGACGCACGGGAAGCTGCCATCAGGTGGCTCTTTCCTGGCGTTGATGGTTGAGTCATCAAGGTCATCACAGTGAGGTGGAAATGGAAGGCGCCGCTTTGGGTCCCCACTGCCCGGGGAGGGCGCTGACGTCAGTCGCACGGCATCACCTGCCACATCGCCGCCTCGCTCCTTCGGTCTTTGAATTGTTGTGGTTTTTGCTCCTCATCTCACCGATTGAGGGCCAAGCGCTAGGGAACTTTGCGGCATTTCAATCTCCACCTTGACTTCTCTGTCTCCGTCTCTCGCCGGTATCGTGATCGCGAGGTGTGAAGCTGAAGTTCTTGCTTCTGCTCCTGACCACTTGATCTTTTCGCATTCTCGAAGGGCCTCTGAAATTGACGCAAACAGCGTTCCTTATACCTTCAGCATTCCTGATCCAACCAGACTGGACCGGATCGAATGCATCTAATGCTTCACTTCTTTTCATCCTACTGAACTAAGCAGAACCTGAATTTCTGCATTGATTCGACACCACACGCAAACACATCTCACAATGTCTTTAGAAACGGTAGATGTCGTGATCGACTCTCTCGTCGCTGCCGGCGTAAAGCACATCTTTGGTGTTCCGGGCGCCAAGATCGACAGCGTCTTCAACGCCCTGATCGACCGCCCCGAGATCCAGCTGGTCGTCTGCCGCCACGAGCAAAATGCCGCCTTCATCGCCGGAGCGATCGGCAGGATCACAGGCCGACCCGGCGTATGTATAGCTACCTCCGGGCCGGGAACCAGCAACCTTGTCACCGGTCTCGTCACCGCCAACGATGAGGGTGCACCCGTTGTTGCGATTGTCGGCGACGTCAAGCGGGTGCAAGCTGCCAAGAAGACACATCAGAGCCTGAGGGGCGTCCAGCTTCTCGAGCCCGTCACCAAAAAGACCACTGGCGCCGTGCATCCGGATCAAATCTCAGAGATCATGCTCGATGCCTTCAGAACCGCCACGGCGTATCCGCAGGGTGCAACAGCTATCAGCCTACCAATCGATATCATGACAGTCGGAACCAAGACGTCCATCCCTGCGCTGCCCCCAAGCGCTTTCACACCACCCCAGTATGGCACATCACCGTCAGCATCACTGAGCAGGGCGGCGGCCATGATCCAAAACGCAAAGTTCCCAGTTCTGTTCCTCGGGTCAAGGGCAGCGACACCGGACGCCGTCGAAGCCGTCCACGGTTTCCTCCGCAAGCACCCCATTCCCGTTGTCGAAACCTTCCAAGCCGCCGGATCAATCAGCCAGGAGCTCGCCCATCTCTTCTACGGCCGCATCGGCCTCTTCCGCAACCAACCTGGTGATAAGCTACTCTCCCAGGCCGATCTCGTCATCGTCGCCGGCTACGATCAGTCCGAGTATGATGCTGACGCCTGGCACAAGAGCCAGAGCCTTGAGATCTTGCATCTGGACTGGATCCCCGCCGACTACGGTGCCTTCTACAACCCGAAGCTCGAACTCGTGGGCGCTATCGCCGCCAACGTCAAGGCATTGAGCGATATCTTGGCCAATGTCTCTCGTCCGCAGGAATCCGAGGTAGCAAAGACCATCTTCACAGAGTTCCACGCCTGGGAGCAGAGTCCCCAGGCTCTCGGCCAGACCGGCGATGGCCCCGTGCATCCTCTCTACTTCATCAAGCACATGCAGGGCCTGCTCCCTCCGTCGACAACTCTGGCATCGGACGTCGGCAGCATGTACATCTGGCTCTCACGCTTCTACTTCGCATATAGCCCCAAGTCCTTCCTCGTCTCCAACGTCCAGCAGACTCTCGGAGTGGCTCTCCCATGGGCTATTGGAGCCTCGCTGGCCCAGGAGCCGCCGTGCTCCAAGAAGGTCGTAAGCATCAGCGGCGACGGCGGGTTTCTCTACAGCGGACAGGAGCTAGTAACGGCCGTCAAGCAAGGGTGCAACATTACGCATTTCATCTGGAACGATGGAAAGTATAACATGGTGGAGTTTCAGGAGGTCGACAAGTACGGTCGCAGTTCGGGCGTCGACCTGGGTGGGGTCGACTTTGTCAAGTATGCCGAGGCGTTTGGCGCCAAGGGATTGCGCGTCAGTCGTTCATCGGAACTAGAGGCCGTCATGAAGGAGGCGTTGAGTTACCAGGGAGTCTGCGTTGTCGACGTTGAGATTGACTACTCTCACAACCACGAGCTTATGAAGAATGTCATCCAGGACAATATTAGTTAGAGTTTTGTAATCGGTTTAATAGTTGTAGGAATGTCAGACGGCCGTCGTTGCCAAGTCTGCGGGTTACTGTCTCGCAGAAGGAACCAACAAAAGTTTACTTTCCCCAGATGTTGCTCAATTGGAGGGACGATAGAGCGTCTAACAAACCCATGCTGGCTGCACGAAATGTAAATGATATCTCTTGGCGACGATCGAGTGTTACAGGGACGCATCGTTCACAATCCGCTCCATGTCGTCTTTTCTCGGCTGCTCCGGAACACACTCCCGGGACCACGATCTAGGTTCCCGTCACTGGACGATCCAGCAGGGCAAGGAAGATTGACTGAACAAAACAGCAGGCATCAGCTTTTTCGAAAGATTGCCGAGCTCTTCAGATCGCGTCTCGACCATTAGAATCCTTTCCCCTGGCGCCATTGCAGACTGCGATTGATCGCTCTTGCTTGCCAAGGAACTCGATGCCTCGGGCTTTGCAATGTCATGCCGGATTGTTCAAGTCCAAGGCACGATGCAAGTCATGTTCAAAGGGAGCTCCTCACCTCCCCTGAGTCTCCTCCTCATGACAGTCCTACGATTCCTCAGGGTCCTCAGGTCAACATCCGCCCGCACGGATGCCTCCAAATGGGCCTAAATGGGGAACGCTGGCGGAGGGAAGACGAGGTTGACCCACGTTGCATCGGGGCTTGTGGAGTTTCAATGCTGCGGCACGGCAAATGATATCATGATCTAAGATAGAGCCAACATCTGCAATAGGATCACTCCTATCAGTATCCGACAGTCGGATACTGTTCGAATCTACATGTGCACTAAGAACGGCATGAATGCAAGAGAGAGACTCCCAGTGGGGAAGCGGGGAGAATACATGATCTACGGATGTGAAATCCGTGCCGAGCACCGACCCTTGATTTCTAAGCTGGGTGAACCATGTTTGGCTGCTTCCCCGTAAACTCCGCCGGGAGTTCAGAGAGGCACAGAGTGATGAGCCAAGCATACGAGTGAGCGGGGTTATTCCCCCCTCTCTCAAGGCTGGGGGAACAAGTTGCACCACGACATCGGTCTTTCAATGGTGCAACTCTCCGACCTCACTGTGTGTTAATGTTGCATTGGTAATCAATTATCAACACTCGATTCCTTCAAATACGCACCAACTTCACCATCGCCAACCAACAGGCCCCCATATCTCCCAGCAGAAAGCCAAGAAGCCTAGTTCTTAACTCCCCGACAAACACATTTAGCAGCTTTCCATTTCATCAACACAGACCTGTATCAGAAACCGAATCCTGACAATGTCTTCCGCCGCCCCCAAGATCAAGTTGTACACCAACCACGGCTGCCCATGTACGTGACATCCATCTCCAGCCTAATCCTCGTTCTTCCTTTTCGTCTTTTCGCATTCAACCCCTCACTCTCTTTCCGCGTAACCACCTACCCCAGAGAGCCACGTGCAGAATTGAGCATGAAGACACACAATCACACCCCTCATGAAGTCTCACGACTCAAACCAGCGCACCACCCTCAAAATAATAAGATTCAATGAGCGCAAAGAAAAGGGGGAAAGATCCATAGCTAACCCCAAATCTCAGGGGCTCACCGTGCACACATCGCCCTCGCAGAACTCAACCTGCCATTTGAGGAAGAAATCATCGACCTCTCGGTGCCCCGCACAAAAGAGTACCTGGCCATCAACCCGCGCGGTCTCGTCCCCTCCATATCCTACGACGGCGAAATCATCACCGAGTCCGCCATCGTCAGCCAGTTCCTCGCCGACGCGCACCCTTCCCACCTCGTCCCCGCCCCGGGCACCAAGGACGCCGCGCTCACCCGCGCGCGCATCAACTTCTTCGTCGACACGTACTTTAGCAAGGCCAACTCATCGCTGTACAAGCTGCAGCTGGCCAAGTCGGAAGCCGAGGTGAATGAGATCGCGGCTGGGTTCATTGATGTTATCGCCAAGGAGGTAGAGCCGCTGTTGAAGGATGCGAAGCCGTACTTTGGCGGGAGTGACAAGGTTACTTTGGCCGAGGTTCTCACTGGATCATTCACGCTGAGGCTCTTCTCGTTTGCAAACTACGAGCTCATCCCGAAGAGCATCCTGACTTCGCTAGAGGAGAAGGCCCCTAGCTTCTACAAGTGGGCGCAGGTCGTCAACAGCACACCCAGCGTCAATGGTATTTACGATGAGAAGAACGTGGTGGAGCGGACTAAGCACCGCATCGCTGCTATGAAGGCTGCGCAGGCTTGACAGGAGGCTAGCCGACTTTGATGGTGGCTGCGTGAACAGCTGTTATTCATCAGGCTTCTTCGGGAAGTTTTACCAATCTCATGATATTAGCGTTACAAGTTACTTTTGAATATCACCTCACTTTGAGTTGTCAATGCAACCCATGCCCCTAGAAGACATTAGGCGAAAAGGTTAAAATTTACGAGATGTGGCTGTACAGCCCCTGAAGTCTGCTCGTACACTGGCGATTAACCCACAGGAGTGACAGTATTTGACCCCCCAGAGCAGTGGAGGTTGACAGTATCTTCTCACGGGTATGAAGGATTCACATTCTGATTGGATGGCGCCCAAAGTCTCCCTCTTCGCTCTATAAATCCGAGGAATAAGAGCAAACAGGATGTCCTTGTTGGCCACTGTACTTTGCACCTGCCCACACAGATCTCCATCATCGAGATGGTTGCCTGCAATCGAGGGAACAACCTGGGCGGGATGAAGTCCGATCTCTCTTGCAAGCCTGGACCCACGGCTGGTCTGCCTGACTGTGCTTTGCTTCGATGAGTTACAGGACGACAACTTAGTTCCGGCAGGCAAAAGGATGGACAGGGTGCTCGTATGATGATGGCTCTTCTCCGGCCTTACTACTAGCTTTGTGAAGGCTCGTACAACTTCAAGTTTGCTGTACACTGCCCAAGCAAGTTGCAAGAGGAAGGCAGTAATTCCAAGGGCCGAAGAACGCAGCAGGGCAGAAAATTACGTGCATATTAGTCAAAGAGGTCGCTACAGATTGGATCTCACGTCACACAACTGTCAATGCTGCATTCGATCGTGGTTTCGACACAGAAATCACACCATGCTTTTTGACAACCGTTGAGATTTCAGGTGTGAGATTTCACCTCATCCACGCTCGAAATTCGTCGCAAAACCCGCAGCGGAACCCATATCGCCCGAACGGAGATATAAACCGATTAGGAGTCCCTCCGAACTGAAGATTCAAATCTTCGGCTCAACAGAGTGCTTGGATACAGATTGTCTCCCACTTACCGGCGGGAGACTCGAGAAGGACGGATGTGTCTGTTGAGAGGATCAGATCAGATTGACCAAAAAGGCTCTATAGATGGTGTGTAAGATTTTGATTCTAGAAGAAACAAAGAATACGAGATGAAGGGCCGAGTACATTGAGAAGCTTTTGCTGGTCTTTTGCTGGTGGTGTGTTCTGTTCACTCGATTGCCACGATTAAGTCAACTGAGCCACCCTTCCAGATGAAATCTGATTAGATTATTAGTAGGCAATATCCAAATTATTCAGTCTGGCACCTGACCAGTATCTGCCGTGGCGGGGGAGATTGTGGAGGCTGCTCAACCGCTGTCAATCAAGTTTTGAGTGAGGCAGGCAGATAGACCAGTACGCCAACTTCGAAGCACCGTTGGGATCACCTTAGGCCCAACATGCTCGTCAGAAACGGCATCTGAGAGGGTGGAGAGATCCGTAGAGTTCGAGAACAGACATGAGGAGCACAGAGAAAGGCGGGAGTGTGTGAGAGAAAGAGAATGGGCGGAGTCTAAATAGAGTTTGGCTGCTTAGACTCAGAAGAGACAACCACAGACCAAACACTTTCCTTCCCCCCTCATATAACAGCTTTTCTGCAACAAATGTGGCTGAATTGGGCGAATGAGAGGGCGCTGTATATGTTGGCCAGCCCTTCTCGAAGGCGGCTTCGAAACACTCGAGCTGTGTGAAACATCACAGCGTATATCCCGGAGGACCAGCCGGTTAGGGACAAGGGTCGCGGGGGGCGGGGAACCATGGGCCGAGCCACCGAGTGCTTCGCACTAGCTGCACAGTATGGACTAGAACCTGAACGGTCCTTTTCGTTTCCCGCCCAAACACGGACTCTGTGGCCCCGCAGAACGCAGGTTGTCAAGGGTAGATGATGGAGCGAGAAGGGAAAACAAGATAAAGAGGTGGACGAGAGGGTGGACGCGAAGACAGAAAGAGGAAAGCCGCACTGATCGCTTTGATGGACTTTCTCCTGATCGGCTCAATAGTTGGGAGATGGCGCGATGGACCTGGTCCCGTGAAACATGACAACCGACACCATGGTTGCTTGAATCTGCCGCTAGAACTCTAAGATTTTCCACTGGTGATGCAGCGGCGCGGGTTCAAAGGCCGAGAGCTGCTGGGGGGACGTTTGCCAAGTCGAGTCCATACATATTCTTATGCCGGTAATTAAGTGCTTCCCATGCCCGTGCTACCTACTGTCTGGGTAGATCTCTGCTCATTGAGCTTGGTGTCCGTACATATCCGTATAGCCTAAGGCGCGGAGGGAGAGGAAGCTAGGAGGTGAGGGAGGGAGGGCATCGACAGACACAAGGCCAATCAGCTCGCAGGCGCACAGAACATGGCGCGCACACTTGCACACCACTTCCTCGACCTTTCCATCCCATCCACAAAACCTCGCAACACTTGGACGGGAGGTGCTCTTGCAGCATTGCAGCAGCAAAAAAGTGAGGGGAGAGAGACGAGGGAGGGAGCTTTGTCCACCCGGAGCCCCCCTTTGACGTATTTTCCCGGGGTGTGGTCATTCTTTGCATCTGAAGCAAAGACCAGTTATCCTTGGTGTGTCGAGATCCATGGGGCAAACGCAACGAACGGGTCCCCTTGGGAGGAAGGGGAAGGTTGATAACGTTGTCCTATCCCACCTCGTCAACCAGGGCTTGTGATGCATCTCCAACGTCGTCTCCACTGCCACCGAACTCGAACCTCCAGGGGTTGGCTATTTCAACACTCGTTCTCGGAAGATCTTGAGTTACATGCGCGCCCGGTGCGGCGACTTGGCGACCTTGGCCCTTGCCAGTACCGAGCAACTACGTCCATCCGGACACATACAACTCGCGTTAGACGGCCAGAGCTATATGGAGCTGTGAAAAGCCGGGGGCAGAAAAACAGAAAGCAGCTGATACTTCGTCTCGGATTTTCGATATGCGGCTATCAACATCGTCAGCGGCCTCTCTCGGCCTGCTATGGATCACATTTGCTATGTCGTTCGTCGGCGCCGTGGGAACAGCCGGGGAGGAATACTTCGCGGGTGAACACGTTCATTTGATTGCGAGGCAACAACTACCTGATCTTAGCAACATATCGACATGCGGCGTAAGTTCATTTCAATGTTGGAGGCTCTTTTTGCGCGGTTGCTTTTCCGGAATGAACCCACTTTGGCTAACACTCTGCACCCAGTTGAACTGCCTTGTCCAGGGTATCGCAGGGGTCGGATGCGACCTCACGAACACGACGTGCTCGTGTGCGAGCACTGGCCTGGGTCAGCTCGTCGGCCCATGCTTGATTGCGAACTGTACCATGCAAGACTCCCTAGGTGAGTAAAGTCATGAGAATTGTGATGATAACACAATGCTCTGGGCATGAGGAAAGGGAGTAGAATACTGACCAAGCGTTCCAGATGTCGCGAAGCTACAACAGACGCAGTGCAACCTACCTCACGAGTCTGACACTGGGAAAGTCCTCGCCATTCTCATCACTGTCTACGTTACGGCTGTCATTGCGATTGTCTTGCGACTTATTGCGAAGAATCTTGCAAAGACTTGGAGTCTAGACGACGCGTTGATCATTGCGGCTATTGTCATTGCGATTGCCCCCGTGTCTGCAATCATTCTTAGTGAGTTCGGTGGAACCAAATGCTCAGATAAGCGACTAACTGTCAACAGTGTCAACCCTAGGATTTGGCAAGCATCTCTACGATCTCAAGTCGGGTGGTTTGCTTCAGATCCTGCGTCTTTGTAAGTCAATGCCATTCTCATATCGAAGCAATTCCAGCTGACGTCTTGTAGTATACGCCGCCGAGATTGTCTACGTCTTTGTACTCTTATTCGCGAAGTTATCGCTCGTCGTCTTCTACTTGCGAATTTTCACGGTCCCAAAGTTCCGCATCGCTGCGTACACTCTGATCGGATTTCTCGTCGTCGGCCAGGTAGTCATTGGCTTTCTGACCATCTTCTCATGCCACCCGATCGAACTATTCTGGAACAAAGACAACCATACCGGTGCCTGCCTCGACGTCAACCAATTGGCCTACGCGAACTCTGCCTTGGCTATCATCCAGGACTTGCTCATCCTCGCCCTTCCGATAGCGATGCTTCCAGGCCTGCAAATGAACCGGAACAAGAAAATCTCGGTCGCCATGGTCTTCCTTCTGGGATCCGTCGGCTTCATTTCAACCATTATTCGTCTTCAGGTTCTGGCAGTGTTTGGTAACTCCATCGACCCGACGTGGGACTACGCGCCCGTTGTGTGGTGGACGACTATCGAACTAGGCGTCGTTGTCGTGTGCGCTTGCGCGCCCATGATTCGTAACCTGGTCGAGAAGAAGTTCCCTGGCTTCGCGCTGTTTGCGAGATGGACCACCCCGAAGCCATCAAAAGGCAGTAGCCCCTCCTCAGACGGCAGCGTGGACAAGCCGACAAAGGCTGCTGGGAGATATCAGAGGTTTGGGCGGAGTAACAGCCCACCTCAATTTAGCGACAACTACGTCCGCGACTACATCACGAGCCCCAAGGGCCCTCCTGTCCTACTAAAAGACGACCAGACGCCGTTGCGTAAGTACCGAGACATGTACGCGTACGGTGGATCCAAACCCAAGGTGCTCGAGCCCTCTTCGCCGCCGCCTCAGCCGTACGACCTGTCATGGAGGTCGATGAACCCATATGGAATTCCCAAAGATGATCTCGAATCAGGCATTGGAAAGACGAATTATAATCTTGATATTGAGATGCTGGAAAGGAAAGGCAGGGACGTGTTGGTGGAACAGAAGGAGCTTTGCTCTCTCTGCGGAAGAGAAAGCTGTAGTCACATGTAACAAAACTGTTTTCTGTCCGTTAAATAGATATCCATTTGTTTAGACATGATAATTGTTGCTTTACCACTTCTTCAACAACTCGTTCTCGTTACTCCCCGTCTTATTCGGAGATGGTTCCGAAAAGACCCATATTTCAACCGGACGTGCTTCCGGAGCGGCCCGAAACGGACCGGTCTTGACAGTGACATTTTCAGCTGACCAGCCACATAATTTGCGTGCAGCACAAGAAAGCCACAAGACTCAAAGATACGGACCGCATCCATCGTAATCTTCTTATCACGGAATAATTGACGATTGCAACCTCAGTAGATAGGCCATGGCTTACCGCCACAATTCCTATCTGTTTGTTGAAGACCTCACTACCCCGGTCCCCTTTCTCTTAAAGCCCAACTAATGCCGCAGACAACGCAGGATCCGAGTACCGCAAGAGTCTACTACAGACAACTCGTGGGAAAGTCTACAACGTTCATCTGCTTTGACGTCGACACACAAACAATGCACAAGCATTGACCGAGTTTCGCCACTTCCCGCAACAGTGTGCACCTCCAGCTCACTAATCCAAATCAGGAGCTCTCCGAAGCTTGAAGTGTCCCAATCTGGACAGAAGCCCGCGTCGCAGCTTCGCCTCACAGCTCTTTGCGCGAAACGAGAAACGATGCGCGCATCCTCACTCTCTTTGAGCCTGCTCAAGGCACCGCTCGGTCTTGTAGCCCTGTTACTGGTCGCCTCAGCAGTCGGACATGACGATGGTGATCTTCAACGGTACATGACCTTGGAAACATGTCCGCCGCTGAAGATTGTCAATGGTATCAACTTCACCACGCGAGCGTACTAGATGCGTCAGGCCAACCTGGCTCTGCCCAACCCGTGCCCGTTCGCGGCCTTTGGCTCAGCGATTGTGAACCACACTACCGGCGGCTTGGGGGAGCTGGTCTGCACCGGCGCCAACAATAATGCTGGCACAGGGAACCCGACTCTGCATGGTACCAGAAATCTCACACAACCCAACAAAGCTTTTTCCCCATTTTTCAAGGGTTTTGCTGATCATGAAGCAGGGGAGATGGCGGCCATTGACAACTGCTCGGCAATCTTTGTAGATCCCCAGGGTTCATACCGGATGACGCCGGCCCAGACCCTGGCCGCCTTTGCCAACCTGACCATCTACACCAACGCCGAGAGCTGCCCCATGTGCGCATCGGCGGTGCACTGGGCTGGCTTCAGGGAATACGTTTTTGGCACGAGCATCGAGACCCTCACGGAGGAGGGATGGGGCCAGATCCAAATCACGTCCAGGGACGTCTTCCGGCAGTCCTCGGGCTTACCCCGCCGAACAAGGTTGCTTGGTCCGGTCTTGACGAACGAGACGGACCCCTTCTTCAGTTGGCAGTTTAATGCGGGTGCGCCCTGTCCGCAGGGCTGCTCTCGGGGCGGAAGCGCAGGCGGTTGTCTTCCTGCATGATGGGGTCGAGGTGCGCTCGGCTTGGGTGGAATTAGGTTGCGGTTATATTCCCAAGAGTCCCTCCAACTGAAGCAACGTCAACGGACTTTTTGTAAGAGAACCTTGTGATCTATTGGTTTCATGTTGTTTGCAATCTTCAGCACTTGCGTGTCGCTTGCTCTAGTTGGCTTTTTCCTTGATTCTTGACATGGGATGTGCGAGCCGAGGTTCATTGCCAAAGTTGTCAGACTGGATAGGTTGACAATATGCTTGATGCAAGAGTATCATTGTGAAAAGATTGCACTCGGGAGAGGAAGTCAATCTTTAGTAAAACGCAATGAAACGTCGGCTGCGAAATATCTGCACATGCAGGAACAAAAACGAAAAAATAAACACACCCATCAGAGAGCCTCCTGAGACAGAGATCCAAGCGATGAGCTGATAACATGACTGACCCCCACCCGATTTGAACGGATAACCTTGAACGCAATCGCGAGTTTCGCTTACGAATTCCGCGATTACACGAGCAAATTGTTAGACGGCGGGTAGACGATCTGGTATTTTGGGAAATAGCAACTTTTATCGCCTATACGTGGGATTTTTAGGATTTCGAATAAAAAAAAACAAATGCTAAAGCCACTTGAAGAAATAATAGAGAAAAATTAACTCAAAGGTACTTTCTTTCCTTAGAGATTATCTAGCGTTGCTAATATATTAGATATTTCTTAAGATATGAAATCTAGACGTCTACAGGGCGTACTGGGCAAAAAGCTGACCCCCACCTGATTTGAACAGATAACCTTTCGATGGCAACTCGAAGACCTGGAGGATCTCGATCTGGAGTCGAACGCGCTACCGTTGCGCCAGAGGGCCGATGAAGACAGAAGTGATTATCGTGAGCTCAAGTGGGCAGTTGCCGTGGGCCTCGTCTATTCGGGCGAGGGCTAGACCCGCTCCTTCTATCCTTGTTGGGCAGAGTCTTCAACAGCGGTGGGGTATCCGGAGCCCTCCTCAGCTCGCTTCTGCGACCCTTTACAGAGCAAGTTAGTACTCGTCACAAGGTATTGGAGTTGTCTGCATTATGACCGACATTGTTGTAGGTGTGATTTGGCTTAGGATAATTGCTCTGCTCTTCCGTGTAAGTTCCATGTAAGCAACATATATCCAGGCTTAGCAAACCTGCAGAGAATGTCAGACCAGATGTATTGTTGTAGACGAAGCCTGAAAGACTCGAGTCAGACACTTTGCTTGAAAACGAAGGACCAAAGCCGAACAAGTCAAGAAACGTCTTTTCAAGTATGAGTCCTAGTAGTTGAGGCAAAAAAAAAAAATCTTATGTGGAAAGATGAAGGAGTTATATCTCTTATGAAGGCCTGATAGGACTGGATTGCTCATCTCTGGACCCATCACTGACATCGAGTTCATGGCTTGTGAGATTGTTATTCAGTTTTACTTGCCTTTCATTACCGAGCACAAATCACCCCAATCGGTCCGTTGATCCACAAAGATGGAAAACACAGGCTGCCCCTCCAACATCCTCGTCTCCATCCCAAGTCTCAACACGACCGGTCTATCCTCAACCCGCCTACTAGAACCAAACGCAATTCTCGTCTTCATCACACCGCGCTCACTACCAAGCTGGCGCAACTTCACAAAGTCACCGCTCATTGCAGTATTCAAGATGTTTCTCGTCTCGTCACTAGCAGCCGCAAGACGCACCCACGGATTGGCACCACCGCCGGTAAAGCCACAAGCGACGATGAAGTTCTGGTCAGCCGTACCCGAGGTCCTGTACTGAACGTATCCGTCAAATGTGTCAAGCCCCTGCGTGATAAACATGCGCCGGGACGAGCTCCACATGCCGTCGGGCCGGGCCTTGACGAACTCCACCTGTGGTGGCGTGGGCGGGAAGCAGAAGGCGTTGCGGTAGATGGAGTTCATGTTCCCAGCGAGCGTCTCCGCTACGTCTGGCTCGAGGAACTTGCTGATGAACATCACGTGCTCAATGCCCGGTGCGCTGTGCTCTAAACTCCAGAGGCGGCCGGTTTTTCAGCGGAGGAAGACATTACCGCCTTGGTCTCTGAGAAGAATCCCGAGGTGACGACGGCCTGGGTCGTTGGATCTATGGCAGCGGAGGCTTAAGAAGTGCGCGCCGTCGGGCATCAGACTCGTCTCAGCTGTGATTTTCAAGCCTTTGTTTGTGATTGCGTACTTTTGAAGTTGGTGTCAGTTTTTGGACCATTATACAGCTGACTTGATTCAGATAAAAGTTGGAGGCATGGTCACAAACATACCTCGGGGTTATCCCATCGAGTGCTGCTTGACGCCATTTTTGCCAAGCCCCCCAAATACCCACTATTTACCCATTATTACCCCGCATTCGAAGGGGTACTTAACGATACGTCACTTACCCTGCGTTCTTTTGCCTATTACTACTACTATTACTTCCAGTTTGATTGATCCTATGATATCTTCTAGTGATTCTGATACCTCTATTACATCTAATACTCCTATTACTTCTATACGCAGCTATATAGTAGTTGAGGTCCTTCCAGAAGACCTTACTACTACCTGTAATTAGATTATACGCCCGAGCGCTATAACGTAGCGATAGTCCGGCCCCGCGAACCTCCGGCTACTAAGTATGGTCTTCCGGGCTCCTTCCGGCCCTTTGACGTACCGGCCCGGGCCCAAGGGGTACAGGGGCTGCCGGTAAGCCCGCTTAAACTATTCCTTTAATACGTTCTGCAGAGCCTCGTAGAACAGTAGGCATAATAGACAAATACGGCGCCCTTATCTAAGGAAGGCCCTAGGGCTAGAACCTCTAGAGCAAATAAATAGAGGAAGGCTTTAGCCAATAAGATCTACCTCTTTTTAAGGATCTTATTGTATATAGGGATATATAGGGAATCTAAATTATTAACCTACTGGTTAACCTAGCAGGAGAGGGAGGATCCCATCCACCTATTTACGCAGTTTATATCCCGGGACCGTTTTCAACTACTACTCCAGCAACTACGGATATTTAACACTGCTGAATTCCGGCCTAGCCAGCCAGCCCAGCCTAGCCAGCCCAGCCAGGGCCGGGGCCGGGGCCGGGGCCGGGGCCAAGATCAAATGCCAGATGTATACCGGAAGGTTAACCAGTAGCTAGCCTATATCCAAGAGACTAGGGATTCTCTTTATATACCTAGTTTAGACCTTATAATCGACGAGGCTATAGTCCGATTTACAGGTCGATCTCTTGAGATAACAACGATTCCAACGAAACCTATCCTAACTAGCTATAAGATCTAGATCCTTACCCAGTCTGGCTACTATATACGGTGGCTGTGGCACGTACAAGGAAAGGGCCCATACGCATTAGTCCCCCAGGCCCAGCCTGCCCAGCCCAGCCCAGGCCGGTTGGCTAGGCCTGCTGGGCTAGCTGCTGGAAAGCTGGCTCTGTTGACACCAACGCAGCAGGTAGTAACTACCCTTATTTCCCTACTTCCAGCTGCAACCTACCATGTATTTCTTAACAACCTCTTCGCCTCTATACGTCTCTTTCGTACCCTGAGGAATTAACAGATTAGAGCTTCTAGTACCTACCGGAAGAATAGTGGGATAGATAAGATCTTAGTTACTAAGAAAGAGACTAAAGGACGGGGTATCCCCTAGGGCGAAATACACTATATCCCTACTTTAGATAGGGAGGTAAGCTACTAGCCCGCCCAACCCTACTCAGCCTAGCTAACTAGGAACTAGGTCAACCAATTCACCTCGAAGGATAATGCCCTCGTACTCTTCCTATCAACTGTCTTCCAGGACGGCTAGGAAGTTATTTGTAACCGCCGCCGCCCAGCGGGGGATACTATTACTAAAAAGGCTACCCGGCAAGTGTTTAGCCTAGACGTCCGCAAGGACCTTCTAGTGCCTAGGGCAATCGATGAGTATAATCACAAGATGAATGGGGTTGATATGAGTAACTAGATAAGGTCCTACTATCAATACAGCCACCCTATTCGTGTTACGCCCGCCGCAACTTGTCACTGTGGGCGCGTAGCTATATATGCAGAACAAGGGACAATGATGACCGGAGTCATCATTATCGAAGCTTTTGCTTTGTGCCACAGTTGGTTGCCTTGTCCAGCTCGTAACAATTCGACGAGGAGGTTACTCGAATTAGTAGTTATAAATAGCTTTTTACTACAGCTCTAGGGCAGCCCTAGGTAGTAGAAGGTAAAGACCTATTACCGCTAGTAGTAACTAATTACAGCACAGCTTATCTAGTAGTTTAGACCATTAGCATAAGGGCGGCAGAGGTCACGGCCTAGACAGGCTATAGATAAAAGGAATACCTCCATCCCATAGGAACACCATATAAAGGGGTTATGGAAGGTTAACTCCCCTTATTCTTATTATAGTAATATAAAGGTATTAAGGGCCCGCTAGATGCTAGGTAAAATATCTAGGAATGGAATCATATAACCGCATAGATACACGAGGAAGGGCTGTTTAGACTGTAACGTACCCTTATATATTCAAGGGGATTATTGGTACCTCTGGCATACGCAGAATATATACGCCATTTAGGTACTATAACCCTATTGGTTAACTCAATAGATTCACAACTCCTGATTGGCTCTACCCCGCCCTTGGCAAAAATGGCGCCAAGCAGCACTCGATGGGATACTTGATCTCGCTGCTTAGTACGATATCAATTGCGGTTTCGAAAACCGATGGCGACATGGCCAAAATTCCGAAATAGCCCAATGGAGAGTCAGTCGGAGCAGACCAAGCAAAGATTGACAAGTCATTGGTCTCCTTAATAATCTCTTCCTGAAGTCGGATGAACGCCCTGTTCCCCTCGCCGTAAAGAAGTGGCATCTTAACTCCAAAAACACCCAAGAGACAGTACGCCAAATCCTCTTCTCTCTTGGTCGTGCGCCCAGATGCCCAAGACATTCTTCTCGCAACGGGTATTGTCGTCAAAAGGCCTTCGACTCTCCCGCTTCCTGCCACGAGTATGCTTTTGTCAATATTCGTGCGTTCTTGGATGATGTCGCATAGATCGGCTTGACTTCCAATGTAGTTCCAGTCCTTGTCAAAGAAATCAACGCGTGTGGGGGCGATCAACTCCTGTAAAGTCCACCCGCGAGTGAACCACTGGGACTGTTGAAGTGACACCCCGTCGACGCCCACATCCGACAGGTACGCATAGCAGACTGAGGATCGCGCGTACCATTTGAACATGGAATTGATGGCTTCCGTCAGCTCTGTGAAGTCCTGTTTGTTGATGCAACAAGTATCCACCCAGGCATATTTGTAACCTTGCTGCAGCGCAAGGCGACAGAAATACTGAATCTTTCTCCATCCTTTCTTTCGCGCTATCATATCAGGTTTACCAAAATCTTGGTAAGTAGCCTCATCATGATCGGCCTCCCATCGGTGGGGAAGGATGTGTCGCAGCGCCACACGTGGCGCTACCGGTTACTGCCGTACGATACCGCTTTCCACAAGCCGATTACCCGTCTTGTACGGTATATCCCATCGAGTGCTGCAAGGCGACAGTACATTGGCTCCACATAACGGGCCCCCTTTTACCCCGCACCGCATCTGGTACATCCACTGCTTGAGTTGCCCCTATGATTTCCACTCCGGTACATCTACCAAATCCATCATTACCAATACTCAATTAATGGATTCTGACGATTCTGACGGATCTGGCCGTTCCACGGGCTCGGCGAAGTCGTGTATCTTTGCCCTGCTGCCCGAGGACCTCGCCGCCGCCTGCACTGCCGACTGTACGCCGGAGCAATGTGATAATGCCACTGTTCGGCCCCGCGAGCCTCCGGAGGTTGAGCCCGGTATCCCTGGGAAGTACACGAGGATGGGCTGCCTCGAGTGCGATGTAGCTCTCTGTAACTCAGAAGATTGCTGGTACCGATTTCATACGCAGAATCTCTAGTAATTGGAAGTATCTATTATCAATTACGTTGGTTGGTTGGAAAAAGGGGCCCGAAGTGGCCCGATTGGCTGCTCCCCCGCATCTCAATGTACTGTCGCCTTGCAGCACTCGATGGGATAGATATGACCCTTATACGGATCTTCTATTTAGAGGAATTAAGCCACTTTCTACTATACATGTCTTCTACTTGCTACCTCGCTGTTACGGCCAGCTAGTCGTAGGGGTAGTTTGCAGAAGTTGAGGCTGCGGAACTGGTAACAGTAATCGTAGTCGTGGAATAGTTTCAAGGAAGCTATGTCTGTCAATCGTAAGGGTAGGTAAGGCTTCGGTGATCAATCGTAGTCTTGTCAAGGTAGTAGCTGAAAGCGGATGTTAATCCTGATACGAAGTTAATTGCTGAAGAGCTATGGAAGTCTGTCCTAGAGTCCAGCTCAAGTCCATCCTTATATCCAAGTCCTGATCCTGAACATGTCCCTTGTCCCTTGGGTCGTCTTGGGTCATTCTGATCCAGAATGATCGTTTAGCCCCCAATTGATGATGATGATGATGTATTTAACGTCTGGTAACAAAAGGACGTGCCGGGCGCTATGCCGACATGGTCTATGCTAATCTAAACTATGTTATAGGCTACCGTCTTCACCTAACGTTCCTGTTCACTGACTCGGGCAAATTTCGGAAAAGAAATTGGTCTCCTCTATCCATTTGCATAGAAGAGAGGCTCCCTTAGCAGAACCTAATAAGAAATCAATGCTTGCTTTGGCTATACGTTGGCGGAGGTAGCGCGGTGTAGCCTTGCGTCTACGCTTGCAGAAGTAGAAATGGACTGGTGTCTTGGGTTTCCCACAGCTGTAGTTGAGCAACGCATCTTGATGAGCGAATCTCTCGTGGTATGCTGCAAAGTCTCCATGATGGGATCTTGCTGCGTATAGCCTTCCTAGTAAGTGCCGAGGGAGGCGGAGTTCGGGCGGCTTAGGGTGAAGAATTATCTCGAGGTCGGCATATTGCCGAGGGCATTGGGACAGCCATTTTCTGGCAAAGGCTTGGAAGGTAGCTACTTTAGCTTGCCTTTCTAGGTGCGCTAATGAGGGCTGTGGTTGTGATTTTGGGATTAGTTTGCAGGCTTCCTTGGCTAGAGCATCTGCTTCTTCATTTCCTAGTACTCCCGTGTGCCCAGGGCACCACTAAACATAAACCCTGCCGGGGGTTGTCCAGCTCTCTCTTTGTCTCCGAGTCCAGGAGGAAGAGAGCCTATTGAAGGCCCTAAATCTAGCCTGGCTGCTTCCTATGCTCTGGGAGTATAGTCTAGCCGCGACTGCGAGGTTGTCGAGGTAGATGTTATTTGCTATACGAGCCGTAGGAGCCCGGGTGGCTTCCATCAGGCCGTGATACGCAGCATATACCTCCGCGTCATATACCTCAGTTTGGGAGCCGAGTGGTTCGGATCCGCGGAAGATCTACTGTGTAGCTTGGTACCCTACCCAGCCTGCTCCGGCGGAGGTGCTGCTGCCGTCCGACATCTGGGACCCGATAGTATAGACAACAATGTCCCGCTTGGAGAAAGTTGCCATCCTGCCTGTAAAGGAGAGGGCCTGTTCTTCTTTGGTCTTATTAGGTTCGTAGCCGACCCTGGCGAGGGCTGTCTGCCAGTCCGCTAGTTGCTCCCAAGGGGGGAGTTCTAACGGATCGATGTATTCGGTATTTTTGCTTACGAGGCTTGCCATTCGTCGTAGCCGTGAGTCTGGTCCTGATTTGTCCCTGAGTCTCGTTCGGAGAGGGTGTCGCTCGTCCAGACGATGGATTCTGGTGGACGCTGTGTGGAGCTTCGCGTCCAGTATCACCTCTGCTGGGGGTAGAGCCGCCTCGCGCTGTAGGATCGGTACAGGCGTAGTTCTGTATACGGGGACCATCGCTCTGATGACTTTGGTTTGCGTTGCGTCCAGTTAGTGTAGCAGACTACTAACCCCGTTTAAGATAGTACGTCTATTCTTTATCCGGCTCTTACCGGGCCACTATGCTTTAGATGTATAGTACTGAGTAGGTAATATACAAGAGGTGATCGCTCGAGGAAATAAGTATGCAGGCACGCCCCAGATAGTGTTCCCTAGTCCCCGTAGTCCATTAACTACTTAGCATACTTTTATAAAGAGGTTTCTTACGTAACTTTTAAATATGAGTTTACGGTCGAAGTGAACGCCGAGCCAGCGTAGAGAAGAGCCTTCTTTAATAGCCTGAACTATATAATACCTCCCATCCGGCAAACCTACTATAATTAATGGGTTTCCGTCTTTTCGTCTCTTGGTAAAGTAGATTAGTTCGGACTTATCGAGATCAAAAGTAATTCCTTCCGTCGCGCCCTATCCTAAGGTTTCTTTCTATTCCTTGGTTAGGATATCATAGTTATTCTTTAATGATATTGAGCTTATTAAGATAGCGACGCTATCGGTATAGCCGAAACGAGATCGCTTCCTTCCTAGGCGAGCTATGCCTAGCTTGAAAAGAGGTTCAATATAGAGCATGAACAGAATGGGAGACACGGGTAAGCCTTATAGTAGTCCGTATTCGAGACCGAAGACGTCTCCTACCTCCCTATCAAGCCTTATTCTTGCTCTCCTTCCGGTAATAAAACTTAAGACCCAGCGTACGAGGTTCTCCGGCCATCCTTGTTCGTAGAGGCGTCGGACTAGTCGTCCTGGGAGTACGGCGTCGAAAGCCCCTTTTATATCGAGCGTAAACATAGAGGTAACCAGGCCTCTTTGCCAGGCGCACTCGATATCGTGGATGGCCGCTGCGATGAGGTCGCTATAAGAGCGAAGAGGGAGTGCTCCAAACTATTGATCGTGCAGAATTCGATATTTAACTACGATCCAGGCAAGTCGTCTGGCGATGAGTCTCTCCAAGCCTTTTCCGAGGACGGCCAAGAGCGTAATTGGCCTATAGGAGCGCGGGAGTGTCTTGTCTCTTTTTCCCGGTTTTGCTAGGATCACAAGAGTTGCTTCTTTAAAACAAGTAGGATGCTAACCCTCGCGTATACACCCGCTATAAAGTAAGAGGACAATATCCTCGATAACTGGCCATGCTATTTTCAAAGCAGTCGTAGTGATTCCGTCGGTCCCAGGAGTCGTGTTTCCCGTGGTGAGAACCGAAGACCGTACCTCGTCCTTCGTAACCTGCGGGAAAGGAAGCGTAGCTTGCCTTTGTAAGACTGGGCTTTCTGTTGGTATGTCCTCGGATATTGCAGCGTTTCTAAGGAGGACGCGGGTAAATAAGTCGCGCTTCTCTTTTGGTTATGAGACAAGCGTGTATTGGTTGTCTACATCTCGGAGTGGCGGGGTCTGAAAGGATCCTGTGGCTTTGTGCCAACCGACCATTTCAAATATGTCTTTGCTTGAGGAGGCAGAGGAGATCTTATCTTTCCAAAAGGCATCCTTGGAGCGTTTAAACTCGTAGAGGAAGTCCTGTTTTAGAGCTTCGACCTCCTCTTTTTCCTATTGGCAGTTCACTCCGGCTGCGCGGAGTCTTATTAACATCGCTCGCTTACTCGTATAGGCTCGGTGTTTACGTATGCAGCTTTCGCTCTAGTATGGTCTCCCTATACCTTTCCCGAGCGTGCGCTTTATAGAAGCCGTGAGTGCTTTAATAAGACAGTCCGTAAGCTATTATGCTAGGAGATCTAAAGACTATGGGTCTTAGATGTTGCTTGCAGTGCGGCGCATAGGTTATAAATTGCGTTTAATAATACCGAGGAAAAGCTCCTCGTCCATCGTGTCGAGCCGAAACCTTCCCGGGGTCTGGCTGGGTGAATCGATCAGGGCCAAGGGGACCCGGGTAAGCAGAGATTCGTGGTCTGATGTCGTGTATAGTGACGTTTCTATGCTGGTGGAAGCCCCATGGAGGTTGCTGGACGCCCAGCATAAATCTAGGGTGTTGCCGCCTTTGTGCGTAGGTTCACCTATAGGTGACATTAGGACAAGGCTGGCGGCTTCTGCCCATTCTACTAGATTTTCAGCGTCCGGGGAACTCGTGGCCTCGGGCTGCCACGTCCAATGGTGTAAGTTAAAATCCCCCGCAATCAGTACTCGATCCTCAGGTTTGGGTTACCAGGCCGCTAGGATGTTCCTGAGAGCCTGGCCAGATCGCAGAGAGCCACGAGGGGCGTTATACACGTTAATGACTATAAGGACCTCCTTCGTTCTTAAGAGGAGTCGTAAGAAGAGCAGGTCTATAGATAGATCGGGTAGAGGCCGTGTTTGTACGCCTCGTACCCTAGTTCCTCTACGGAGGTAGGTAAGTACCCTGGGACGGTCTTCGGTCTAGTTATCCACTGGGGTAAAAGTCTCAAAACCTGGGTGGTGTCTTGTGAGCCTCCTCTCCTCCGAACGGATAGACGGCTCTTATATTAGGAGTATATCGATCTGGGCTACGTAAGCCAGGTTCAGTGCTGTTTCGTAGGCGGAAGCCCGCCTACCCACATTCGCTTATATAATTTACAGGGTTTTAGAGGGCTATATTCTTCTTTTATATCTTATTCGCCGGGGTATAGTCCATCGTGACCCTCAGTGCCGCCGCAGGGTGCCCGGTGTTGATCAGTTGTGTGGGAAGGAGAGCTGCACTTGAGGCATCTCTTCCTTCTGGTGCACGTTCGTTCGCTGTGAAAACCGCCGCAGCGGAGACATTAAGGAGACCTGTTGGTTCACGGGGTCGTATACGACAAATAGTGGTAGCAATTATCACTCGTCTGTTGGTGATCCTATTGCTTGTTCTTCTTGTTGTTGTTCTATCTTACATTGTAGGCAGGAGTCGGTCGAAGTAGGTAGTGACGGCCTGGGTGGTTGCCCCACCTTTATCCGGCCGTGATGACTAAGCCAGTTGTCCCACTTCGCCCAGGGCAGGTGCCAGCCAGCCCATGGTACCTGCCTATTACTCCTTGTCAGGCCCATCCCAGTACACTCGTTACAACGATTGTCACACCATGCCTATGAAACAATATGGTCTTACACAAGCATGACTAAGTTTGCCAAGGATATGCCAGTATAAAGGGTCTTCCACTCACTATATAGATAGTCGGGATATTCCCATAGCCACTCGTTCTTCATACTCATCAATACATCCCATTGACCCCCTACCTGATAATCGCTGCCCAACACTCCTTATCAGCCTTTGCTGTTCCAACAAGACCTCTTCTCCTTCGGGAACTACAGGTTTATAAAAACGCTGGCCCCCATCAAACGGAGGCGTCTTAGTAGTTGCCTTACGGCTTCCGGCTTAAACCAGGCTGTCACCGTACCTAGCCTTTCGACTTCGTCCTTCCTGGAGAAGTGTGCTTTCTCAGGCTTGAGTTTCGTCGAGACCTGGATCTCTTCAAGGAGCTCCTCGGTCATAATTTCCAGCTCAGTATTGGTTACCAGACAATACCTAGTATAAGGGACGTTTGCGATATAAGCTCGGATCCAGGTATCGCGTTGCTCGATCGCTTACGTTTAGAGAAGGGCAGCGATCTATTCTCTGTTCTCTAGCAGGACTTTTATACTATCCATTAACGAAGGTAGGAATACTAATCCTATCTTAACATGGTCGATCCCCTTAAGGGCTTCTCGGGCTTAGGGACTTAGCCTTTCCCGAACGAAGATATATATATCGTAGGCTTTCTCGTTCCGAAGCGGGCTTTCAGGCGATAGACGCGCGAAGATGCGTAGATCCTTTAAGGCCGCCCGGTTTGTAGCTTGTTTTGCGGCTTGTTTAGCTGGCGTTGGTTCATCCTGTCTTCTGGACAGTGGCTGGCTCGCCGCCGCCGCGTATGAACGGACTGGGGGCGGCTGGTTCTGGGTTGTGTACGAGGGATGCCCCTGGGAACTCAGGTCAGTCTCGCTAGGCCCTGTGCTAATAGCGTATATAGACCTTGCTAGACCACGTTAATGCCGGTTTGAACGCTGTTTCTCCTCCTGAAGCTCTCTCTCCAAGAATTCGATCTTCGTCAAACAGTCTTTCAAAAACTGTTCCCTCTCGGCGTCCCGACGTAGGAGGTCCTGGACAAGATTCGAAAGCTTATTGATCTCGTCTTTAAGCTCAGAATTGTCCTGGTGGTTAACCTGCTCAACCACTCTGACCTTTGCAGTCGGCTTCCGGACTCGTCCCGACCGCCGAGATATACCGGCGTCCCCGTGAACCGTGATCGATGGCCCTATATCTAGGGAGACCGCCATGGTCGTGGAATTCAGCTCGTATGGGCTGATGTTGAGAGATGATAGTGCAGTGGGTCGTAGCCCTCTATAACCTTAACAATTACTAACAGTGGGTACCTTTCGAGGTATGTGTTCATGCAGGAGATGATATTAATCTAAATAGAATCGAGTAAAGAAACGTGCTATATAGGAATAAATAAGACAATCACGTGATAACGCACGTGATGGGCTGATTATAGAGTGCTGACGCTATTCCTATTTCGTGACAATGACTTTGCAATCCTTCTTCGAAAATCATATCGCGCGTTAAGAAGGCCTCAGATAGCAGCTCAGACGTTACGGGAGTTGTGACGGACTCTCACCATGCTGCTAACATTTACTCGGCCAACCTGAGAGGTCCCAATTACTTTGGAGAGGGGTCTAATGGTTCGTATTGGGATATTTGCCTCGGAAAGATGTTTCTTACTCGACTATTGAAGTGATGCATATGTTGCAATGGTATGGTGTTAATCCCAGACTTACTTCATTTCCTAGTCAAGACTTACAGCCTAGCGACATCAATTACATTAGGTCAACTTCCTTCATCCTAACTCTCCCTTCTTTGCAAATGCCACAGCTCACTCTAACATACTACCTCTCTTCAGCCAAATTCATCCATATAAATTAAACTTGCCAGTCGTGTTGACGAAGTTGTTCGAATCCAAGTTCCTATTCGAGACTTCCCATAAGACCAGAGAACCCCTTTGTCTCCATGTATGAAGAATATACTCGACAAATTATAGCGAGCACCGTAGCACGATCTCTATCTCATTTTCATTCTCGAGGCAAATCACCACATGCACGATTTGGCTCACACGTGTACATGTACTTATAGCTCTAATCAACATTTCATCATTATCACTTTGCAACTTCTATCACCGTACCCGCATATCAGGAGACTTGCCCCGCCAATTACATGTATTTACACAACAGCTGGATGTGTGGGTGACGGGGCAAACCAGCAACGAGAGCCTTTCACACCAGTTGAACAAGATCTTTTCGCTCAACTTCCACGAAATTCAAGGGCGCCAAATTTCTCACTTGAAATGTTAAAACGAGCCGAGCCCAGATACCTAGTCTTCAACAGGATTCAGTCCGGGACTTAATTAATACTGGCTCCAACACACAACACAGTTAGTAATTTGAAATAGCTTTCCAGTCAACGTCGGGAGGTTTTGGCTTACTATGGAGTCAATGTTATGTCAACTCCTAATACAGAGAGATTGATGAAGTCAGGTGGACGATGCCGAGGCTAATACTGGTAGGAAACCCGGGCGTGCCGGATAAGTTTCAATGGCCGGCAAATGTTGAGCCAATAGCTCCGCGACCTAGGCCTCGGTTTGCCTTGCGGGGAACTGTGCGGCTTGGTGGGGTTTGGTGGTGCTTGCCATGGCTTCAGGAGCTAAGCTTTTGGAGAACGCTGACGTCTCAAAGGGGCCCAACCAGCGTCGGAAGCGACTTAGATTCGTCGTGTCGATTTCCCAGCTATTTTGATGTTTGATCAGTTGTCGTTCTTTGACCGTTGTACCTCTCATAGATATCATTCTACTTTTCGGTGTCTCTCTAGACACAAGTGTCTGACCCGGCAAAGTAGTATTAGAGATGGGAATAGTTTGCCGAGACATGCAAGTCATCTGTACATGCACTATTACCTGCCGTACAGGACCCACAAATCTCGCTATGACATAGCTTTCGACCTAGATGAGGGGAAAGACCAAGGAGTGTTGAGGAGAGAAGCTTGATCAAGTCTCAGTGCATGTCGATATGAGGGCTCAAGCCTACCCGTGTAATTCATCCTTCCACCACCTCCATATCCCTTACCACTGGCCCCCAAAGCGCCCACAACATGATTCAAGTCCCAGATCGTAAAGCCTCAACCGTCAAGCTTGCGGAGTATCTCTTCACTCGCTTACGCCAGCTCGGCATAGGTGCCATTCACGGTGTTCCGGGAGACTTCAATCTCTCACTGCTCGACTATGTCGAGCCCGCAGGGCTGCTATGGGTTGGCAACGCAAACGAGCTCAACGCAGGATACGCCGCCGACGGATATGCTCGTATCAAGGGCATTGGGGCTCTCATCACTACGTCTGGTGTTGGCGAGCTCTCGGCCATCAATGCTGTTGCCGGGGCGTACGCTGAACGGGCAGCCGTGGTTCATATCGTCGGCACGCCTTCTAGGGTCCTACAGGATAGCCGAACGATGATGCATCACGGCTTCAATGATGGAAACTACAGACGTTTCGCGGAGATGCATTCTCACGTCACCGTTGCGCAGGCGGATCTCAGACACGCAGAGTCGGCACCGCGTCAGATTGACGAAGTATTGAGGCAGTGTCTAGCCCAGAGCCGGCCGGTCTACATTGAGATTCCTCAGGATCTGGTTATTGTTCCTGTGTCGGCCTATGGACTGAAATCACCTATTCAGCTTCCCGAGCCAGTCCCAACAGCAGCCGACGAGGCTGCTCTGGCAGCAATCATGGACAAGATTAAGGCTGCGAAACACCCAATGATTCTTGTTGATGGTGAGACGAGGCCATTAGGTATTGTCGAGCAGACCGAGAAACTGGTGAAAGCCACGGGTTGGCCCACCTGGACTACTGCTTTCAGCAAGTCACTGGTCAACGAGAGTCTGTCAAATTACCACGGTATCTACTCGGGTAGATTTGCCGATCCCGCCGTCAAGACCTTTGTCGAGAAAGCCGACTTGATCTTGTGCTTCGGCCCTCACTTCAGCTCGACAAACACCTATGCATTCTCAAGCATACCCAAGCCAAGTGTAACAATTCTCTTCAGCGACAACATCAAGGTGGCGGATCAAACATTCCGCGATGTCACCATCAGAACGGTGGTCAGGTCGCTTCTCGAAAGACTCGAAAAGTCTGAGATTCATCAATATGCTCCTTACCCAGAACTCCCTAAAGACCACGGCATAGAGTTCTCGGAGGTACCAAGCGAGGAGAAGATAACTCAGTCCAAGTTTTGGCATCTCACGTCCAGTTTCGTGCGTCCAGGTGACATCATCTTCGGAGAGACGGGAACCGCCGGCCATGGATCGCGAGTCTTTGCGCTACCATCCCATACTAGAATGTTCCTCCCGACAACCTGGCTTTCCATTGGATACATGCTTCCCGCTGCGCAGGGCGCTGCATTAGCGCAGAGAGAACTCATCCAGTCATCCAAATATCACGACATCAAGGAAGCACGTACGATTCTCTTCATCGGCGACGGAAGTTTCCAGATGACTGTTCAGGAAATTTCTACCATCATACGCCACAATCTCAACGTCACCATAGTTCTCCTCAACAACGACGGTTATACCATCGAACGATGCATACACGGACTAGATCAGTCCTATAATGACGTTGCCCATTGGCGCTACTTACAAGCGCCCGGTTTCTTCGGAGGCAATCCAGAGACGTATACAGGCTCTGCAAAGACCTGGGGTGAGCTCCAGAAAGTGTTGGAGAATGATGAGCTGAAGAATGGGAAGGGCCTGAGAATGGTGGAGGTTTTCATGGACCCCGATGATGCGCCGGAGGGTGCGCTCCTCGACTTGCTCGAGAAAGAGAAGAAGAGAATTTCGGATGGTCAATCTTAACACTAACTCTATGTATTAGATACTAGTGGTGCAAATATGTACTACTACATACAGAAATTTGCCGGTTGACCTTTACCTGTCTACGTTCTAGCCCTCTGTTCGGAGGAGTTTGGACTGTCGACATGAGGCATCTTGACCTCAAGTTAGCCTTGTACTAAACAATTTTTATTTGCCGTGCTGTGATATTTCTTTCTGCCTTGTGGTTTTCAAATTTACGCCGGCACAAGGAAGTGTGCCGTCGAGGGGACCTGGAGTCACGATATGTTTTTGTAGAACGGCGCAGCCTTTTTGACCAGTTATGTCTGGTAGAACGGTAGCATTCATTAACCCCGTTTATTGCCTTGGAGTCGTAAGGATAGTAAGTTTTAGTGATCAAGGACAAGTAGAGCAACCTCCAACGCCATACACCACTCCTCCGGCCGTCATCCATCATATTCTCATTGAGTCCGCAGCCCAAAGGCCAACATCAGCAAACAAGCCTGCTCAGTACCCGCCGTTACGACGCCTCTCATCCTCTCTGCGTTGCTGCTCATAATCCTTAATTTGGTCGCCGTACTTGTCCTTGTTATTCTGAGAGTTCCGAATCTGCTCATCATACCTGGCGCGGCGATCCTCCTCAGCTCTGATCAGTTGATCCTGCTTGTTCTTGTCGTACTGAGACTCGCGAATCTTCTGGTCCTCCCGCTGACGTCTAGCTTCCTCGGCACGGATCTCCTGGTCGTAATTGTTCTTGTTGTTGTTGTTGTTGTTGTTGTTGTTGTTGTTGTTATTTCCGTACCTGTCCTTGGCTCGCTCGGCATCCTGGATGCGCTCGCCGCTGCGTTGCTTCTCGTACTGATCCTTGCGAATACGCTCATCCTCCTTGTCCTTGTTGTATTCTCCATTCTTGATCTTGTCGCCGCTCTTGTCCTTCTTGTACTCGGCCTTGTTGATCCGAGAATCCTCACGAGCACGGTCTCTCTCCAGTTGACGGATTCTCTCATCGTCATTCTTACCCTGGTTCGAGTAATCCTTGTAGCGCTGGTTCGAGTAATAGTTGCTGTCCTTGTTTTGGTAGTTGGGGTTCTTGTAGTCGTTGTAAGTTCCCGACTTGCCACCATAGGAATTGGGGTTGAAGTTTCTCGATGAGTCAGGCGTCTCGACGAATCGGCCGTTCTTAGCGTCCTGCAATTCTTGTTTCTCCTTCTCCTTCTGGGCCTGGAGGCTGGCCTTGTCTCTTGAGTTCTGGCCCTTCACTCTGTCGAGTGACGCTTGCTCCTCGTTCTTCTTTCGACTGGCAGCCTCCCTTTCTTGAGAGTTTGTGGCGCCCTTCTGCCTCTGACGGGCCTCGTCAGCCTCTTTTCGTTCCTTGTCTTCCTTCACCCTGGCGCTGGCATGTTGCTTCTTCTGGTCAGCTTGAATGTCCTTGATTTCGTTCTTCTCTTTCTGAACTCTGGCCTTGTCGACCCTCCCGTTATCGTTGTTGTTGCTAGTCCGGGATGACGAAGTCCGAGAGGAGGAAGTACGATCCGAAGAAGACATTTTGTTGTCCCGAGCCTCGAGGTGGCCATACTGGTCATCCTCCGCGTCCAAGTCACGAGACTCGAAGGTCGAGTAGACCTCACTGAATTCCTTCAAGTCCCGTGCCTCAAGATCGCCGGACTCCTCGGCGTCCTCTAGACCTCGAGCGGAGATGCCAGCGGCGGAGGTGGCCTCCACATACTCATACTCCTCCTCATTGCGTGTCTCGAGATCTGCGTAGTCCTCACTGACTTCTATCTCGCGAGTCTCTAGAGAAGTCCGAGGGTTCTCATCGAAGACACTTGCGGCGGATTCTTTGTTCTCGAAACGGGTGATGAGAGGAGCCGCAAGAGTGCTCGAAACGAGCGCGGAAACAAGCAATGCTTTGACGGAAGGCATGTTGTGAAACAGATAGGTGACGGAAACTGGTAATGGACACAGGAGACTGAGTTGCTAGAGGAAGCTGGGTTTTAAACTGCGAAGTCTGCAACCTGTCTTGCAAAAGAGACCAACTTGGAAAAACGGGAGCCTCATCATCTTTAATACGTTTCTCAACACCACCAAATTTTCTGTTTGATCCTTGAGACTACATGTTTTGTTTGTCGTACTAGTGAATAAGTCTAAAATTCTCCGTTAAGGTTAAGTTGGTGGTCTGAGACAACCGATATCTTAGCCTTGATCTTGACCCGCTGTCGGTAATGACCTGATAACGGCTTCAAGGATGTGATGAAAACGAGGCTGTCTCTCACTATTGCGGAAGCCCAACTCGTCGTTGCGGGCGCGGCGCTCACGGTATTCAGGCTTAGCTTTGGTCCGTCAGGTAGGGGCTGTGAGGGTGAGTAGGATGCCTTCAACGCGTGTTCCGGAAAACATGGGATGAAAAAGCTTGGTCTTCATGCGCAAAAAATAGGGCGACGCGCTGTATGCCCGCACGCGGACCCGAGACCGACAAAGTCCGTCCGCACGCCGTTCAACATTGACAGCGTTTATTCTTTCCGCGGAGCTCCAGGAGGCAGGGCGAAATCGCCCATGATTCAGGGACCCTGTCGACCGTGTCTGGATTCGAGTCGACCACCGCGGGGTAGGGCAACTTTTGACTCAAGGTTGAGCGCGACTAGCTTAATATGGTAACTGAGCGCGGGCCTGATCTTCGCGGGCCACGTACATCTCCCGCTGCGGGGTATTAGGAAGAGACCAATCGGTTCACGAAGCCGAGCAAGTCGTCGTAACGGCTACAAAGATTTTGGGATGCCAAGAGCCTCTGGACCGTTACCCCTCGAAGCTTAAGTCTCCTTTCACTTGTTTCAAGGTTTATCAAAGAGAGATCGGAAGCGAGAGCTCGCTTCCAGTTGACGATCGCGCGCTCATAAACTCTCGTTCACGTGGAAAAGGGTCTACGAACATCTGTGAATCCCCTCATTTGCCGATGTCCAAGAAAGTCAAGCACCTCGTCTCTCGTACCCAGTCCCCTGGGACGCGCAACGCATGACCTTCGGCAATCTGCGAAGCTTTAGCCGCGTACTACACCGGTCAAATTCTCAGCAACGTTGGCCCCAATGTCGCATCGTCTGGATTTTCGTCCCGCAAGGCCGGAGCCGACTCGATGGAGCGGAGAGGCGGCTAGCTGCAACGAGCGGCCGGCGATGTAAGCTTCATTGGCGTAAAGTGTATCGCGTAGCGCTGGGCTTTCTTGTGGATCTTGGTATGATTTTGAGCTGTCTGACTCTTGGAACATTTCAAATCATCTGCAAAGCACCAAAACTCAACAAGAGCCTGGACTACATCTCCGGAAATCCAGCCTGCCAGGCTACACCCAGGAGTTCTTCAGACTTGACTCACCGGCCAACGGCTTGTCTCGGTTCCCCTCTCAGAGATATGTAAGTAAATTGTTTCTGTTGGATTCACAGGTGGAAAAGGAAAATACTCGAGTATCGTGGGTAGCAACGATCACCGACTGTAGTGGTGATATTACTTGTTCTTGTTGTTCTTCAGTGGAAGTCTAACCAGGTGCCAGCGGCGGCAGGAAGTCTGGGGTATACCACCCTCGTGTGGTTGAGCCACACGGACCACCGTGGCTGGAACGGACCGCGGCAGCAACCTCCTGCTGCCTAATGTAGGCCTATTCCAACAGTTTCGTTTCGCTTTTGTGCTTTCTCTGCCCGCCGCTAGAGTAGCCTGCAATATATTCGACCGTTTTGTAAAGCCTGGCTTCTGGATCCCGGGCACACTTGGACGAACACTATTTCAAGCTTCCTTAGTGAACTCAGTGACACCAAGTCCTCTTCACATAATGACTCTTCCAACACCATACGGATGTTTTTAGAGAGCTCAACTTATCGAGCTGACGTTTGTGTAGACATACCAAACAACTTCTGGCATGTCCTATGTCTGCATTGCTTAAGTATAGATTCAATTTATTAATCCGCTCAGTCAGGTAGAGGTTTACCTAGTTCAGTAATTGAGTCGACGGTCAAGGTATCAAGGTCCATCTGCTCATCATCGGTCATTGCACTATTGGCAACTGTATAATCTCGCAACAGACCTGTATTCTAGCTTCCTGTATGCATTAGTGCTCCGCAGGTTTCCCTTCAGAGTGTACTGCTTGCCTTCAAAGCTCAAGGTTTGACTTCGACGGCTTCCATAAGTAAGGTTGCTTGATGCACCTTTATGTGGGATAAGGTGCGGGTATCTAACGGGAGTGCATAGGGGCCGAAGGCTCGCGGAGCTTTCCTTTCTTCGCGCGGAGTTTCCGATGGAACCGATTCGAAACTGATTCTCAACATTCTGTATGACTGAGTTTGAATCAGACATGAGCATCTCAGGGGCTTGGGCTTAATCTGGTTGATCACCTATTCATTCTGATGAAAGGTGCGTGCTGTGTGGCTCTGCGTACAAGTTTTAACGGACAGTTAAGAAGAGTAAGAATGTCGACCGGTGCCTTTGGGAGCATGATCTATTGCTTACCTAGGTAGGGAAGTACTCTTCCTTTTAGAAATTCCCACGATGTCAAGGGGATGACGCGAGATGGTGTACATCCTAATAGCAAGGGTGACGAAAAGCTGGCCGACAGTTGGTATGAGCCCCTAGTAACGGCCATCAAAGGGGGCTAAGATATTTACGAGTTCTGAGCTTGCCACTCTGCTCAGGCGCATTTCAAAATGAGAAAGGTAGATCAGGTAGTTCAAGTTAACTCCCACTAAGATACTCGGCAAGGATGCATGTAATATAGATCAATTCATGTCTCACAACTCTGGAGACTAATATGACTAGTTGATGCATATCTCTTATCTTCTGTAAATAATATTAAAAATAAACAAGCACAATTGACTAGAAATTACTTATATCATCCCTTCTAAAAATTCGAGAAATCATATCAACTTCAGGCGAGACTGGGATAGCGTCAACACTCATCGGCTTGTTCCTTTGTCTCCGTTCTGAATGTTCCAAGTCGCTGGTAAATCGGAAGCGAGTCAACTCTCTCTCTTTTTTCTGGAATGCTCTTCACCAAAAGCCCAGTTGGGCATGATGGTGATGAAAAGTTCCTCTCGCCCGACTTCCCATCAAGACTAAGGGTGATGCAGCGTAGGGCGAGGACTACCGCGGACACGTCGGTGATTTCAGCAGCTTGGCTAAAGTCAGCCAGCTTGAAGGTGTCGTCGTTTCTCAGCCCCGAGGGCGCCACAGCATCCAAAGATCCATGTGACATGACCTTCCCTCCTTCATGGAAGAGAACCTCCGCAAGATGCGTGTCCTGGTTATTTTCGGCCTGTTGCACCGGCCTCAGAATCACCGGGACGCAGACAGCGCAGAGGATGATCCAGGCGCTCTGAAGTCTTCCAAAAGAATCTGAGCCCGCAGCTTCAATCTGAATATACTCGATGCTGCACTGCTGAATGAGAGGCAGTGAGAATCTCAGGTCCCATCCGATTTCTGCGTCACTGGACGCCCAGCTCCAGGATGGCGCTCTCCACACTTTCGGTGTCGACGGCTGCATAACGGTCTGCCACAGCATTCCTCGTACCAAATCACTCTTCCAAAGTCCAGCCACGTATTCGTCTCCGAGTGCCGAGCTGAAAGTGCGAGCTAAACCAGACAAAGCCGAAAACTTGTCATTAGAAACGGTAAGCTTGCGTCTAGTATACTCGATAATCAGATCTTTCCATCTCTCATAAAGACTTTCCCTTCTTCCTCTTGCCTCAGGAGAGTTGATGTCTTTCGATGCTGGAGAGAGCAGATGATGCCAGCTTTGGACGTTGTCGTAAACTTTGGTGCTATGTTCGAGACGTCGTTCCGACTGACAACGAAAGTAGGATGTATGATTGTCAAAATATAACACTCGAGTAGACATTAGATCTTCTTGATAAGTCCAAGCCCGCGTGGCCCATGCGCGGTTGTGCATATGGCTTGTATAATCGGCATCCCAGGTCCGGTGTTCATTGAGGCCTGATAGGACGTACGTGCCCGACACCTTAGCCTCTTTCTTGTTAGACTGGAATGGGACCAGAACCGAAGGTCCAGCTCTACTCCTCTGGAGAAACCCTGAGTGAGAAGTATCACCTGCGGCTGCTACTACGGTGAGGGTAGCATGCCGATATACGGCAAACATGAGTGCGGCCTCTTTGGCCCAATCTTCAGCATCGTCTTGGATGATGCAAAGTGCATCGATCCAAATATACTTGATTCCCATATGACGCGCAAACACTACTGAATCTCTGATTGTCTCTGGCATTTCTGGGAGTGGGATCTTTGTCTGGCGGTCTGCAAGAGTGGCAGCAGTCGTGATGAGCTGTGGCTTGCTGACGGATGGCGGGCCCCAGCAATAGCTCAAAGCAATGTACGATGTTGTCGAAGGAAGACCATCGCTAATGACTAAGCGTGCCATATCATCGTCTATCTGTCCCACCTTGATAAGTCGAGTGGGAAGACTCCTTGGCTCTGAAGAGTAATAACATCCTGAGTGATTGCTTGCACAGCCCCAAACCCTGTCTTTGAGTCGTTTGATACAAGACGAATCAAGAGCATCCGAAACAGGGAGTTTGAGCTCAATACCGAGAGTATTTGCAACATGTTCTGGCAGATTTTACAATGTCAGCAGAATGCCTGTTTTGGTCTTTTCGCTGGCGTTGCAACAAGTCACTGAGACGGCGAAGAGACACCTACCATCATCTCCTTGATACGCGATAGCCCGCACTTTCCACCCATCAGACAGACCATGGCCCATCACGTCATGCATCAGACTCGAACCTGAAGTCGAGCCAGTAGATCCCGTCTTGTTCGATGCCATAATCGTCGGGCATCCAATCGCGCGTGACGTCGATGATTTCCGATAGCATAGGCGAGGAGAGCTTTGCTACAACATCTTTCGCTGTAGAACTTTGCAACGTGATGCGAAGGGGCTTTGTTTGGGAGCTTCTCTTCGACCACGAAACAGAGATACTCGCAAAAGGTATACAGCCCGCTGCAGCCGACTTGCGAAATATTGGTAGATCTGGCTGGATACCTGTCTTTTCGCTTCCAGTGACCAGCATCGCGGGCATCTCCCTGGGCGTCATCAAAGACGATGCCCGAGCACTCGTTACACAGTGTCGTGGATTTTGATGACAATAATTCACCCCTTGATGCCATGTTAGTATCGGAAACTGAACACTGAGCAGCAGCAAGCAGAGGTTCCGGTAAGGCAGGATGACTTTCGGTGGTGGAGGAGGAGCTTGAAAACGGCCTTCATCCCAACAGTTGTTGATTGGATGGATAACATCGATCCAATTGCATGCGGAGAAATGAGCGTGACGACACCCACCGCATAACCTACTACTGCCTCCATCCAACTCAACCAACTGTCTGTCACTAACTAAGTGCTTCCAAACAAGTGACGAACAACTCGGTCGACGACGGAGCAAAAAATGTCAAAAGAAACAGCAGGGGCTCAATCGGGATTCGAACCCGAGACCTCGCCCATTCACGCTTAGCGCAAGGGTTGGTAAAGAACCCGAAGGGCGAATCATACCACTAGACCATTGAGCCGAGGCGACCTTCGTTATTCGGAGACCAATGGTTGGAAGGGCGGCAAATTTTTCAGTCTATGCTTGGTAGTCAGACGCCGTGCTTTTTCAATTTCGCAGCATACTAAGTAAGACATTGAGATATAATTGTGAAGACCGAGTTAAAGTTGGTTGATCCCAAACTTGATTAATGCTTTGAAAGTCTTATGCAACCCGGGGCGCGGGGTCAAACTCAGTCTCATGCGGAGCTCCGTCGACAAGCTGGTTACACTTTGCAAGCTTCGAAGGGGGCTGTCAGGACTCAGCACTGGCCAAGAACGAACCTGGCAGGGCAAAGTCACACCCAAGCTATTCATTACGAGACATATTCCTCCGATCGCCTGCAACTTGAAGCCGAAAAGTTGGAAGCCCGAAACGATTTCGCTACCAAACTGGCAAACAATGGGCCTTCGGACCGACCACGCGCATCTTTGCTCCATGTCCTTCCCCAGCGTTTCCACATAGACGAGATAGACTATGGACCAAGCTTGTTACGTACCAAATTACTGGATGGGCGTATGGGTCTGTCGTAAAAAGACCGAAGTTCAACAGTCTAGTATTGTTATGCACGAAACACTTCATTGACGCTTACTTATTTATGTGCGTTGTTGTGTTGAGGTCAGTCAAACTCCCAGTCTGAAGAGACTGTTTTGCACGAAGCACTTGAACATTATAGAAAGGTGGGCTGGTACGGATATGCTTCGATCTTGTCCCTTGAACGCTGTCTCTGATTCGTTTTGCCCGATGAATTCAGCGATATGTTTGGCAGGCCGCAGCACAACTCCTCAAGCCATGACCACGTGCTCAACTGCCAACGCTCGGACAATGCGATTGATGATTTCTTCCCATTGCAAACGTAATCTCGTCATGGTTATTCGCTGTTAGTATCGTCTGCGCTTCCATGGAATGATCCGGGGCCCGAGGGGAAGAACCACTATGAATCCTTGCTAGCACAACGGTCCAGGCGCTTGCCGTCCAAAGTTGGCAGTGGCAAATTGGCAACTCGCGCCTAATAAAGTCCAAATTGTTCGACTTCCCTCTTCCAGTCTTTTGGCCCGGTGGGTATCTCTTCTCGACAGTTGACACTGACGGGCGCGAGGATCACGACGAGGTCTGTTCCGGAGCACGGAATGCGGAACAACAACCTCCCACATGCCATGAAGCAAGGGGATCCCGAATGCGAAGCAAAGCGTATCCCTGTATCACTCTCAGTTGACGGGCCATGTCTCCTTCTCTTTCTGCATCTGCGCAGGTTTGGCTTACGATACGCGGTCTCTTGTAATTTTCCTGCCGAACATGAACCCATAAATAACAGAATCTCATCCCGGAAAGTTGTAGCCCTATGAACATTCACATCCCGGGGTTAAACCAGCTTGACTCAACATAAGTGAGACGCTGTTCATATATCTTTCCTGCTGGCAGCCACGCTGATCGCGCGGCATTTACGAGGGCAGCTGGCGCAGATCCTGTCAGGGTTGTCCAGGTCTGCGGTTCGGGGAGAGCGATTCGCTGGAGGCGCCGGATCGCGGGAATGAGCTATCGCTGGGAGACCACCACGACGGCTCCCACGCCTTGCCAGGCACGCCAGGCACGCTTCATGGCTTGTTCCAACGCTCGAAAATACGACCCTAATCTTACCATGGAGCCCGTGCGCCAAGAAATCCAGAGTGCAGGCGTCGTGGAGGCTTCGAACATGGTTCATGACTAGTGTACCCCTTCAACAGCGAGAATCGGCCACGCAACTACGTTTCAGTCGTCTGAACATCTTTGGTCGAGATGAGATCTTTATTTGTGGTAAGTGGTCATGGCTTTTGGTTGTTGAGACTTGCTGTTGCAAACATGCCCATGAAGCAGTAAAGTGGAAGTTTGGTCTAAGTCGAGATATCAAAATAGTGTCTACGGAGTGCATTCTGAAGCATATCGCAACCGCCCCAACGCGGGCTGAAGCGGGGATAGTGTGGACTATCATGAGCCCCTTCTAATAACCAGGGACTTCACGGGTGGGTTTCGTCTTCCACTTCCGGCTAGGTAACCTGGCACGCCTCCAGGGTGTCGACTATCTCGATATTGCAACGTGCCCGGGGTGATGGCAGGTGGGCAGACAAGAGCTTTCAAAAGGGGGCTCGTCCTGCCCGTCAAAACCACAATGCGGTCCATCGTTGAACCCTCTTCCTGAATCGAGCTCGCCCATCTGCCCGTCATGCTTCGATTCAGCAGCATCCTATATCGCGAACTTTCGTGATGTTGACCTCGTCGCCCTGGGCGGCGCTCCTGCTGGCCAGCGTCCTTTCTCACTCCGCGCTCGCGGACGATTCTTGTTCAAGTTCTATTGACCCATTAGTATTACCCATAAAAGTAAGGAAAAACTTCACGAGTCATTCAGTCACTTTTCATCACGTATCATTTTCTTTGGGTGTGTGCCTATGTGTGTTTTGAGTGTCTGTGTGTGTTGCCGTGTGCGACTGTAGCTCTTGTTGACTTACACACTCTCTCCAGAACGTTACCTTTCCCAATGGCATCGGTGCCAATCGTGGCCTCAAGCTCACGCTTGGTGGCCAGGTTCAAGGCATGCGCATGTCCACCATCTTAAACAACACGCGAGTGAGGAATAGTCTGGACTGCCCGGACAACTCAACATACGCTTTCGTCGGCTGCCAAGGAGCCTCGGGCAGTGTATACGACACCACAGGAGGCACATTCAGCCAAGTCGTCAACATCAAAGACTGGAACGTAACGTATGGTATCTGCCTAACCTCTCCATCTTCCATCACGTAACTGACTCCCTCGACAGAACAATCGACGCTCAGCCTGAAGATGGCGAAACGACGGTACTCCATGGATACGATGTCGCAAACTTCACCGATGCTCCAGCCGTGGCCTATGGATACCCTTTCGAGGTATGGGCCGACTATGATTCCATGAACAAGAGCGCCATTGCATTTGGTCCAAACTCGTCCACCCTCGACAGCTTCGTAAGGAACGACCTGGCGCCCACGACAAGCTTCAGCCTGGACTATGGCTCAACATCAGAGCTCTATCCTCGCGACGGCCAGCTAGTCATCGGCGGCTACAACGAAGCGCGGTTCAACGAGTCCCAGGTCGCCGAGTTCAGCATGTGGGGGGCCAACGCCCCAGTCCCGTGCCCTCTCCAAGTTCTCGTGGCCGACATCGTTCTCACCAACACGGACGGCGATCACTCCCTCTTCGACCCCGGCGTCAAGGTGGCCGCCTGCATAGACACTGTGCAGAACAGCTTCACTCTCACACAGAACATGTTTGCCAAATTCCAGAGCCTTGGCAACCACACCGCGACTGACGGGCAGACATTTGGTGAATCCGACTTCCCCAGGGACCGCGAGTCCCTCCTCGGCTCCTTGACGATCAAGCTGTCCGACGGCTACACGAGCGTCATCCCTCACTACGAGCTTGTCAGTCACGTTCGCGGCACCGACGCCCGCGGCAGATATGCTGTGCTGAACAACAGCCGAATCAGCACCACGGTCGCCTCGGGCATGAGCGACCTTGGTGATAATATTCCCATCCTCGGCGGCGTGTTCCTGTCGCAGAACTATCTTCACGTCGACTATGACGCGGGCAAATTCTGGCTAAGTCCGCAAGTCGCCAACGGCACTTTGCCCGACCACATCACATCATCCTGCAACGGCACCTCGTCCTCAAGCGGCGGTAACCAAACTGCCCTGGGCATTAAAGTAGGCGTGCCCGTAGCCATGGGCGCCGCCCTCATTGCCTTCCTCGGCCTCTGGTTTTGGCTGAAGAACCGCAAGCCCAAGCAGAACGGACAGTTCGCAGGCGCGTCTCGCCCCATCCCACGATCCGAGAAGCGCGACGCGCCGGACTCCAAGTCTTCTACCACCAACTTCGCCGGCTACCACAACGTCAACCACGCAAATCCGGATGGCCATATGGAACTCGAAGGCGACCTCGGCCATTCTGTAGGACACCAACAACAACGGGCCGAACTAGCGGAACCCGCGCCGGCATATAAGTCGGAGTGGCCCCGGCAGAACTCTATTCAAGGCGAGAACGCCGCGTATTACGAACAATTCGAAGAGCCAGGCGAGAGTTACGAGCTCGCGGACACGTCACCGCACTCTCAACATACACAACCCCAAGAACTTCCGCAACCTCCACACCCCCAGGTCATTATCCCACCGACGAATCCACCTCCTATTAAACGGAAGGATACCGGCTTAAGCGATTGGGTGCCGAGTCCTGCGACGTTAAAGAAGCAGTTTTCGGGATTCGGCGAGGCTGTGTCACCGACGAGTACACGTGCGAACAGCACGAGGGTTAATCCACATATTTCTCCCGTTTAGCGTATTTGAGGATAGATGAGTAATGATAATTCACTTCTTGAGGCATGAAACACATGGCCCTGGTTACCTATGTAACGATACAAATTAAGTTTCTCATTGGATTTGGTGGGCGGATCGTCCTCAGTCTGTGACATTGGTGGGCACTGATGATCGATCACACTGCCTGCTTGATGGGTCTGAAGTTAGTAAAGGAGTTTAACATGGCGCAGTCACTCCGTCCGGCGGTATCATTTCTTCCACGACACGAGGGCTGCGATGATCCTCGAGGTCCTGAAAGTCTTGGATCAACAATATTTATTCAGATTCCTTTCATCTCTATCCCATCAACCTCCACGAAACATCTCTCCAGCTTGGCACGGGCTGTTAGTGTCATGCTAAGGAGGGGCCCCAGTCCCCGCGGTTTGCCGCTGCGCGCTGGGGTGGATTAGCTATACGCTAATCAAACCCTTAACAACGCACATCTTCCCCTCGAATCGAGCCGACGATTATTCAACCTAACGAGCCGCCATCGACTCGAATTCGCCTTCCGCAGGCTAGACGAAGTCTTCCTGGTAGGGCAGGGAGCAGAGGTTTCATCTAGCCTCCCGAAGGAGACGGGCGACTTTCTTTCCCGGCGCAAGTGGCGCTTCCGGGCCCAAATTGAACATCACCGACCGACTTTTCGACTTCGCTCTCTCAGCACCTTTGCCCCTTAAACGATCGAAGACTCCCTCGAAGAGACGAAACGACCATTGGGTAGCGATGTATAGCCACGGCTATATACAGCTATGCTCGTTACAGAACCTAACAGCAAGCCCTACAACCTAGTCTTACGAGGTTTTGCCCCTTGTGGTTTCCCTTGTGGCGGTATTACCTATTACGATATACTCCGGACGGTTACTGGAACGTTGTGTAAACCAGAAGCCTGCGGGCTCTGGGTCGAAGGATAGGAGATACTGGCGGAATTGCGTTCTAGGGACGACCATAGCACTGTCTCGGGCAAGCCAGCGGCACCCAGAGACAGGTTAAACACATAGTTGCCTTTGGGCACGATTTGGAGGACGAGCTGGACTGTATCTAGTGATAGCTATAGGCCTACGGCCCTCCACGCCATATACCCTTCGGGAGGTCTGCCGCAAGGGCGGCTGCGCCCTTGCCGCTACGGCGTTAAAATACAACAACAACAACAACAACAACAACAACAACAGGGCTGGGCAGGCTAGTAGCTTACCTCCCCATCTAAAGTAGGGATATAGTGTATTTCCCCCTAGGGGATACCCCGTCCTTCAGTCTCTTTCTCGGCAACTGAGATCTTATCTATCCCACTATCCTTCCGGCAGGTACCAGAAGCTCTAACTTGTTGATTCCGTAGGGTACGAAAGAGACGTATAGACGTAAAGAGGTTATTAAGAAATACGTAGTAGGTTACAGCTAGTAGTAGGGAAACAAGAGTAGTTACTACCTGCTGCGTTGGTGTTAATAGAGCCAGCTTTCCAGCAGCTGTCCCGGCTGGCCTAGCCGACCCCGGGCGGGCTGGGTTGAACAGGCTGGCTGGGCTGGCTGTGCCTGGGGGACTAATGCGTATGGGCCCTTCCCATGTACGTACCACAGCCACCGTATACAGTAGCCAGACTGGGCAAGGATCCAGATCTTATAGCCAGTTGGGGTAGGTTTCGTTGGAATCGTTGTCGTCTCAAGAGATCGACCTATAAATCGGACCATAGCCTCGTCAACTATAAGGTCTAAACCGGGTATATAAAAGAAATCCCCAGTTTCTTGAATATGGGCTAACTATTAGTTAACCTTCCGATATACATCTGGCATTTGATCTTGGGCCTGGCCCCGGCCCCGGCTCCGGCTGCGGCTGGGCTGCCCGCACTGCCCGGGCTGGAATTCCGCAGTATCGAATATCTGTAGTCGTCGGAGCAGTAGTTGAAAACGGTCGCGGGATATGAACTATGTAAATAGGTAGATAGGATCCTCCTTTTGCTACTAGGTCGACCAGTAGGTTGATAATCTAGGTTCCTTATAGATCCCTATATATAATAGGATCCCTAAGAAGAGATAAATCTCGTCTGCTGAAGTTTTCCTCTACTCATATATCCTAGCTCGTCTAGCCCTAGGGCCCTCTTTAGATAACGGTACTATATTCGTCTATTATGCCTACTGCTCTACGAGGCTCTGCGGAACGTATTGGAGGAATAGTTCAAGCGGGCTTGCCGGCAGCCCCCGTACCTCTTGGGCCCGGGCCGGTACGTTAAAGGACTAGAAGGAACCCGGAGGGCCGTGCTTAGTAGCCAGAGGTTCGTAGGGCCGGACCGTAGCGGCATTATAGCGCTCGGCCGTACAGTCTGTATTATAGGCAGCAGTAAGGTCTTCTGGAAGGACCTTAACTACTATACAGCTGCGTATAGAAGTAATAGAGGTATTAGAATTACTAGAAGACATCGCAGCATCAATCAAAATGGTAGTAATAGTGGTGATAATAGGTAACAGAGCATAGGGAGAAGTGACGTATCGTCAAGTACCCCTTTAAATGCGGGGTAATAATGGGTAAATAGTGGGTATTTTGGGGCTTGGCAAAAATGGAGCTATTCCGCACCCGATGGGATAGCGTATCTCTGCCACGTTAATAATAATAATAGCTGTACATGCTTGCGTACTTTTGCTGTCCAGTTCCGTACCAAACTCCCAAGAATGTGATCGTTCCAACAGTGAAGCTGACAAGGGCGATGACAATTCTGCTCTTCTTTGACCGACCTACCATCAGCGCAAGCAGGAAAGCAATTATCGGAACCAAGAGCCACCATCCAAACGAGTTGTTGATGACGATGAGCGGCACCGATGTCACCATCATCAACAAGACGGCGCCTATCCACCCCTTTTCCTCCTTGAGCCACATCCAAATCGCCCGCCAGAAGCCATATGTCGCGGGTGAAACTGCCAACTCCAACTGAATCCTTCCGCCCTTTAGACTCTTCTTGATTTCTTCCGAGAGCTGGTCGTGAGAGAGCTCGTCGGGCTCGGTCTCCTGTAGCTCCTTGCGAATGGCATGCGACAGCTCCAACACGCCCTTGTAACCCCTCGGTACATCGTACCTCCGCCGCATCCTCATCGTCAGGCGGGCCTTGAGCCACACGTAGGCAAGACTCAATGTCCACAGCACGAGCAAAATCACGAGGATGTAGAGTTGCAGATAAGAGAAGCCCCATTGGTAACTCTCCCGCCCGGCATCAGCGCCGATTCCGTGATCACTCATGGGTTGACAACTCCCGTACGCCTTCATGTACTCCTTGGAGTAGGTCTCGTTTCCGGCGATGTAAGTTAAGTTTTTTTCATTTTCGAAGGGCTTCAAGCCCGTGCGAGGATCTGTCCAGTTCCAGCCGTATAACAAGTTTCTGTAAGGAGGAAGTCCAGAAGTCGATATGTTGAGGGCCGGAGCCGGCATAGTCTTGTTCATCCAAGTGGTGTTCTTGTTCTCTAACCCATAGAATCCATACTCTTGGACATCTGCCAAAAGGAACATATTAGCACTGCAACATTGTGCGAATCGTTGACACTTTACATTGTTACTGTGGATGACTTGACTTACAGTTCGAAACATTTCGATGCAATGAACATCTTTGAGTTTCCGGCGTAGACTCATCGAAGCTCCACCAACTCGAAGAGTAGTATCCAGAGTAGCTCTGGTCATCTTCTACGCAACCGAGATTACGTGCCCATAAGCTTGTACTACTATAACTGCCGGCCCTATTGTCTTCTTCAAATTCAGCGCAGGCCTGGGATTCATGTGAAGACCACCGTCACCGAAGGTTTAACACTTACAGCCAGGGAAGGTGAGCGTAGTGTTGCCCTCCATGCCGATCCTCCAGCCGTCGTGAATTACATATCCAACAACCTCGAACCCGCCAAAGGGTATCAACATGCCGTCGGAGCCCTGTACATATGCGTCGTTGTTCGCCACGTATCCTGTCATTGCACTACCCAGGGTAGGGAAGCATAAGATGAAGATAGTAACCAAGACCATCATGATCATCATGACCTTCGATCTTAACCCTCGTGAACGAGCAAAATCTCGTACCATGTTCCACGTTGACCAAAAGTTCGGCTGGTCCTGGAGGAAGATTGTGCGAAAGAAGTCGTACGTCACAGGTTTGACTTGAATCGAGGTGGTAGTGTAGTCGGCAAATACTCTCCATGTGATCCAGGTCAGCAGAGCCTGGCCTCCTCGACCGAAGATCTGCGAGCGACCGGTCAGTTGATGAATAACAGAATGATGCATTTCGTGCTATCCAGTGAGCAGCTTACCACATCCCAAGCAACGTCAATGACTTTGGCATCCGCAAATGAAAACCTGCCCCATGCCAAGGTAATCTGGAAGAATCCAGAGGAAGACCAGAGGTTGTACTGGTTCTTCTCAACGTCGAAACTGCCGTCCGGCTTGCATGCCGAGTCTCCGTACAACTCTGTGTTGCTGATGAATGCAAGTACGGTGCAAAGTCCTCCGATCCACGATAAAGCCAATAGCCAAGCGAGAACTGCGTACCAGTGGACAGCTCGAATGTCTCTAAACGCGGCGACGAATGCCTCCCTCCACTGCCTGCGGTTCCAGCGACGCTGTCGAAAATCTTTCCACGCGCTAAGAAATTCTTTCTTCCATTGTCTCCTATCCCACAGCCGGTACCGGAACTTTGTCAACTTGAACTGCGTGGTCTCCTTGAGCGGCTTTCTGTCTTCGACGAGTAGTGGGGAAAATGGTCTCGTTGATGCTGATGGAGCGTCTTCTCCGTTCTCTTTGGGTGAGGCCATGGTCGGTGATGGTGTACTCCGGTCTGGAGCAACATGCGTGGTCGTGGCTTGGTGCAATGCTCAAGATATTGCGTACTGATAGTCGAGTCACCGAGTAGCTTGGCTCGACACTTGGAAATCCGCAATTACGGCGCAATTGGGTGTTTATCAGAGATCTTACATTCGGTCAGCCTGCATCAAGTCGTGCAGCCTGACGGAGCGTGACAGGGGTAGAAGTCGGCGGCCAGCCCGCAACGCTGTCAGCAGGATTGATGTCATTTCGGCTGCTTCGAACAACGTCGCAGGTGCTGACTGCATTAGAGACCTTCTGGGCAAGCGCGGAGTCTCAATGCCAGGGAACATGCGACTAGGCGTGCTGCGCCAACGACGTTTTCTTATGTTGAGTGACGCAGTGATTGAATCCTTGAGCACCCAGGCACGCCAGGGAAGTTGAAGCAGGCTCTGGAGAGGTTGTCGATCTTGGAGATCCAACTACTCAGCCACTGCGCTGTTGTCCTAGATAACGTTCACTTTGCCCCAGAGTCCGAGATTTGCTGCGAGCTTGGCGGTCCCATTACCATCCAGCTGATGGCGTGCGTTTTGGGACTTTGGTGTGCGGCACAGCGCCACCACCCACCAGTCTCGGGACGGGAGTGGACGTCGGACTATGACGCCACTGTCTGTATGCGTGAGACAGTTTGATACCATCTGTATTCCCCGAAAGAATTGATTCATAGCCTTCAAATGGGCTCATTGGATCGAGCGTGATAGCTACAGATCCAAACATATCCGTACAGTGGGGTGCCACAAGTTCGTGTACACCCCACCATTGCCCAACCTCCCGCATTTCCACCACCATACTTCGACTGGCCGCAGAACTGTCAAACTTTTGATTTGTATGGCAAAACTATGGGCAAAAGAAAGCCCTGAGTTTGCTCTTTAGTATCGTGTATACCACCCTTGTGCTTGAATTACTGCCGCAAGTCGGCGCGGGATAGAGTCGATTAGACTCCGAATCTTGAGTTGTGGGATGGCTTCCCACGCCGCCCTTAATTGCACTTTGAACTCTTCTATATCTAACTCATTCCTCCTTAAAGTGAATGCTTCTGGGCATAGTCTACGCAAGTTAGACTTCATCATACGCCAGCAATGCTCAATTGGGTTCAGATCGGGCGAATAAGGAGGCCATTCGAGCCAGGAGATCCCCTGGGCCAATAGCCACTCTGTCGTACGATTTGCCGAGTGAATAGGGGCATTATCCTGGACAAAGTGCCGTGTCTCGTCTGCGTGAGGTAAATACCCTTCCTCTAGGCATTGTATATAGCTGTTTGTACTGTAGACTTGCCGTCGGGAGGCACCGTCGCGAGTGAGAAAGACCAATCCAGAGCGACCATCTTGCCATACCATTGCCCATACCATAATAGATATATTCGCCTTAACGTGGCTCACAAGATTGATGAATCTCTTGCTCCAACGGTCTTGCTGTAACCTGAACACCCACTCTGTTGGGGCAGAGGTGTTGTTCTGGCATGAAGACTCGTCAGAGAACTGGCACTAGATACTCAAGAATTAGAAAATGAATCTCCATACAAGGCCTTGCCACCAAACCACATACTGCCATCAATTCTTCTGGGTTTCGGATCCAGTTTCTTGCAAATTCGAGTCTCTTGGCCGCTGCTTCTGGTGTTATAAAGGGCCGCTTCATAGCTCTCCATTTACGGTAGCTTCCCTTCTTGAGAACACGCTTAATAGTGCGGAGACTAGCTCTGCCTTGCCACTCAGCAGCGAGCTCATGGTACGGTTGCCGGTAGTTGATTCGAACAGATCTGACTAGAGCCCTTTTCTCCGTATTAGAAAGATTCTCTGGCCTTCCTTTCCGGGGCAGCGACTGAAAGCCGTTGCCTTCAGTGTATCGATGAACCGTCTTCTGCACCGTCGAATGTGGCAGGCCGAAGAGCACCGCGACCTCGCGGTAGCTTTTACCAGCCATAACAAACGCGGTAATCGCTACTCGCTGGACTTCTGTGAGTTCATAGTTAGCTCTGTGACTCCCTATTATTCCAGAGCAAAAAGCATGTATTTTGGCCTCCATTTACTAAAGTTGTGGTATGTGGAAGAAAAAGAGGTGTTGGGGAGAAAACGCGTCGGAACGCGTGGTGGTGGGGTGTACACGAACTTGTGGCACCCCACTGTACACAGGACAGTAGGGTACCATAGGGAGGTCAGGCATGAGCGGACGCTGGATCGCTGGAGTCAGTTGCTTCCCGGGCCTGTTCGGAAGAGAAGCTTATTTCCGGATGCGCTGGGATAACCAAACAGTAGTTTGGGTATGCTTTCATGGCGCGCGCGATTCTTAAGCGATCACCATGCCTACCCTGGTCGCATTTACGCAGGCAGCAACTCAATTTCAGAAGAGAAAGCTGCAAATAGCATCAGCATTGCAGAGATCGAATGGTAAAGACACGGGAATCAAGGGAAATCCAACTGTCAAAGCTAGAGTTTCCTTCCCATGAATTCCCTTTGAAATGACCTTTCCCAGGGCCTTTGTCTTACCAGTCAACCCAGACTTGGGCGACCTCAGCGCACGGCCATGGTCCCATTAACAGATTTGACGACTGTAAAAGAAACAGCATGTGTCCAGGAAAGGCGGAAGGTTCACGGAAGGAGGTAGCTGTCTGAATTTCCCGAGAAGATCAGCTATCTATCACTCGAAAATTCATACTTCCCGACTTGTTTCTTCACCGGCTTACCTCAGGCAATATGGCTCAGTCTATCGTCAGGGTCCAAGCCTTTATAAGGAGTGCTCAGGAGCATCAGATAACTTGGCCGAGTTTTTGGACGAATGGCGCCTGAATTATTCAACCGACATGCGCTTGCCCCGTATACCTCTCTTATCTTGCTACCGCTATGAAAATCGAGAACGAGGCCTGGTGCGTGAAAGATCGGTGACTCGGCAAGGTAGGTTTCGTCCTAATGCTGAAGAATTCGACACCAGACGTTCGGTAACCCCACGTGGATTCTTACCTTAATCCATTGAAGCTTAGAGTCCTTGTCCCACTCGATTACCAACCCGATAGATCGGGTTGACACTTCGTCGGCAGCACAAGCTAGGACAGTTCAAAGTCCCCGGTTGCCGTGCCGCACTGATCCTCCTTAACCTTGACTGACAGGCTTGACAGAGGGAAACACCATCTTTGCAACTATTTGCTGCGGCCACCGTTCGTGGCGTGCGCAAACTCGTTACTCAGGGGTTTTGCGGCTGAGAGGCTTGGCCGCCACATATCGTTGAGCGACCAACCAAACATCGATTCAGCCGGCCGGCGCCTTTGACATCCCACGCGATGTTTAGCCACACTACCGACTATTTGGTCAGGATCCGACCGCTAATGAAGTAAGGAGACTAGTGCTCGCGGCAACCACGAAGACCATGCCATTTTTTGAATCTCTGAAGAACTTCCCCCTGACTACCACATGAGGTAGTGTTTCTTGTCGTTCGATTGAGCCTCGCCTGGAAGCCTCGCTAAGTCCTGAACGAGATGGTCCCCCGATGCGGCCGTCAACATCGCCTTGTCGCGGTGTTAGATGATGGCCTTTCGCCAAGGATAATCTGACTCGACATTTCGGCAGGTTGAAAGATGGGATTTCTTCGTGAAGGGTTGAATTACCATATAATCTAGGGGTCGTCGTCCTCAGTTTCCGAATTTGAGTCTTGTGCTTCAACCAACTCCTCTTTGCCATTCACTCTTTCATGGCCTGAGTTGTTTCTGTTTCTGTCTCTGTCACTCTTTCGATTATCATCGGCCATACTGGGCTGACCACACTCGTTCCTCTTTCAGAATTAGTCCCATAATTACAGTCTTTTGATCATAATCATCACTCACACTCGTTTCACCATGAAGTGGTCTTTCGCCCTTCCCCTACTTGGGCTTTCCGGCGCCCTCGCACACCCAGGCCAGCGCAAGTACCTCAACCAGAGGAACGAGACTCTTGTCTCAGGTCAATCTGGCAACTCTTTCACCCAGACTGCATCTGTGCCTGTGCCCCTTAGCACCGGTGTGACCTTCCACCCTCCAGCCAACTCAACCCGCACACTCACGTTGGCCACCGGCACAGCGTCTGCCTCTGACGATGTTGTGGCCGCAACGGCTGCTTCCTCTAGCACGGAGTACGAATTCCCAACCTCCAAACTTGGGCCCATTGCGACCCTGAAGCCTGCTATCCCAGACAACCACGATCTCAACGATGTTAACAACCTCACTCCTCAGCCTAGCGGCGCTGGTGCTCCGATTCACTACGCGCAAGATGCTGGCTCGAACGGAGGTGGCATCTATGCTGTTGCTACCCCTAAGTGGACTGCTCCGTCCATCGTTCTCGACCACTCGGGCCTCGTCAGCGATGTTAAGCTCTCGGGTCAAGGCAGCCTTGTCATGACTTTTGGTGATCAGAATGCCTTTGACCACAGCGCGTCCAACTGGAAGGCCGACAACATCATCTTCGTCACCTACACGCCGGAGTGCGGTGACTACGACTTGGGCCAGAGATGCTACTTCCAGGCCAACTCCGTCACCTTTGACCGCAATTCCCTCTCTGCAACCGCGGCAGGACAGGCCAAGGATATTGGCGATGTCACGAAGGACATCAACGTCGTGTGGGGAAACTACGGTAGCCAGAACGTCAACTACGGCAACCCCGCGGCCACCGCTGAGCCCACCGCGACTGAGACCGACGTGAATCCGGCCTACTCCGTTGCTCCTACCATGACTGCCGCCTGCGTAGCTCCCGTAGATGACAAGTACGGTCTTCCCACGGCGTGCTTGGGACCTTACTTCGACGAGGTTCTCGACACGGGGCTCGGCTACTTCGAGTCCGACGTCTTCAGCTTCAACGAGACCCTGTACGAGGTTGACATTGACGGCGAGCTGTCCAACTCCACTCTCGCCAGACGTACTGTCTTCGAGTCCATCGGCAACGGCTTCAAGAAGATCGGCCAGGCGACCAAGAGCGGCATCGTCACCCTCAGCAACAAGATTGAGACGGGAGCCAAGGCCGCTAAGAACAACGTCGTCAAGACGGGCGAAAAGGTTGTCAAGATTGGCGCCAAGGTCGTCGAGGTCGGCAAGGCCGTCGTCGAAGTTGGCGGCAACATCCTCACGGGGAAGCCTAACCGCTTTGAAAAGGACTTTGACAAGCTCCTCCTTCCCTGGCCCGCCAAGGATTGCAAGGAGGCCGAGAACGACAAGGACAAGAAGGAAAAGCTCAAGAACGCCTGCAAGCCCAAGAAGCAGGACAAGGACAAGGACAGCGAGGCCAAGGCCGTCAAGACCCCCTGGGGCGACGACGCGCTCCTGCTCAAGTCGTTTGGCACTATTCCTTCGCCCAAGGATCTGCGTCCTAAGGGATCCAAGAAGCAGACCACCGTAGCCAAGGGCAACTTCATCAACCTCTACTGCGTCAAGTGTGGTCTCTCCGGATCTCTCAAGACCAAGGGCAACATCACCATTGAGAACATCAAGGGCATCACCGATGGATACATCGAGAGCGACATTGACCTCTCCGTCGGTCTCGGTATCGGTATCTACGCTCAGTACTACCAGGAGCACAAGTTCCGCAACAACTTGTACGACATTCCCCTCTCGCCCTTCACCCTCGGCTTCGTCACCGTCGGTCCCATGCTCTCCATCGGCACCGAGATCAAGTTCAGTCTCAACATGACTGGGACCGCCGTTGCCCGCGCCGACGTCAGCATCGCCCGCGCAAAGTTCGTCTACGACTGGAAGAAGGGCAGCTCCAAGTCCATTGGCTTCAAGCCCCAGTTCAAGCCCAGCTTCGAGGCCGAGGGTCAGGTCGAGATCGCCGCCCAGTTCGGCATCCCCGTCGGCCTCGACTTTGGCGTCACCACCTTCAACGGATGCTCCAAGTGCAAGGGCGCCATCGGCATTGAGACCATGCCATCCATCAAGGCTGCCGCCGCCATCGCTGTCCAGGCCAAGTGGGACAACAGCACCGATGGTATTGAGGCTGGCCTGAAGCCCCTCAATAACTGCACCGGCATCAGCACCACCCTCAGCGTTCGTAACGATGTCACGGCCAAGTTCAAGGGCTTCGGACTCGTCGACAAGGACTGGCCCATCCATGAGACCAAGGACTACATTATTGCCTCGTACTGCATTGGGTAAGTGACGATTTCGACTTTGATGACCTTTTCAAGTAATCGTGCTAACATCTGAATAGCAACAAGACGGACGGCACAAGCAAGAGCAAGCTCGGCCTCCACGACGAAAAGCGCTCTCTCCCCTCTACTCCCTACAACAAGTACGAGTACCGCCGCGACGCGAACAACGTCTCCGTCCCCACCAACACCACAACCAACTCGACCCAGCTCGCCGACCTGACCAAGTACGTCGTCGAGGAGATTGAGTACCTCGACTACAACGGCACCGACCTCGCCGCCATCCCCTACGATCTCGACGAGGCGGCCTTTGACGGATACTGGTTCAGCACCCTCGCCCTCGAGAGCGACAACAGCTACGTGCTTGCCGCCTGCAGCGACGGCAACGTCTACCTCCAGAAGAGCACCACCCAGAACGACCTGCCCTACTACGTCACCTGCAACACCCTTTGGGCCGGCTACGGCGAGGCCGCTCTCTCCACGCCCACCGGCGAGGTCCTTCACTACTACAACAACACCATGGACAAGGTTGGCGTCAGCCGTCTCCGCGCCGGAGATGAGGCCAACCTTCCCGGAACCTCAGTCTATGTGTAAGTTCTCTTGAGCCAGGATTTCAATCCACAAGCTTCGGTCTTGCTAACGCGTACATCAGCGCACTCACCCCCTTCTACTACGATGACAACGACAGCACCGCCAGCATCCTCGCGGCTATCGATCCCGAAGATAACATTTTCTTCCCCGCCGTCTGCACCTACAAGGGCGACCAGACAGCCAAGATCTACCTGGTTGGCGAAGACGTCGACGCCGGTCTCGAGATGCTCAAGTCCCCGGATCTCACCTACACCGTAACCAACGGCGAGGTCGACGATTGCTACCTCCTTTTCCTCGGCATCACCAACCGCGAGCTTGGCGAGTGGGCCGACTATGGCGACGATGTCTCGGATGCCTATGAGAGCGACCCGCTCGACGTCGAGTTCGAGGACACGCTCTTTGACACTGATGGAGACTTGTTGTTGCCTGCTGATGAGCTTTTCGCTTACCAGGACGATGTCAACTATGATGATGTTTTTGATGAGTCGTTGGATGACATTACTTGGGAGTAAGGAGTGGAAAACTCCGCTCCGTCCGTAGCTCCGACGTTGAATCAAAGGAGCGTTGTTCTTCAAGGAGAAATGAAGAAATCATAGAAACACTACTTACAATTAATACATAATAGAGATCCCTATGTTCCAAGGTTTTGATTGCTCCTAGCCGCGACGTGTCACATGTATTAAATAGTCATTGCAAGAACCTCCAAACGAAGGACGTCCATTATTCGGCCAGATTGGCTTCTTTCCATACACTCATTATCGAAGTTCTTTGCAAAGCAATGCGAGACGAGTCTTTACTCGGTAACCTTCAGATCGTAGTCTCGACAAAGGGTGTGCTTTATCATGCTTGACTCCCTTAGTGATGAAGACCCTGTTCGCTAGGGAGGCTTACTTTCGACCGGGCAGGTTGAAAAGTCCACGCCTATCATATCGAACAAGGCATTGTACAGGATATAGAAAGAGCGATGCGTTATAGGTCTCATGTCAATAAAGGATATGGCCCGCGCTCACACTTGGACGTCATTGTTCTTTCCGAGGCATGGTTATGCAACAGGCTCATCCGTCGTTGACCAAGACTGAAGAGCATGCAGACAAAGACATACAAAACAACTCGAGAACAAGCTCAGGTGTTAACAATTCCTTATGTTGGCGTCCAGTTCAGCTACTGACTATATCTTTGGCCAATATCGATCCCAACGTAACTAAGTGTATATTGATATCTATCAGAATCGAATACTATTGAACTACCAAAAGCAACATCATGGAGAGCTCGAGCGAAGATCAGTCCATTGACGAGCATCAATCCGTCAGTGAGAATTACTCCCTAAATGAATACCAGTCCGTCGATGACGACTACTCCGTTGGTGAAGACCACTCCGTCGACCAATATCATTCGGCTGAAGAGAACCACCCCGCCAAAGAAACACCACCCGGTGAACCTCAAGTTCAAAGTCACTCCTTCTTCAAAAGTCCAGCAGACATATTATTCGGACCATTCAAGAACGTCGTCTCTCGGCCGCTCCCTCCACTTCCCACCGACGCTGAACCAAATCCAACGACAAACGTCGAAGTCCTACTTCAAGAGCTACTAGCGCAAGAGTCTATAGAAGATGTTGAGGGCCTCTGCGAAGAGAACCCTACACTCCGGAAAGTCTTCAAAGACAACATGGTCCAGGTCCTCCGGAAACACATCGCCCCAGAAGCCTGGGCCGACGCCATCTGCTGCGTCGACCGCCGCCTGAAACACCCCGGCAAGACGGCCAGAAGGGCCTTTGACGAAGACTATGCCAACGGCACCGTGGCAGACTGGCCTCCACCCCCGGAAAGTATCATGGGATCTATCGCTGGCAGTGCCAGACGGACCATCTCCTATTACCTTTCGGCATTTGCAGGCGCTGGCATTAAAATGAGTAAGCAACCATGTACAGAACGCGGACAATGGGACCTGACCGGCCTCTGCCAGCTCGTCATGATCATCGACAAGCTACTAGACAGGGTCTCGCAGGCTCAAAAGATATACGCCTCCTTTGAAGAGTGGGAAGACAGCTGGCAAAACCGCCGCACAAACGACCTCCCCGACGCGATATGGGGCGACCATATCGAGATACTCAAACCCAAATTCCTCGCAAGGTGCAACGACAACGGCACCGAAGACCCCAACAACATGACCTATGCCTGGGACCGGCACACGGCCTATGAACAAGATAGAGTACACATATCGGAGGGCGTTCTGATGACCAAGGCAAACCGCGCAAAGCTCCAGCGCGCCTTCTTCCGCCTTGAGTTCATCCGGCGAGCGTACTACCAACAACCCTTCTACCCCCGCGGCGCAGAATGGCAGAACCGCAACGCGACGATGACGGAAGGCGAGGTCCGCGGCCCCGCGGGCGAAAACTACGAAACTCGCGTGGAGCGCGCCGAAGAAATCTTCAAGCACTGGGACGAGGACGAGTTTGTCGAGGTCATTTGCGCCTTCAAGGCCACCCTGAACGAATTCGTCGGTCCCGTGCGCCACCTCCTGGAAACCTTTGCCGAGAGCATCCCACAGTACATTGATATGGACCAAGTCCATCGCTTCCGAGAGGCCTACGAGACGCGATACCGAGAAACCGATTGGAATGGTGACGCCGTCGGTCTGCAGTGGGAATGGGACCCCTACGACCTTCGCCAAGCATTCCTCCCCGTGTGGGATGTCCCGCACTCGGACAACTTCTTCAGCCTCCGCGCGCAGCTTCTCGACGACCGCGCCGATCTAGGCAGGCAGATGGACGAGTGTCTCCCCGCGCCCCTTGCGCACGCCGAGTTCGACGCGTGGCATGCCACGATATACCGGTCCGAACGCATCCGCTTCGCGCCGCAGAGAAAGCGTGAAAGGGAGGACCCTTCGCTGAGGAAGTTGGCGAAAGAGGCGTGTCCGTTGCGGGCCATGATGCGGTTCCTGACCGTCATGTGTAGCCTGCCGTTGTCGTTCATGGGGGAGTTCCTTGATATGCCGCCATACAGGAAGGCCCGCTTCGTCAAGTCAGCTTACTGGGCCGTCGCCCGTGTCAAGGCTTCGAGGTGCCCGTCCTTTCTATCAGGCGAGATGAGCGCCTGGTGCAGCTGGCCCACCGTCGTGTACGACAAGGACGGCAAGCCAGACCTAGGGACGCGCCCCCGCCTGCTCCCCGAGATGTCCGTCCGCGCCGCCTCCATCGGCTGCGTAGCCAAGGTGTACGAGTTCGTCGAGAACGAAGTCGTCGGCTGGCGGCTGGTCCCGCACCCGGGATCAGAAGGCGGCTGGTGGAAGTGGAAGTGGGACGACGCGTGCCTCCCGGCCAAAGTCTGGGACGACCTACACTGCGACCTGTCGTCCTTTACGACCAAGATCAACAAGGTCTTCCGTATGAACGACGTCAAGTGGGCGCAGGTCTGGCGTTCGGATTGTGAGTTTGAGCGGCAGGTCTGGACGGGGCGGATGATGGACCGGGAGGTGTGGGAGGGGTACGGGGACCCCGGCCGCGTGGATGGGAATGCATGTTATTGTCGTTGGGGTAGCAGTGGGTGCGGAATTTGTGTGCTGTTGCCCGAGGCTGAGTTGCCGGAGTGGGAGTTGATGACGCCGGATGAGGTCCTGGAGGAATCTCATGTCCTGGGGTTTATGCGGGAGCCTTTGAGCAAGCTTCCCGATTTGGAAGAAGCCGTGAAGGAGTATGTTGGGAAACGCGTTTTTCGTGTTGAATATGAGGAGGCTACCTAGTTCATTATCGGAGCCAGTACATAGGAATATGAAAAGCTTCATTTGTTGTTTGGCATGCTTGAAAATATCTGGTGTGGATGAAATATTTGTATGTTTTTTTGAAATGAAATGCCTATGATGCTGTGCTAATAGTTTTGCTTTTTTAGAAGATTTCTCTGTCGTCGTACGCCCTGACGCTCTCCAAGTAGTTCTTGACCTGACTATAATCCTTGCACACTGAGCATCTTATTAGCTTTCAGCTGCTCTGCTAGATCTTGATTCAGATGAGGGTGACTTACCATGCTTCGAGTCCCAGCCGTCAGAACCACCGTTGTGATCCGGGAAGGTCGTCTCAAGACCCTCGAGAGCCATATCGGCACTGCACATGATGGTCTGTCTCAGGTAGGAGAAGCAGTGAATCATGTGCCAGTGATGGTCATCGGGGATCTCGTGGCCGGACTTGATACCAGAGTAGGTCTGGACAACAGCGAACTGGATGGGGTTGTTAGTGGCCGTCAACAAATAACAAGTGAGCTTAGATGAGAACGTACCAAGCAGTGCAGCTGGTGGGTAATGGAGGTGGTGAAGACGGTCTTCTCGGGCCAGACGATGGGAGTCGGCAGGTCGTGGTACTTGTGCGTGTCATTCACCCATTGGAAGCCCATGCCGTCTGTGGTTTCCATGTTAGCGATCGCATCCCTCTCATCGTTCTCAAGACTCAGTACTCACAAGGCATCAACTCGTTCCAGTTGTTCAACGTCTCATCGGTGAAAAACTTTGATGTGTCGTTGGGCGCATACTTGCCCTCGTAGTCTGGCGTGAAGGTCTTGATCTGTTGCGAGACTACACATTCATCAAGTCAGCAATCTCGAGCCCTTCATTCTTCATCTCCCTCCTCCCGACGAAAGAACAAACTCACAATGTCCGCTGACACCAGTCAAATCCCCACCAAAATCCCACGTATTCACCGGCGGCTTCTGCATCTGCTCCCTCACCAACAGACCCAAGATCACAACCAGCAATATCGTATCGACAAACCACCGCGACGAGTTGAGCATCGCCAGGCACCGGTTCTTCCTCCTCGCCGGCTGATCGCGGTGGTAGTCTTTGGCCATGCAGCGCCGGCACGCCTTGTCGTCGTTGCCGAGGAGTGACTCCTCGACCTCGGTGCTGCTCCGGTCATCGTGGTCCTCGAACTTGATGTTGGCGTACTTTGCGTCCGACATGTCCATCTTGGCGGTTGTCTTTGTGTGTTCTCGAATGAGTGTTCTGTTTCTATTTGTGTACAGCAAGGTACAAAGCGGATCAACCGGCGGCAGACAAGTCAATGAAAGAGAGAATTATCGGATCGAATTAGAAAGACTGGAGATATGTGCAACAGCAATGCGCCAGCGCCAAGGAGAGAAGAAGACAAGGAGGAAGAGGCAAGACCAAAACAGGTGCGAAGGGCTTTCATGCGGGCCATCTCGTTCTTTTTTGTTCAATGTTGCCCCTGTTTCTCTCCTTCATCCTCGCCTACAATAACCGCTCTCGATTCGTTACGCCGTCCTGTTTTCGGTTCCCCGTCGTCTCATGTCCAGATGCCACAAGAGTCTGAGGCTGAAGTTTCAGGACAGGGGTCGTCGATGTTGCCCCCAACAAGCCCCAGACTCTCTTCTTAGCCTCTAAATTCTTAATTGTTAGTGCAGCTTTCTCGCTCTTTAGCAGAGTCAATAGTGAGAAGAGCCGGTGACTAAGCAGTACAGCGCCCGTTTCAGCGATCCTAAAGCCGCCAAGCGGCCCCCGCAGTTCACACATCCTCCCCAGACGGAGGCCCTGCAGTGTTTCCAGTCGCGTTTTGAATTCCGTCCAAAGTCACATTCTGAGGCGCGCCATTCGTCGATCCTTCGTCTCTAGTTGCCGTCTTTTCCCTCCCCTTGGTCCTTTGGCCTTTTCTCGAACTTAGGTAGGACAAAAGATGCTTCTCATCTGCTGCTGAGTGACGCTATTTCTGATGTTGGTGATGCAGTGGCAACCCAATTGAGCTGTGAGGTCTCTTAGCCGCCGAAAATAACCTCATTTCGTGCATCTACTTTCCGTCTTCCCGCCCTGTTAGCTCATTGTTGCATGAACCTATCTCATGTTTAAGAATATGTTGGTTTAAATGACAGAGGCTTGAGTGAGATCTTGGTCTAGAACATGGCGTACGGATACATGGCGTAATGTCGTAGAAGCCTGCCTGAGATGATCTGCATCGACCTTGATCAAGCTCGTCGCCAAGCCGCACATCACGTCGATACGCAAGTCGGAGCCATAGTTTACTAAGCCGTTCCTCTTTGAATTCAAATATCAGCAGCCATAGAATCTCACATAATAGGAAAAGAGAAATGCTCCTTTGAAGATATACAACAAGACGCCAATGAGTTAGTTGTCTTCAAACTTAGCTTTCCTCAAAAGTCCCTCGCCGCATCTCGCACCCTTGCCGAGAACCCACCCGACAGAAGTCATATGTGGGCAGCATCTCTTCACTGGTGCGCGCTTTTTTGGCCTTCACTGCGATTTTAACCCATCCCAAGAGGGTCAATGCAAACCAAGAACGTCGCTTCGCCCATTCGATAATCCCGAATCGCGAGGCTGAGCCCCGTTGTATTCCCTCGTCAGATTCACTGCATTCTTAACTCAACGCAAGAGAACCAAAGCCAGACAGAAGTCACGGGTTCTTAGTTTTAGTCCACCAGCGAGTCTGGCCTTGTGAAGAATACTTGTGCTTCAAAACTGGCGTGCCATAAGGTCTTTCTCCTTCAGAGCGATCCCATTAGGTCTTCCTTCAACTTGTGGATTATGCTCGAGAGCAATGTTGCAACAATCTCAAGATCCCACTTCAGCAAAACGTTGCTGCCATCTCGTCATTTCCCTTGGATCTAGCTAGACCAAGAATATATCTCTATTTTTTTTATATCTTTTTTTCCCAATCACACCTCCAGGCTACCAGATTTGATTATAATTGATAACAGCCACGTCGCTGATCCGGGCCACCTAACCTTGATCCAGCCGTCGCTCTCCGGAATGTGGAGACGGTCCGCCCCGGGTCGGAGACCGGACAGAAGTGGATACATGCGGAAGAGCCCGTGTCCAGCAGTCGGAGAAACATCTGCCGGACGCAGAGTCAATAGCTGTAAGCCGAAAACAATCGAATTTCTCCCATTTCGGCGATACAAACTATCTATCGCAGCCGTAAGTTGGAGGCGCTCTTTTCAAAATATTGTGCCGAAATACTATGGCAGGAATGCAACGCCGGATGCGATCCGCGCCTCTGAGTGCTACCCCATGCGTTTTGCTGGAAGGCAACCATCTCGGTTTCGGTTTTGCAATGTTGAGAAGGCACATTCCATATCAATCACATCTAGCACCTATAAGACTACGTCACAGCAAGAAGTATTGTAGAGATATCGCGGCACCAAGCGGTGCACGCCATGTGTATATTGATCCATTCCAAGGGGAAGAGATTCTAGTCTTCTCCCCGCATCCATGTAAATATGTACGTCATGCCGTCATAAAGGTCGTGAGAATATCCTCCCATCGGCTCCTGCCGGGGCCAAAGGCCAAACCACCAAAAAAAAAAAAAAAGAAGAAAAAAACGAAAAAGGAAAAAGTGTAAATAGAAATTAAGTTATAAAAAAGGTCTCTCTCCGCGATGGAAGAAAGGGGGTATCAAGTAGTCTTAACAGGGTTGTATCCTCTAAACATTTCGCAAGGAAGATAGTTGTTTTCGATAAAGGGCGTGGCGGCCTGGAAGCCAGCCACGTCGGAGAACGAAACGTCGGTCTGGAACGGCCCGAGGTTCGATTTGAGCGTCCCGCGTACGGGAACAGGCTCGAAGGCTCCGGTGGTGACGGAGGTGTTGAAGAGGCGGATCTGCTGATCGCAGGTTGAGCCGTTGGCGAAGATGGGTTGGTTGATGATGGTGTCGAACATGGCCAGCGTGTAGGGGGCCTTGCCGCCGCATGACGACTTCTTCATCTCGAGGGACATGTATTTGGCGCCCGCGGTACCATTGAATGAAGTGCCACCTCCGGGGGTGGCCGAGTATGCGTTGCAGTCAGGGGCAAAGGTGGCGGCGTGGACTTCGGTGCCGTACGCCTGGGAGCCGGTGACGGCAGCGGGGTTGGTAGCCGAAATCAGTTGCTCGGGTGCCCATCGAAAGGACGATTTGCCGTCGCCAAGGAGATCCAAGAAAGGAAACTCAAAGCCAGATTTCTATTCCGAGTGTCAGTTATGTGTCTCTATGAGGAAACGTCTTGTACGCAGGACTTACACTGAAGTCTGGAATTCCAAAGTCCTGGAACCGAATGTCGTGATCGTGGCCGGCCTGGACGACAACGGGGTACATGTCGGCGGGGAAGTTTGGCATGAGAGCTCGATATGCGCCCTCGAGAATGCCATACTGCTGCGGGATGATTTGGCGTGCCGTCGTCATGGGGATCGGGATGATGACCATGGTGACGTTCAAGAGGCCGGTGGCATTATTCGGGTACTGGCTGAAGATGGGGTTCGGCTGGTCGACATTCGTGCAAGTGAGAGGTGTAGCTTGGGCAGCCGTTGTCTGCATCTGGATCCCAAAGATAACCAACAGAGCCGCGATGGACGCCTGAACGAGGTAGTTGGAGAGCGGCATGTTGAACCAGGAAGATTGATTATCGCGTGAGGGAAGAGAGATCTTCTTTAGATCTGGGCAAGGCCAGAGGGAAGGGAGGATAGTGACCATCTTTTAAGAGCTCTGGGGACGTAGAGCTGCAAAAAGGAAGGAGGAATGCCAGTGAAACATCAGTGGCTTTTGAGCTCTAATCCCGGCGGTCGATCCGGAGGTTTTCTTCTTTTGAAGGTTTACCGGTACGGATACCACGCAGCCTTTCCAAGACCGGGAGCCGCGACGATCAGTGATGGACATTCGAGTTCCCGGCGGCACTGGGCGGAGTTCGTGGGGGGCGTGCTGATGTGACGACGATCCGTCCAGAAGCCGGAGTGAGAAGTTTGAACAGGCAGGGCTCTCCCGAGTTGTCTAGGTTGTCTGGAATGGGGCCAGCAGCCGGGATAAGAGCGGCAGCGGGTTGCAGAAAAGTGTGATATTGGATAATAGCAGACAGTGTGGGCGGGAGGCAGCTGCATTCACTCCAACCTAAGAGGCATCTGGGACGACGGCGCATCCCCGCACGGATGGGATGTGTTCATGGTTTGGTCCAACAAGCAAGCGACGTATCCGTGGTTTCGGGCGTGTGTGTGTGTTTGGATTGGACGAGAGGGATTCTCGAGGGATGGACCATGGCTCGGAAACAAAGAAAAGTGAGTCTTCTGAGAGAGTGTGACACGCTGACAGGGCCAGTGCCGGGCCTTGGGAGTTCGGGAGGGAGAGAAGCCAGGCGCTCGGCTGCAGCCACAGCTCGGATGGTTGGAGATCCGGGCAACTGGGAATGGCTCCAACGTCCCCAAGAAGACCAGCGTGATCAGCCACGGACACGGAAGGCCGAGGGAGGAATCAAGTTGATTGGAGCACCGTCTCGGCTTTGGGGCGGCCTAATGTTGACCACGCGACATTTGTAGCGGATGATCGTTAGCCTGGAAACGGTAGAAGTATTGATCGTTCGATTCGTTCCACGCAGTAGGCCAGCGGCGTTCTTTTGGGTAAAGCCTCATCTTCAGCCTTCATCGGCGATGGTGTGTGGAATGTGGTCTCTGTACACTGTAGTGGTGCTTTGGTGGGTTCGTCGTTCTCCAAATGCCACGGGGATTTTCCAACCCATGGGATCAGATGAGATGAGAGGATCCGTAAGAGAGATCAAAAAGTTGACACTTGGTGGTGGCCACTGACACGCCGGTATGATGGCATTCCTTGGTTTGCAACTTTGCAAAGAGTTCGTTGACAGCGCAAAAGTGGCACCCATGACTCGACGGAGACAGGAAGGGCTCTGGTCCGTTGTTAGAAGGGGACGACTGCGACAGCGGCGTGTGTGGGTTGTCTTGAAGGTTGAGTGAAAATCCGAGGTTTCACATCGCCGCCGGCGTCATTGCAGCTGCCAGCAGTATTCCGTAGCAGAAAGCAGCAGATGGAAGGAGTCAAGGAGAGAGCTGCTCCCGTCCCAACTGAAGAGTACGTATCTTTATTAGGTAAGGTAAACTTCGGGTATTTTACGGAGGCACTGGGGGTCCTCAAGGGTCAGGGTCCTCTCAAAACGTTGGAACCGGGACCCACTTGATTCGGTCTAGCGCGGGCTTTACCGTTTTGCCGACTAGCGCTGCGCTGCAGACTGCCCGTGCAGCGCGTGACTAGGCCCACCACCACCCTGTCACCTGGGAAAAAGCGCAACATATTGACCATCCATCTCAACGGCGTTTAATGTAACCTGCCAACAGCCTGCAGACTAATACCTTTCATGTCTTCAGATTGCGCAAATGTTGGGAAGAGGTTCGTGATACCCTGGGTCCCATACGGAGTAGGTAGACTAAGACAAATCCTCAATATCCCTCAGATAAACAGAATAAACTCAACCTACTACGGAGTACCTTATGCCCGCAGCCTGGCCGATCAATGGCGGGCCTACACAGTAAAACGCGCCTTTAGGGACCCCTTTTGGGTTTCTTGGGGCGGACACTAACGGCCGGAACTGAGCTTTCCGGCATGGGCTCATCTCCTTTCCTCTCCAGACTCCAATCTCAACCGTCAATCAATACCGCGTAAGTTCATCGTGGCCGCAACTGCAATTCTAGCGGTGAGACTTACGAGCGAAGGAACCTACCTCATCACGATTCACCCAACCTCTTCCGAGACCTCTGGAAGAACAAGTTCGAAGAGCTGATCTCGACGTGACACTGGTGCCTTTTTCCTTCTTCCTCTGCCAAACACAGAAGCAGACGCAACGCACACACCCCCTCCACCCCCGCGCACATCTCATCCCACCTCACCATACCCCTTACGGCCACGATCCCATCCGTATTGCAAGGGCAAGCCGCAAAACGTCAAAAAATTCCAACCTACCTTTCCACCGGATCTGCTCCCCTCCGAAGGAAGAAAACGTCCACGGTCCACCAGTCACCAGTCACGCCCGCCATGGCCTCCGTCGCCGATCAAACACCGGCCTCCACCACCGCCGCCGGTCTGCAAGAAAAGGCCACCGCATCCGGCCCGCTCAAGACGCCCATCGCCCTCCCGGTCCCGGCCTCCTCCACCCCGGCCGTCCCGGCCCTCACCGCAGACCAACAGACCAAATACGACGGCCTCCTCGCCCAAGCCCGCGCCTGGACGGAAGTGAAGTGCACCACCGCCGCCCACGCCGCCAAATCCGGTCCCCTCACCGACTCGGAGCGCCAGTGGCTCACGCGCGAGTGCCTCCTCCGCTACCTCCGCGCCACCAAATGGTCCCTCAAGGACGCCGAGAAGCGTCTCCTCGAGACCCTGGCCTGGCGCCGCGAGTACGGCGTCGAGGGCCTCACCGCCGACCACATCTCGCCCGAGAACGAGACGGGCAAGCAAATCATTCTCGGCTTCGATAAGGAGCGCCGGCCCTGTCACTACCTCAACCCGGGCCGCCAGAACACCGACCCCAGCCCGCGCCAGGTCCAGCACCTCGTCTTCATGCTCGAGCGCGTCATCGAGCTCATGCCCGCCGGCCAGGAGAAGATTGCCCTCCTCATCAACTTCAAGACGTCAAAGAGCCGCGGCAACACGGCGCCCGGCCTCGGACTGGCTCGCGAGGTGCTTCATATTCTCCAGACGCATTACCCCGAGCGTCTCGGCAAGGCCCTCATCATTAATGGTGCGTTTACTGGAATCCCGTCCCAACTCATCTCCTCTAGTTCAGTTCACGACAATACTAACACACGACAGTCCCCTGGATGGTCAACGGCTTCTTCAAGCTCATCACCCCCTTCATTGACCCCATGACCCGGGACAAGCTCAAGTTCAACGAGGACATGCGCCAGTACGTGCCCGAGGAGCAGCTGTGGACCGAGTTCAGCGACGGCAAGCTCGAGTTCGAGTACGACCACTCCGTCTACTGGCCCGCCCTCAACGGCATGTGCAAGGAGAAGCACGACGCCCGGACGGCCCGCTGGGTTGCTGGCGGTAAGCAGATTGGCGAGTCGGAAGACTACCTTGGCGGTGCCGTTGAGAAGGGCGTCGGCGCGGAGGCTGCTGCCCCGGCTGTTGCTGCTGCTACTGAGGCTGCTCCGGTTACGGCTGAGACACCTTCCGAGGTCAAGCCTACTGCGTAAGTAGATGAGGCTGAATAGGTAACAAGTGTTGGGCGGAGAGTTTAAAGGTTGGCTTGAATCATTACAATATTCATATACAGAGCAAACAGGCGCTCAAACTAATGGCAAGATAGAGGCACAAAAAGGTAGACTTTTGGGTGCTCCACGGAGACATTGAGACGGTTGAAACCTTTCTCGGTGTCCCTCATTATGTAGATCTTCTATCATACATATTTTCCAATTTAATTTTCTCGTGATAACGTTGGCGATGTGATACCTTGGACGAAGTTCCCATGAGGTGCCGGGAGGTGAGCTCTTATCGTTATCGCCGATAAGGCTGACCCAATCGCATCCCCAATCGCAACTTGGACACCAAACCCACAGCTCCCGTCCCACCAACCCTGCAGCCTTTCCATCCCAAACGTCACCCCTTCTCGGCGCAAGCGCAACACCAAAGCTGCTGCCGCACACCGAATTCTCAGCGCGTGGAGGACAGGTCCAGCCAGTCTCAAACCAGGTGCATCACCTTGTACATCTCAACACAACCACCAAACAGCACTCTAGGCATCAGAAACACACACATACACCCACGCGACAATGGCGAACCTGCCGACGACGAAGAGCATCCCGGGCAAGGAGACGCCCGGCCTGCGATACCCCTCCAACGGCAAGACAATCTACCACCGGCCCCTGAACCGCACAAAGACGGCCGAGCTGAGCCAGTCCAGCTTCGCCTACCTCTTTAGCGAAATGGTCTCGTACGCCCAGCGCAACGTAAAGGACATTTCCGAGCTCGAACAACGGTAAGCCCCCCCCCCCCCCCCCCTCGCTTTTGTCTTCCCCTCTACCGTCCAAGATCCAAACATCCACTAACTCTGACCCTCAACCCCTTCCAGACTAAACGTCCAAGGCCACTCAATAGGCCTCAAACTCCTCGACCTCCTCCTCTTCCGCGAACCCCCGCGCACCCAGACCCGGCCCCTCTCAATCATCACCCTCCTCCACTTCATCAAGCAGTCCTGCTGGCAGCACCTCTTTGGCCGACAAGCCGACCGCCTCGAAAAGTCCGCCGACCCGGCCAAGCCAGACGAGTACATGATTATCGACAACGAACCCCTCGTCAACGCCTACATTTCCGTGCCGCGCGAAATGTCCCAGCTCAACTGCGCCGCCTACGTTGCGGGTATCGTCGAGGGTATCTGCGACGGGGCCGGGTTCCCTGCAAGGGTGAGCGCGCATAATATCGCTGCGAAAGATGAGCACGAGATGTGGCCTGGCAAGACGGTGTTTTTGGTAAAGTTTAGGCCTGAGGTGTTGGAGAGGGAGGGGTATCTTGGGAAGAGCTGAGCTGATCGAGCCCTTGAGAGAGGGGGTTGGTTTGATGGTGGTCATGGGGACCGGTGACGGGGGTATGTTGATTCGCGGCGTTTACGGAAGGGCATGGGCGGCGTTTGGGCGATGGGAGATTTCTCTGGTGCATCGTGAGTACCTTACTTGCTCATAGGCCCATATCATTTGAAGTGAATTTCTAGGAAGACTTGATAGCAGTCAAGAAGCCTTAGAAGACCTCAATAGTATCATTTCACTGGCAATGTGTTCACAGGAGCTACGAAACTCATAGAGCCGTTTTGCGCTCATAACGCATCTTTGGTCCAACGGTCAAGTCATCCCCCCTCCAAAGCAATCTCACGATGCCACCACTCCCCAAGACCTGCCCTGCATCGTCCTCGAAATCAATGCCCGGGTATCCCATAACGCCAAAAAATATCTTCCACCCATCTAGATCCAGCCCTCTCCCTCTCTGTCGTCAACCGCATCGCACATCCTCTACCGCGGCAACCTTTTCACACCACCACCAGCAACCCCAGAACTCCCTCCAGCCCCCGCCTGCCCCCCAGCCGGCGGCGGCCCCCGATTCATCAACCCAGACAGTCCCAAATCCTTCCACGCCGCCTCCCGCTGCCGTTGCGTCGCCTTGGTGATCCCAAACGCCGCGTGCTGGTCCGGCACCACGTCATCCTCGTCCTCCGGGTTGATCGGCTGGTGCTGCGGCGGCACGTAGACCTCGTCGTCCGGCAGCTTCTCCTTGCAGAAATCCTCAAAGAGATCGGCGTCGCGCGCGCGGTGCATGTGCACGTACGTGTGGCTGGCGTCCTTGTTCTGTCCCGGGGGCGCAGATTTGTCAGTTACTTTGGGATGTATGGATATAGGATGGTTGGAGAGGGTGGAATAGGGGACGTACCAGACCCATGACTGTGTGTTTCGTTTAGTATTCTCGGCTTTCCTTCTTCGTTGCGCAAGTGATGAGAGGTTTGAGTAGAGTTGGCGGCTTTCAGTCTCTGTAATGTAGAATGGTAGGTCGTGTTCGTGGAGTTGGATTCAATGTTGATGTTGATGGATGGGATCTCAAGCTCCCCCACCATTCGGCAGATCCCGAGCAGGGATCACCTTACGCTACGGCAGCCTTCTACGAAAAGGATCCACTTAACCCTGTACGGCAGCCTATAGAGCCAACTAGGTTAAAATAGATTTTTCTATTAAAACAACAGTATGTATAAAATTAATAACAAGGATATTATTTATTGTAGCTAATATAAAGGCTCTAATTAATTATAGGGTTAAGTACGGGCTTCTTTTAAATAATTACTTTAATAATTAACTATAATTCTTATAATAATTAATACTTATATAACGTGGTTCATCAGTCAGCCGGCCGGACCAGTCAGCCGGACGTTTTTTCTAAACACACTTATGTCCAAACCACTTAAACCTTTGACGCGTAAAATCTCAACAACCATAATGCCAATCTACACCCAAGAAGACAAAGTCATTCTCGCAATTGAAGCGATCCGATCGACGCGCGCTGCAGGTGGTAACTTGAGCATTTCGCGTGCCGCAAAGACCTACAGTATCCCGAAGAGCACCTTAGCCGATAGAATGAACAACCGACCGCGACGCGAACAAGCTCAACCCCAACGACGTAAACTCGATCCGATCGAAGAGAAAACACTTCTCCAATACGTTATTGAACAGGATTCCAGAGGATTTCCTTTGCGCCTTGGCGGTGTGGAAGATATGGCCAATCTCCTGCTGCGAGCCCGTAATGGCAAGCCTGTTGGCAAGCGATGGGCCAGGCGGTTTGTGGACTCGCAGCCTGCTCTGAAAACCAAGTTTAATCGTCCATACGATTATCAAAGGGCTCTTCAAGAAGATCCTCAGGTTATATCAAAGTGGTTTGCGCTATTACGCAACATGATGGCCAAGTATGGCATCCAAGAGGGGGACCTATACAATTTTGACGAAACTGGCTTCATGATGGGCATGATCACCGCGTCAATGGTGGTAACACGCGCCGATCGACGCGGCAAAGCAAGTTCTGTCCAGCCTGGCAACCGTGAAGGGGCTATAGTCATTGAATGTATCAATTCGGGCGGGTGGTGCATCCCTCCGTTCGTGATTGTCAAAGGCGCATATCACCTTGCTAGTTGGACAACGGAATCAGGTTTTCCTAGCGACTGGGTTATCAAACCTACCAATAATGGATGGACGGATAATTAGACGGGTCTTGACTGGATTAAACACTTCGACAAACATACTAAGAACCAAACGAAGGGCGTCTACCGGATGCTTATTATCGACGGCCACGAGAGCCATTTATCGGCCGAATTTGACAATTACTGCAAGCAGAACAATATTATAACCGTCAGTATGCCTGCACATTCGTCACATCTACTACAGCCATTAGATAGTGCCCTTTATTCGCCTTTAAAACGCGCATATGGTGATGAAATCAACCTATTTATCAAAGCCTCTATAAACCATATCACTAAGTCGGAGTTCTTTATTGCCTTCTACCAGGCCCATAATAAAGTTTTTAATAAAAAAAACATTAGGGCTGCTTTTCAAGGCGCTGGAATTTCACCATGGAACCCAGAGCATGTCATTGAAAAGCTTGATGTACGTTTACGGACGCCTATACCTCCTGTGGCCAACCCTTCAACACCACCACCTTGGCAGTCGCAAACGCCCTCTAACCCATAACAAACCGTCTCGCAGTCTAATTTTATTAAAAGTCGGATCACTTCTTATCAAGGAAGCTCACCAACGCTAATTATTGCTGCAGTTGAGCAATTATTAAAGGGTGCATAGGCAATGGCGCACTCAATCACTCTTTTGACTAATCGGCTTCGTACCCTTAAGGGTGCGAATATTGCACTTGGTAAGCGCCGGAGGGCTAAAAGGACGCGGGTCCAGCTTAGAGGGGCGCTTAGTATAGAGGAATCTCAGGGTTTGCTTGAAGGGAAACAAAAAGGGAAACGTCCAGCACCTCAAGAGGATGAGGAGGGGGGTCTATCAAAGAGAGCCCAGCCAGCTCGGAGACGCTGTAGTATATATGGCGAGACCGGTCATAATACGCGAACCTGTTCTAAGGATACGGAATTGTCAAATGATTCGAGTAGTAATGAGGAATAGTTAATTCAATGTGTTGTGGTTGTGCAATAGTAAATACCATTACGTGCATGGGAAAAAGTTCGTCGCTGACTGATGAACCACGTTATTTTAAGTAAAAAAATAAAGTAATATATGCTTATATAATATAATTCCTTATTACAGCTAATTGAAATGATCCCTTAGTTATAAGTAGAAAGTACGCCTATACCTACCGTATTTACTAACTTTCATTTTGACCTGGTTAGCTTTGCAGGCTGCCGTAACCCTGCACTACTGTCCACCCATTGACGGCCTCACGCTTAGGTTGTCAAACGCTCAAAATGACTTTATCTACCATCATAGGTATTGTTTCAACATTGGGATTGCTCACGGAGATGGAAGAGACTTTAGAGCATCTCTTCATCGGAATATATGACAAGACTTCAATGGAGTAAGAACTTTTTCTTGATTTCTATTCTAATAAGAGTACTCTGTCTACTTGCTGCTGTTTGTCCTGTAACTCATCCTCCTCGGGAACCTTGTCTATTGGAGCCTCTGTACACTATCTCGGGAGAAGGTCGCTGCGATGCTACGCGTGGTTGCCACGCGTGACCAAGACGTAGACTGTGCGTTTCTCGTTCCACCAGTACCCGCTCTTCCCATTCACAATGCATGTTGTTTGAATGGGGTTCATCATCCGTGCAGTTGTCAACGAAAAGTCGATATTGTGGATTCCGCCAGATGCGCAGACGGTGGCCTTGCACGAGCCGTGGGTTTGGCTGAAGCAAGTTCTGTCGGCCGATACATCAGCTCCATCCTTTTGCCCGGATTGTATCTTTGCGAAAAGGGCTGGGCAGTCAAGGGGGCTTGGTCCAGGTATCTGTTTCTCCGTCAGCTCTGTGGTATCTACGGCGAGTGTCCTATCTTTTCAATGCCAATGATACAGCAGTAGAACAAGATTCATCGAGGGGTAGGAGGAAGCATGGTCTAGAGAAAGTGGTACGGGCAGACGGGAAGAAATAGAAGCTCACATGATTGCATCCCCAGTCATTGCCAACACCAGGAATCATCTTGGAGATGGCAGAACTCGCGTCAATGGCTGTTTCGTGCTTCAATGTCTCGAAGCTTGGGACATTGTGAGACCTGGGTCGGATCTCTTCGTGATGTCGAGGCGTGATGTCCTCATGATGCCGAGGTTTGACTTCCTCGTGGTGGCGAGGCTTGATGCCAATGGGGCTGGCGATGCCAAGGGCAGCCATTGTCAGAGTGACGATAGACAGAAAGATCATCTTGGTGGTCGGATTACTGATGCTACCGAGTGGTGTAAGTCCGAGTGGAAGAAATGAGTTGAAATGAATGCTACCAGAAAGAGAGGTCAGCGTCTGGGGAGATGGCTGTGATGGGTATGGCATGCGAACCAGTCGTGATGCAGAGATGGGAGGGCGGCTGTTCAGCTTTTTGTACAAGATGAATTTGATTCCATCAAGGTCATCTGCGGAAGCTGCATCGTGTTCATCGGCCTCCCTACCCCCTGTCCTTGGAACCTTCCCAACCCATGTGGAAGTAATACATCACGTCACACATACCTCAGTCAGGCAACCGTTTGCTCTCCACGACATTAGCGGCAGGAGCATCTTTCCCAAAGAAGGGGAATGGTAGGAACGGCTCACGCTTTTGAGCAGCAACGTCTTGATGCTGATCCATGACACCGACCCTGAGAAGCACCTTTCACGATGCATATGCGGCAGGTACACGAGGTTTCGGTTTCCTCTCGCCGGACCGATTCTGCGTCGTCGCTATGTTACACCAGTCCACTCCACATTCTCTTCTCTGATTGTGCCACTTGTTAGAAAGATCGATTCCTTGATCCTCCTCCCTACGCAAGATGAAGGGGGCTTGCCACGCGATCATGGCCACCCAAATTTGACCGGTATGTCGTCACCGCCTTCCTCGAAACCCAGCTGAAGAAGCTTGAAAGAAACCACGTTGATTTCTCGTGTTGCTGAACCATGTGCACCGTTGCAACCTGATGTCTCGGTTGCCAGCAAATTTGAAGCCCTGTGATGCGCATTCCCAGGTTCAAGGTCCTCGAGCTCTCACACCGACTATTCGGTCAGGGGTTGGACACATGAGGATGACCTCGTCGAACAACACTCTGGATATTCTTCCTCTAAATTCTGAGCTTCTAATTTTGGTCGACTTTGATCCAGGTCTCTGACGCTGGGCTGTCTCTTTCTCAACTTGATGAGAGCGCACATGCCCCAGGAGCACCTCGAGTCATCCCGGACCCAGCCAGTATGGTACCACAGGAACTTCTATTCCACCTCATGCCTACACATTCCGGTAACTAGCAACCCAGTAGCGCCTTGGCTACCTGGAATGAAGTTCTCCATTTAGTCTACACACTCAAGTGGGTGGGTGTAAGTTGAGCGGTGGGCAACCCGATGGATTCGGCGATGATCTGAAGAGGTGAGACATGTCTTCTCCGAGGCGAAAGCAACCTTTGACGCACAAATGCCTACAGCTGATCAGAGTATTGTGTGCCTTAATCTTGATGAGACTCCATCACTATAAGACCTACACAAGCAGCCTGCCGCCTAACCGACGGTTCGCTACCAGCCGGAGCGGTTCGCGAAGATCACGAGAGCTAGAGTTCAGGACTACCCGGATTTGAGGTGCAATAACCTGACTGACTTGGCCTTTCGAGCTCTTCGTAGTCTTCTCAAACACACACCAAATTCTGCTCAAATCAAAAGTGCAAGATACAACTCGCTTCATCCCTGGTCTAGAATTGCCACTCTTTGAAATTTACTTCCACGCCTGGAGACATCTACAAGTCTGATGACGGTGTGGAATACCAGACGTGTTCTGTTTTCACCATAAACACTTTCTGATGTCGAGGTTTCTGCACACAAAATCCGGGCATATTGATGGTGCTAGGAGACAAGACTTCTAGGTAAGGGGGGTGATTCACCAAAAGAAACCTAAGGTGAGTTGCCATAGAAGGGGCCGGATAATTGACATGATGGCTCGCGCCGAGAACGTATATAGACATGACGATTCAATCGAATTGGAGTGACGGTCTTCCCAAAGCACACCCCTCGATATACAGACGGGAGAGGGGGCAGACGAAGCAGATAGTCCAAGGAGAAACTTAGACGAGCTCTGCGTTCTCCCTGTGATGTTTTACGTTTCGTCTCCTCGCCTCGATCGCTTCCCATATCTCTAAACCGCCCTTAATCCCAAAGTAAACGGATGCCATACTGATAGCTATAACGCCGACGATCGCAAGCGCAGGACTATCGGTCAAAATATTCATGACTGTTTGCTATGGTCGATATTGGGCGGAGGATATATTTTGAGTTGTTGTCTTGAGGTAAGGTAGGAGATGAATCTTACTGAGCTGAACCGATTTAGATCCATAATCAACGATACTACTCGGTGAGAGGTGCGCACAATACCAAGTATAGTAGCTGATGACAAGTCTGAAGCGCAATTCCACCTTGCATCGATGTCTTCCCAGCGCCAGCGCGGCCTTTCTTGAGATTTTTGAGCTCGTACGTGAAGTCTGGCTGTATATTCATTCAAAATGTAATTTCTGAGCTGAAGCTAGTTAGATACAGAATCAACGCTACTACTCAGTGAAAGAGGTGAACAATACCAAAAATCGCAGCTGATGGCAAGTCTGAGGCGCAATATCACCTGGCGTCAAATTCCCAGCGTCGGCGCGGTCTCTCTCTAACTTCCTCAGTTCGTATGTATGTGCACTCTGGTGGTGTATTCATTCGGCTGACTGACTGACGATGTATTTCCTCGTCCGAGTATTCCATCGAGTCGAAGTCATCTCTCACATATATACCGTCTCATCACAACAAAGCATCTCCTGTCCACAGAACAGCGTCGCCCCCAGACCAAGGAAAACACCACCACCCACAAAGGAAGCAAAATCACCTGCGCATTCATCCTTTGACTTCTCGTTTACCCCCAACGTTCGCCACTCACCCAGACTGTTCCTATTCTTTACGCTTCTTCTTCGGCGGATCCTTCCAGACTTTCTCTCTTGGGCAAGCACGACACGAGCAGATGCGTTTCGGTCAATGAGGTGTTAGCCCTGTTCACCATCACAAGGCACTCACTCATTTTGCGATTGACCAAAAATACATCCCACGCGACTTTTGATCACACCCCTTTCAGTGAACAGCAGACTGTTTGCCTCGTCCTCATCCTCGACCTTGGCCTCGACCAAGTAGGGCTGCTCTGCAGCACCTCCCCTCTTCATAAACACTCACCTCCCACACAAAGCCATTGTTTACTTTGACCTCCCACATCCATCCACACTTTTCCTTGAGTAGAGGTGAACTTCACATTGTCCACTCCATCTCTCGACTTTTCCGCACAAAACAAAAACCAAGACGACGCAAAACAAAAAAAAGGCAGGGTCGGGGGAGAAGTACATCGCTCAAGAAGAAGACCGCGATCCTTCCCCCCCTTTTTCACCTCAACCACCTCACCCAAACAAGTATTTCTCACCTCAATCCCCCCATCGATCTCTCACCTGACGACCGCGACAATAGAAATCGATTCCATTGTGAGCAGTAGAAAGAGATCCGATTCATCTTTCGCTTCTACCGTCGCTCTTCCCCCAAACAAAAACATCAACAAATATCACGTGCGATCGTGCCAGTAGGTGATTTCTCCTTCTCACCCACTCACACTCCCCTTCCATCTCAAAAATAGTAACAACTCACCATGGTCTAGACGGAGCTCATTTTGCAATATCGTTTTGGCATTTCTGCTAGGTTGTTTTTTGTTGTTTGTCCAGCATTTTGCAGCCTACAGCTACACATACGATACCAGCACATTTACTCGACTTGACTCGACGCGACACAGCGATACTCATAGCTCATAGCTCACGATACCTTCTACCGATCGTGTACCCCTATACCAAAACGAACAGGGCAGCATCATACACACCTCCAAGGCTCATACTACCCCTTGCGTACATACCTCAAGCCCCTATTGCGGGTATCCTTCAAGATGGCTCCCTCAGCCCTTCACTCCCTCCCCTCGCCAACCATAACCTTCAAGCCTATCCTAGCAGCATTCGCACAGCTGCCAACAGCAACCCCAACAACGTTGCTAACGACAGTCGCAAAGCTCATACCCCGAACTGCCACGAACGTGTCCGTCTACATCACCCAGAGCCCCTCGGCTTCCCCAGCACCGACAGACGCACCGAATCTCAAAGACCCAGTCTACGGCAACCTCACCTGGACATTCATCGTCGTCCCGTGCGTCCCCGTCATCGTCCTTGTCTTCTTCATCTTTACCTGCTACCAGGAACGCCGCCGCACCATCAAGAACATGGAGAGAAATCCCGATATTGAGATGCAGACCTTCCACAAGTACTGGTTCCCCTGGCGCGAGCTCGATAAGAACGAGGCCCCCAACGAGGTAAGTGAAACCAACAAGAACCTGTCCTCCTCCCAAATCACATCTCTTCCCCTTGGTGCCCGAGACGGCGTTGTTGGTCCTGGAGATGCTGCTGCTGCTGCTGCTGCTGCTGCTTCAGCTACGGCCGGCAGCACACCCCCAGGCATCATCACCCTCGAAGACCACTCCCGTCGCAAAAACCGTCCATGGGCAGCGTGGCACCCGAGTGACGGAACCCAGATCCCCCTCATAACCCTCTACGATAACCCCCCCTCCTGGGGCCGACGACACCTTTGGTCCGAAGTCATGGCATACCCGTCTCTCCTGACGCCTGGCCTCATCCGTCGTCGAACTAAACCTCCCAAACCCGATCCCGCCGACGATACCTCCTCCCCATCCTCCTACTCCTACTCCTCCCCTCTGAGCCCGAACGCCTCTCCCCCGAGACTGGATACCTCCCCGAGACCCGCTCCCCCTCGAACCCCCGGCGGTCTACGCATCATCACGGAATCCGGCGAAGGCGAAATCACCACCGCCCCGAAACGCCCCCGATTCGCAGAGCCCACAACTCAAATCATCGAATCCTACCAACCCGAACCCGAACACGGCCCCGGACGAGAAACTAACCAACATCCCACCCAGATCTACGGAAGAACAGGCCGCCGTCGCCACTGGGGCCGCGAAGACGACCATCCCCGCGAGAACCACAGCTCGAGCTCCAGCTCAGGCCATAGTTCCCGCGAAAACCAGACAGACAAGTCAGACGAAGCAAACGAGAACGGTTATGGCAACGAAGAAGGCAACAACTCGGACGCAGACTCCATCACAACACAGAAACCCATCCGCCCGCCCACCGACATGCCCTCCTTCGGCCGCTTCAAAGACGTCTCTTCCTCTACCGCCACTGCTCAGAAGAGCCCCACCACCACCACCACCACCGCAAGCAGCAGCGGCACAGGCACGGGCACCTGGGCAGCAGGCCACATCCCCTCCTACTACGGCGCCTCTCCATTCCCGGCGCAAACACACGTCAAGCAGCCACGTGGAAAGCCTCATCCATCCACGAGCGCATCCACCTCGGCAACCCCAACCGCAGCAGCAGCAGCAGCAGCAGCCCTCTCCCGCCGAGCCCACGCCTCAACATCGCGATCCTCCGCCGCAAACTCAGACGGCGTTTCCCCGCTCTCCAGTGCGCGCTCCTCCACCGTCATCGTCACAGCCGGCGACGCCCGCCGCCGAACAGCAAACACCGTCTCCAGCGTCGGATCCGAGCCGGGCTCTCCAACGCGCATGGGCAGCGCTCAGTGGCGTGGCAACCTCGTGTTCGATTCTGACGAGGAAGAGCAGGACCAGGGCAGCAAATTCGTCCGCGAGGGTGGTTCTGATAACAAGGTGGGAAAGCACAGCAAGAATGTCAAGCCCTAGAACAGCGAGACCTCTTCTGCTGATGCTGGTACCGCATTTCCCGCTGGAACCGACGAGAACATGACCGCGAGCAAGTCCACGTCCAAAGGCAAAGGCAAGGCCAAGAGCCAGTACAGATCTAAATCCGACACTGTCGCCGGAGCCAAGACAGACAACATCATCGCCAAGACCAAAGCCAAATGCACCTGCAAAAGCAAAGGCAGAGGCAAAGGCAAAGCCATACCCGCCAACGCCAGTGGCGGTGCAGCCGTCGACGACGTCGTCGTCGCTGAATCATCCACCTCCGCGTCCGCGTCCTCGTCATCCTGCCCTCGGCACCCGAGCCTCACCCACAGCTCCGCCGTCGTCGAGGCATCCCAGTCCATCCAGTCCACCTCCGCGGCACCGGAAGTCCGAGGCCCGGCGACCAAGAACAAGGCCCATCGCAGATCGATTACAGAGTGGCCCCGCGTCTGCTCCGGCTGCGGCCAGGTGGGATAAAAAGTCCCCCGATCCAATTCATCCTGTCCATTCCGTCTGCTGTCAAGTGAACGAGGCGAAACAGTACGGTAACAACTGAGACTTTTCGGAAGACGTGGGGGGGGGGGGGGGGGGGAAGGAGGGAAAGGAAGAGAACGGAAGGAGAGGATGAGTGGGGGGCCGAGGTGTTCGCAAGGGATGAGGAACCAACCCACGATGAACGCGATACCATCACGACGAACACACTTCCGCATCCAAAATCTTATTCATCCCACCACCATTCCCATCTCATCTGAAAAGAATCCCACCACTATCGTTCGTACGCCGTACTCGCTTGGCCTGGGACCCGATTACCATGCCAAAGATGGAAGTCCATCCTTTTCAGTTCGCCATGGGGTATGTCGACAGTGAGATGGATGGCTCAAACTCTCTTGAACCTTTCTTCTTCTGCCTTTCGCTCTCTTCAGCCACAACTCAGGACAAGGTGATATCCCCGTCCCTTTCCCCCTCCATCACCTTCCTTCTTCTCTCTTTCGCTCCCTCTCGCTCTTCTCTCTCTCTTTCTCTCTCTCTCGCAAACAGCAAATCTTCTAACGCGTTTGAGCCTCTGTTATAGTTCCCTCCTCCCTCGCTTATTACACCATCCCATCCTAGCCGACATCTTGGATTTGAGATGGAGTAAAACCCCGCGGAACACTCTCTTTCCTTTTTTTTTCCCTGAATCTGCGTGTGGTGCGAGAGAATTGTGCGTGTGTAAGGATTATTGTATGTCTAGGATACCAGGATAAACGAGGAGTATCTCTTGAACTTTGCTGAACCGGATCGGGATCCGGCACACTTGCACTCTGTAGTTGTCGGTGTGTCCTCCAAGCATGAACGTGATTGCCGAGGTGGTCGGCCTGTGTCCTTGTCAGCTCGTCTTTTGGTAAGAAAAGAAGGGTCTACCCCAACAAACGTGCGTCGTTTCATGGCAATCACTTTGGCCAAAACGCGTAAAAAGAAGGGATGACCCATGTCCAGCAGTTGGAAAGAGATTCGAAACGACGAGAGACGCAGAGAGCGAGAATGGGAAATGTGTGTAACCAGAAAAATACGGGATACCCGACAGCCAGAGCGCTTCTCGACTGCGGGGTCCCTGATGAACTCTTTGATTGCTCTCGCCTGATACCCTAATGCGTATAGAGGCCGTCTAAAAGAAGCCTGACAATAATAATCCCCACCCCAATAATCCTTTTATACCACAAACCGCAGCTATGGCGAAACCGCACGCGTCTCTCCTTGACGCAGTAAGCGTGCCCCCAATACCCTTGTACAAAAAGTGCTGGTGCTGTTCTCCCCATGTGAAGAATCGAAAAGTAGGAAAAGCCCTGGTCTCTCCGTAAACGTAGACATCAAAGTGAATTGCTTCGTGTCTCGTAGTGCCGATACCCTCGGACTTCTCACAGCCCGTGGGGTTTATCGGGAACCCCTTCTGTAGGATACTGAATCGCAAAGTGCCGCTGCTCGCTCGCTGATGGATTGCCCATGCATTGAACTCCAAAAAACGCCTGATCGTAATTAAGGTGGCCCCGTCCCTTTGTTGATGACAAGGCTCGATATGAAAAAGAGACAGTAGAGGAATGATCGCCCGAGGTGGCCATCGGGCGACAGTAATAATGGGTCGTTGTATATAATACAAACTGAAGGGAAAGTGGCAAGAGCGTGGTGATAGAAGAGCGTCTATGCGTCTATGCGGCTATGTTCGGTATGATTGTTGGCCAGCTGGCCAGATAGGTGTTTTGTGGTCCATTGTCGAAGTGTATATGTCGCCGAAAGACTTGTCGCCCTCACTTGTTTCCATCGGGGGTGCCCCAGATGGGTGCGCCCAAAGGCTTGCTGACGCCAAAGCCAACACCGACGCCGACACCAATAACGAGGAGGCCAATGGCGACCTTCATGATGATGCGGTTCTTCTTGCTCATGCGGGCCATGCAGGCGCAGGAACCTCTATCACGCTTTGCGGCCTTTGCCTTGGCCTTCCAATCCTGCTTGCCCGGCCATATCGTTGGGCAGTCTTTCGTGGTTGTGATGCTCTTCATGGCGTATGGGTCGGAGGAGGATGTCGTGGTGATCATAGCCTCAATGTCGGTATCGAAGGGGTTCTCGTTGCGGTACGACCGCGGGGTAGAAAGATTGCTGTCGCGGGGCATCTCCAGGCTCTTCTCGGGGGTTGAAGCCACGGGAGTAAGTGTGCCCGGGGTCGGGGTAATGGTGTCGGACAGCTTCGAGTACGCCGCCTTCTCGGGGAGAGCGATGCTGGCGACCGTGGTGTGGACGGCCACCTTTTCTTGGGGAACGGCCATTGTTGCGGTAGGGGGGTTGGCAAGACTGGCTTGCTAACGATGTGTGATGGGATTGTCGTATCGAAGAACTCGAGTGTGTCCAATTGCTCAAGTTGTCTGTCCAAAGAGGAGCAGATACAATTGCCAAGACTGCTGCAAGAGGTGGGTTAGTCAACGGCCATTGACGAGGTACAAGAGTGAATCAGGGCAGAGACTCGAGGAGAAGTTGGTGAAGTAGGGTAGGAGTTGAGATCGATGGGAACTAGATGGGGTAGAAGAACTGGGGTGACGTACATCAGGAGGCAGCTCACCCAAGAAGTGACCTAGCGTAAAAGGAATGGAGAATGATAGGCGAAGCCGAAAGCCTTGTAGACGAGCAGCAATGGCCTAATATCAACCCACTCGAATGGTTCCACCAGCCAGCAGGTGAGAAAACGGAGCAGGTAGGCGGTCGGGGCAAGTCCCAAGCCAAATGTCTTTCCACTGATAGGCGGTTTCGAAGTCGAACCCTGCGGAAGGGTCTGGTGATGTCAACCGGGGAGTGGTTGGCAGATTGAAGAGATAGCGAGACACGGGGCGCGGAAAGGGAGAGTGTGGATTGGGCGTTGAAATTGAGAGTGGAAGTGAGGTCAACGGAGGCGAGTGAAGGGAGGAGGAAGGGGAGTAAGGCGTAGATGAAGGGTCCGAGAAGTAGGTAGAAGGAGCAGGTGGCAGAAGTAGAGAGAGCTCGATCCAACGGGTGGTGGGAGGTTTTGGATTTTGGATTTTGAGGACAGATGGTAAACGGTAGACGGCAGAGGATTCTCTCTCAAGAGACGAGACGAGACGAGGATGGCGAATGGCGAGAGGGAGGTTGAAACCAGAAACCGAAGACCCGTTTAACAGCGCATTTGGGACGACCTTTGACTTGGCAGATGTTGCAAAGTTGAACCCTCAAAGAGACGACACACGGCAGAAGAAGAGAAGGGCCTGATAATGAGAGCGAACGTGCACGGGGAGGGAGGTGTCACGATGGTTTTATTGGGGATGGTATGGCATTGTGTGTATTCTTGAGTCTTGTCGTTTGGCCCTTGGGTGTGAATTCTGGACCTGGTTCAGCCAGAGACGCAGTGAGTAGGGGATAGAGAGAGAGGCAGACTGGGGGGGGGGGTTGTATTTTGAGAAGAAGAAGGAGGAGTGGGGTGTGTGTGTACGAATGCTCCGTACAGAAGAGCAGGTGCAAGGTCTCCATCCTTGCCATCTACGGATACAGATACAAAGTACATGGTTAGTGGCCGACGGGTGTGTGCGAGACAACCCCAAGACACACTGAGAAAGAGCCACAGAGCCACGAGAGCGTGGGAGAGAGACGAGAGTGAGAAAAGGCAAATTGGTGAGTGACAGACATGGGATGGACGAGCGAGACGAGATTGTGGATGTGCATCGCGCAGGGAACACCAGAGTACGTACCGGTACGTATCCTACGCTACTGCAGAGAGAGAAATACGTACCTATCTTTCGAGGACCCTCTTGGACCTGCACTCTGGGGGGGGGGGAAGGAGGAGGCAAATGGAGGCACTGGAGCCCTGGAGCAAATGGAGCAAGAGCAATGGAACAAGCCGGGGTGTGCCATTTGGGGTGTCAATGGGAGTGGAAAGAGTCGAATGGAGCCAAGATTGCGCCGGGCAGGGGCACCGTGGGGACCCAGGCCCGGCTGCTATTTTCTCTTGCAGCAACGTATTTTCCCTCGCCTTTATTCTCTTCTGCCTTTTTCCTGCCCTGCGCGTACATACACTACGGATATGCTTCTTCACTATCAATATCTGTACGAATAACTGTGCGATATTATGCCATGCCACACTCTACTGGGGATAAATTGACCGGGTCAGACAGGTCCACCAGCCAAACGAGGGCTGTCACTGTCAGTCTAGCTCTGACGCCAGCACCAGCACCAAAGCTTGCACCAACACCAGCATCGGGGATCACAGACTGGTTTGCTCTACTCCGTAGAGAAGAACAAAGTGCCTTGGATCTGGGATACCGGGATATTCTTCTCTCTTTTTTTCTTTTTCTTTTTCTTTTTCTCACTCGGTTTTGTTTCTTGTGCAGGGCCTAATGCTGGAGCTTGGGACACTTGGGGTTTAGGGGACAGACACACCACACTGACCTTGACACTGACACTGGACGGCGGCAGGCGGCGACGAACTCCTCGAGAAGAATCGGAATCGCGCATTGATGCCGTCGAATGTCGAAGCGATGCGACGTGAGGCCATGCGATGCGACGGTAAGTATCCATTCGTGTACTCTTGCCCTCTACTTTTTTGCCTTTGGTCTGCTTCTATTCTTCATTCTAGGTTTTCGAGGCTTGCCATGGCCTTCCCTTACCTTTGAACTTACCTAAGGTTCTATTGGCCCAGGTACACATTTATGTACCTCAGATATTTCTTACTTAATACACCGGCTGCAAAACCCGTAAATCGGACAAAATATGTACCTCGACGGCTCCAGTCTCCCCGAGGGGAAGAGGAAGGAATTTCGAGCCAGCTGAACCGGGGTCACACACAGATTCGCAGCCCCCGTGCCTGGCCCTTTGCTACGTACTACGTACACAGTAGAGTCTTCAGACTCCAACTAGTGTAGTAGATTCAGAGACTGGCTTCATTGTTGCAACCTCTATCGCGTTACCTCGGGCCAGTCCAGACCACGCATCAGGTCTTGCCCTCTTTCAGTCCTAAGCTGGCATGGCCGGTAGGGCTACTGGAGCTGCCGACCTGCAAGATGGCTCACGAGACCAGCCGCACAGCAGAGACACACACAGGCACACATGCGCCGTAGACGGGATGAAGGAAGGGAGCCAGCGGTTGACAGGTCTGACCATTGCACATGTGGGACGTCCGTGTGTGTCTCTCTTCGCCGCTCTGTGGCATCGTAGGCGTGGGCGCGGGCGTGAGCGTGAGCGGTGGATGATGACAGCCGACCCAGTCGTGCCAGTGAACAAGAAACCAACTTGGACGACCTGGGCCATATGGCCCCCGCCATGCGCCGTAGCTAGGGCCGAAACAGGTTACTCTTAACCGTGTGCTTGCGGGGGAACTACTTCCAAGGTTCTTCGTCTTCTTCTCCATTATTGCGGCGGCCTGTGCCTGTGCCTGTGTTGTATTGTGTCTGTGCCTGTCATCAATAAGTCTGTTGGCCTGTCAGAGGGGCAAAAAAAGATGTAACTCGTTGGTGGAAGCAAACAAACGGTGAATCGACGTCTTCGTCCTCGGCAGATGTTGGGTTTCAAAGGTTGATTGGCGATGACTGACACCCAAAGTAATTGTCAAAAGGGTAAACCCAATTGCATCTGCCCATCGTAGCGGCAGCCAGCCGGGAGAGGACAAAACTCCAACGATCAGAGTACCTACTTCGCACAGCGATGGCAGGAAACCAGCCACGCGACCATGGCGGTCAGCCATTGACTTAACGATGGCCCGTGATGAGTCAAGTTTGCAATGATCGACTTTTCCCTGGAAGTTGTTTGCTGCTCGCGAAAGACATTGCTTCCATTTGGTACTGGCCAAGGTAAGGTAGAGAAGAGCAGGAGCCAGAGACGGCTTGCACCTGCCAGTGGCACCTGTCTGGCGTGCCTCTTGCCTCGCACTTGGGGAAGAAGGTTGCAGTAGCGGGATGGCGGTGGGTTGGTTCGCGCTATGGAAAGCGCCTCCGGTCCTGGCTAGGTTCCCTTGATTGGCAAAAGTGATTCTGGTTCCATCTGCGCTGCCGTTTTTGGGACTGGCTTCTTTTTTTTTCCACAAAAACACTCCACTAGCGGGAATCTCCATGCGATTTTATACATGTATCTGATTGGCTTATCTGGGCTCCGTGCTCCTGGACTTGCCCTGGTCACCCTGGTGTCAAAGACAGTTTAGTGCATATCTGCATAAAGTACGTACCCCTCACTCAATTCATCCTTCAATGCCTCAGCACCTTGTCGTGCTCATCTCTCAGGTCCACCAACCTGGAAGTCGCTCCCCCCCCCCCCCACTGGCTGCTGCTGTTGTAACTTGTGGCTGCTGATTCTCCAGTCCTCCTCCTGCCATCCATGCATCTCGCAGCTGTCTGACTGTCCTTCAATCTTTCGCAGGTGTTTCTCACCACGAATTGCGCCCGAGATTTCCTCGCCATGCTTTGCCTGCTCCCATCTACCTGCTGCCGCCCCTCTTCTTCACATGAATGAATCCTCGTCATTTTCTGCGCGTGTTTGCGCTGTGTTTCCCCTCATCTTACATACTTCAGGCCTCCCGGCTCAAGCTAGGTAGCAGCCAGTCAGTAACCACAAGTCAACTTCAGGTTGACCAAAGAGGCATTGCTGATAGTAGGCGCTGACACAGACGTTCAAGTTCACTCGTCCACTCAGTAGCACTCGTTGAGTTGTGCCAGCACCGCAGCTCTACCATCCGTCTTGTCTTCCTCTAGAAAGTCTACGGTGTGATCCCCAGCCACTGCCGACGCCGTCTTGTCCCGGAAACCTACCTAGACCAGCTGCCAAGGGCACCCGTCAAGAGGCTTTCAACAAACGCCACGACGGACTGCGTACGCAAGTCTTAGCTGCTGGCCGGATACGCCCTGGCTCCCATATCAACGACTTTCACTTTGTCGCACCACGAGGAGAAACCTCCAGCCGCCTCCAAGCCACCGCTTGTGACGAGGCCGCAAACCTCAATCCGCAGAGAGGCTGGCCCCATCACTAACAGCCGCATATTCATCGTCCACCGTCTGTCTCCTTCGACGCTCAACCCGAGGGAACAAGGGAAAACATCCTCAAGGCTCGAGGACCCCTCTTTCACTGCCTTCTCCCGCTTCTGGCCTGCCCTGCTAGTCAACTGGGCTCACCTATCACGTGCCGTACAGCGTACACACACACACCTCTCGACCCGGCCGTATCAAGCTGCACCACTGCAGCAGTTCTCCCCTCTGGGCGGGAAAAGAGGACCATCCTGGCTCCCTCTCGCCTCTTCCTTGGATAAAGACGACATCGACACCTGCGACCACCGGTGACAGGCTATAACAGCCCACAGTTACACAGCAAGCAAGTCAGTTCAGGATGCACATTCCGTCCCGGCGCATTGGGAGTTCCACCCTGATTCATCTTGCTGCCGCCGGACCTCTTTTGCTCATTCGTTGAGACGCACGCTCGGTTCCCAATTGGGTCTTTTGGGCCATCCGGCCGAGTGGCCGTCCCCCGTCTCTTCATCGGTCCCTCCATGGCGGCATGTTTATCTCTCGACCTACCGGCCCTCAACCCAAACACCCGGCCTTCGATCTTCCACGGCCGTGTTATGCCACCGGCCCTCGTCTTTATGCAGATATATGCAACCTCCCAGCGTAGCCCATGAAAGGGCCCATGCCGTGCATAGTACTAGCTGGCACCAGCAACAAAACATGCTAGGCACCTTGTATTGCCTCTGCGGCCTACCATGCAAGATCCAAGGCCTTTGGAGTTTGCTATCGCTCTCCCCGCGGCACAGGGCCCGGTTTGAAATTTTGAGCGACACAGCAGCCAATGCGTTCCCCAGTTTCCATCTTGCGCTGCCGCCGTGTCTTGAGAGAGTTCGTCGGGGACGCTCCCCTGTCGCCTGTTACAGGATCCATATCCACATTTTCCACCCACCTTATCCTTTCCCCCCTTTCGTTGAACGCGTTGCTGTCTCCCGTAACTACCTTGACAGGCTCCGTCGCATTGAAGACGTTCATCATGTTTGGCGAAACGACCCTGGCAATCGGGTCTCTTCATGAGGCAGACAGGCGTGACAGGATCCATTCTTGACTTTGCCGCCCCCAGTCTATCCTGGCCGCTTGTCTCGCTTGCTGAGAAGCTACGGAGAGTCTCCTCCTCCCTGCGTCAGTATGGATCCAGCTCGTTGTTGTTCTAAGTTTTGCATCAGAACGGACACCATCCGTCGCTCCCCATTCACTCATTGCGTTATGATGATGAGCGAGAGAGTGAGACAGTACGGCTATGATCTGAGCCGTTGGATGTTGACCGACGACCGTTGCATTGCTGCTGTCAATGTCGCATCTATCGTCTTTTTTTTTTGCTGAAATGACCTGGCTTGGATCCGTATCGCTTTTCGTTCTCGCTCTCGCAACCTCCACAGGCCATTTAGTTCCTACACAATCGGCACACACCCGCGTATTCATCATCCTTGCTACAGACGCTGGGCGGTGCTGGAACAGCCTCTCCGCAGGTCTCACTCGTCACTACTCCGTACTGTCTGGATCATCAACGTCAACATCAGTCATCAACTTCAGCCTTCGTTGTCGTTATCGTCATGGCGGATCGAACCGCGTTTTCACTTGACGAGCAGTACGAAATGTTCGCATCATAGCCTCATATCCTTCTCCACTGTAATATCTCGTTTTGTTCTTTCCTACGGATACTCCTCTGCGCAACGCAGCAAGATGCCAAGAAGCAGCTAGGGACCTTTCCGTGCCAGGGCACAATCAAGTCGTAAAGCTTGTCTACGGAACACAGTCTTGCGGCTTGCCGACGGTTGGCCCCATCTCCGACTGACCTGACCCATTGATGAGGTGGTTCTTCCCGTACCGCGTCCACTTTGCGCGTGGTGTCGTGTCAGCTGTCTGTCGGTCTATCAATTGTGACTATCGATGCAACCTCGTCCCTGAGAAGCAACTAACAATTGGTTGGGACATGTCTCTTCTGATAGTCGCCTGGGGGGGGGGGGGGGGGGGGGGGCGGCGCCATCTGCCCGCTTGGCCATTGACCAGCACCAGGCGGGCCTTCGTCTGGGCGCCCAAGAGCTGGCCCCGGGAGTTTGCACTTTGCAGCATACTTCGACGACAGTCGACACCCTACCTGGGAACACATCTCGTCGTCGCCGACAATCCAGAACCACAGGCTCGCCGCTAATGCAAGGCACATCCAACCAGAGTCCAGTGAGCTCACACCTTTTGATCTTTCCAGAACGACGACTCCCAAGTTCCAACACAGAGAACACCCAACCGAGAACATGGTCCGGCCTGCTGTCACCTGCGGCCTTGTGGCATTCTTGCAGCTCTGCGGATTTGCTCTCTTGTCGCCTCATCCGCCTGCCCACCCCCTTTCTTTCTTGGTGTGCCAAGTCGTGATGCCGGACGGAAGACCAAGAGATAGGCTTGCGTCTCTTGGGTTCTTTTCCGCTTCTTGGCTTTCGTGGCCAGCACACCACAATCCTATTTTGCCCGAACCACTACACACCTCCTTCACTCGCTTGTCCGAACTGGCTCGTATGCACAGCAGGCGAGTCGACTCGGTCGAGTAGTAAAGGGAAGTGGGCGAATATTGACTGACACTGACAGACACGCTACAGTTCTATCGTGAGTCTCGCTGCTGTGCCTCAACATAGCAGCGGTCCTATATCCCGCACTCGCCACAAGATCGCATTTTGCCGAGCGCAGGATAAGACGACTGGGACTACATTCCACCTGTGACAATTGTCGCACGAGCGGTTCCTCCCTCTTTCCTACCCATTTCATCGTTCATCGTTGGCTTCACAAGGTCCAACCGAGCAGAGGGGCAAAGTGAGCAGGCCTCAACACAAACGGGAACCTTGTGCCGCTTAGCGTACGTCGGCGACTCATGCACACAATGTCGGGGTGCCATCGTGTCATCCCCAGTGACCGCCCTGGCTCTTCCATGATCCATCTGATCCAAGGAAAATGACTAAGTATCGTAGGAGCGCATGCTGTTTCTACGCGAAATTCCAGAAAGTAGCAACTTGCGCGGGCTGGCGTATGGTCTGACATCATGAGGGGGGAATGCTTGGTTTCCTAGGCAAGTGAGACCAAGAATGAACCGATGCAAGCTGCTCGTGCTAGACGATGGATCAATGTGCGAGCGTGACAAGCCCCCGGGTCGCAGCTTTGGATGAGCTTGAATGGCCCTATCATCCATCGGCCATGGGTGCTGGGAGGGCGGGCGAGGACACTAGAGAAGAAGCCCAACGGGGAAAAATCCAAATAATACCACTGCCCACGGAGTCTAGGGCCGGCCTTGACACCATTGGATGCCGATGTCGTCTCTGGTCCTAGCTCCGGAGGCGGGTGAGCGAACGGCGCAGCAAGCAGTTTTGTGTACTATTGTAGGCGCGGCCAGGGTGGACGAATGGGAGTTTACCCCTCACTGTCCCATTCGTGAATGGCACTTGCAATGGTTCAGTTCAGTTCAGTTTGGGGAGGTCCGGTGAGAGTTCGTGGGAGGAATCGAGGATGGTCCCGAGGCCTAGGCGGTCAAGGTTGTGAAGTGGTTCGGAATCGAGTCCTTTTGACAAGCTTCGTGAGGGTTTGCTTTAGCCTGGGTCCGGAAATTCCGCCAGACAGTTTGCGATCAGAGAGGCGGGACATTCACCGGCAGAGGTGTTTGTGCTGCTTCTGCTGCTGGTCTCTTGACCATTCTTGTCTCGCTCACGTACATCCGTTTGGGGTTTAGGAAGGGGGGATCTTCTCACGGCGACCAACGATAAGAGAGGAATTCGAAGCCTTTGGTTGTAGCTCGACTGGTTGGCTCAGGTCTGTCCTTGTTACTTGCTGCAGACTGCAGTAGCCAGAGTCAGAACGGGAATGGCAGATGGCGTAGACGACGAAGAGGCATGACCCCACCCCCCACGTGCCGTCCGTTCGAAGTCGTCTCCCCTCGTTTGAAGATCTGACTTGAACGTTGATCAAGTCTGAAGAGCATTATGTGTCTCGCACAGAGTACCAGGCTACGGAGTAGATGTCTGCTATCCAAACTGCCGTTGGAAAACCTTGGAGGGGTAGACGCTGAACAGGCTGATTGATACTCATCAACTCACTTTACTTGCGCACTCCCAAAACATGTGTTCTAGATGCTTTCGCTCGCGTTCGCGCCACCGCGCGCGTGCGTGTGCGATGCAACGGCTGCAGCGTCGCATTCTGGAACAGAGCTTGTGTGGGAGATATCATATAGTCCCCGTCCCTGTCTCTCTTACACCCATGGGCCATGGATCACGAAGGACGAAGATCAGATGGCGTTTTTTTTGTTGTTTTTTTTGTTGTTGTTTTTTTTGCGTCGAGCGTCGAGCGTCGAGCGTTGAGCGCCTGCGTCTCTAGACTTGGAAGGCGAATATCCTATCTCAGATCTGTAAGGACTGCCTTCACACCCTAGTCAGTTTGATAGAGATAGGTGAACCCTGCGACGGCCTGCATGTTGCGATATCGCGGGCATCCTCCGACTTGGATAGAGGCTCGTCCCAGATGCAATTTAGTCTCTCTTTTCTCGTTCTTCTTTCTATCTCTGCTTCTTTATCAAGTCTGTTTTCGTGCTACTGATAGACCATTGTGCGGGGTTTTTTTTTTTTCGCGGGCTTTGTTGGGCCTTGCGATACGGGAAGATGGTAGGACATGGGGTAATGGAACGGGTTGAAGATCATGGCGAGTCAGACAACGTCTTGGCTCTTGCGGGCTGACAATACCCGCACATAGACTAGCAAGGCGTTGGATGTTGGATCGTCTCCCCGGGATAACGTTAACCACATCACAATTTGATGTATCCAACCTTTAGAGGATGTATAGCGGTCACTAGGCTGCTTAAGCCTAGCATAAACTTCGAATGCAGAGTATGTATCGTCCAGAGGGAGGACGTTGGGCGGCAGGAAACCTCATTGAACTTCGGTGTACACCAGCTAAACTTCGACGCCGGCGGAAATACCGACCGGGGAGAAAAATGTTTTGACCTTTTTTTTCTTCTTTTTGGCTGTTGTTCGGCCGGGGAGATTAAGGGCGGAGGGATGGTATCTGCCGAGGGCCGGGCGGGTAAGACGGGTATCTTTTTTTTTTTTTTTGACCTTTTGTTTCGGGCGGGATCGCTTCCGGGTCCGAGCAGAGTAGCAGACGGAGGCGCCGTTGAGTTTTGATGTTTGCTTCTTGAGGACGGATAGTACTCTGAGACTCGGTCAGATGAACTGAGGGTATTGTCTTCTTTTCCTCTCTGTCTTGGGTCTGATTGTGTTGGTGCTTGAATGGAGAAGGGGAATGTTTTGACGGGTATCGTGATGGTCTCTGGTTCGAACCTGCACCGAAGCGAGGTCAGTATATATATACAGATGCGGATGAAGATGGCCCGGAATCTCTCCCAATTTCTCTTTCTATCTTGCTAGGGTATCTCCCTAGTGTCATCGAGGCCTATGACTGGTAAAGTACCAGAATCTTCAACCACGGGTGATACTACAGCTTCGTCTTTAGACCTCTGAGAGCGACGGCCATATCTCATCCACGGCGCATATATTGATGTTGTCAATTACCAGCGTATAGTCTTCTGACAAGTGAGAGTAGGGAGGAAGGAATCATCTTGGATTCAGACACTTGGGCTTTCTGCGTCCGGCGAGCTTCACCTACAAGAAATGGCGATAAGGCTCTTTGACGAGGAGAAGCTTGAGAGTTCAGGAGACCTGTTTCAGGAGGCTTTTTATGCGATTCGTTTTCTCACTTTTGATATGATGGCCGACTAGGAACTGATATATTTGCCCCTTGAAACCAGGGAAAACTCGATTAGCACTCTCCTCCATACTGTGAGAGTCGAGATTCCGGGATTGATACCTCACGAAATTGAGAGGGGTTATGCTGAATGAAGGTCGAAGGGCTGAGGAAGAATATACTTCTAATCTGGTTTATGTGCTTCATGATTGCAAGATAGTCTCATGATTTGATTCAAAGTGACATCTCACGCACTTAGAATGCCTACTTCCTTTCCGTCTTTGGACTTGAGACGAGCTTCATGAAAATGAGGAGGCACACAATGACCGACCGGGGTACGTTTGTTCATATGCAAGTAGGATATCCAAGCGAAATCTATCAATAAATGCCATGACGGGGGCAACACAATGCTCCTATTGGAAATATATCTAGCAGTGGGGCGCTTTCTCTCCGATACCCTCGGTCTCTTCTTCAATAGCAATAGCCACCACGGCCTCTTCCGCGACCTCTCCGTATACCAACCGGTGTCTTATCCGCAGCGGCTTGATCTCCTTAGCAAGCTCAGGTCCGTCCGTCTACATAGTCTTCGGTGATAGTGCAATGTACCTCGAGTTCCGAGCCATTGTCAACACATAACCCAGAATCTCGTGCCCCGATGCCAGATGGATTAATAAAACGCTGAAACAACCGCATGCTAGGAGGACGAATGTGGATATTACACAAAGCCCTATCCAGAACTTTGAGACCACGAAGACCTCTGAGCGGATAGCTGTAAGCCATTCAATCGGAATATTGGGTATGAAAGCCTCCTCAAAGTTTCCATATTGCAGCTGGCTTATACATAGGTACGTGTTTAGAAGCCTGAAACGAGGCCCAGTCGTTCGTAGATCTATATTATTGATAGTCATACTTGGCCCCGTTCTCATGCGCTCGGAGATCGGGTCACGGAGGTAGTGTAAGGATTGGTCAAGGGTGTTGGTATCGTTATATGACGAAAAGAACAAGCTGCAGACCTAGTCCATGGTTTTCACAGTCCATCTTGATCTTACGCATACTCATTCATTGAGTTCACGTTAACGAAATGATGGGAAAAGATCACGCAAACACCACAAGTTCAAATTTATCCCAGTCTTGATATTCATCTAAAGCCGTAGGAACAGCAACATACTTCATATTTCCATTGAGCCCCCAGAACATAGATCCATCCCCAATCACACGGCCTCGTAGCTCCAATCGAGATATCCCACTTCAAAACCTATCAATCCAGATGTACAGTGTTGAAAAGCCGATTACCAGTGTCCGTCCCACCGCTTCCAGTGAACTTATTGTCCGACAACCGAAGTGCGACGAGACTGAGGTCTCCCTCACAGGCAAGTGGCTCCAAGACATTCGACATAGCCTTGGCTTGAACCACACCGGCAACAACGACGATGCGAATACCCAGTTCCAGCCCCCGAATGTGGTCAACGAACTCCTTGATCGATTTGCCGCTGTTGACCACCGAATCAACCAGAAGGAGCGTTGTCATTCCTCCAAGGGTCTTCTTCGTGAGCTCGGTGGCATGTTTGGCGTGGATGAATATGGCACCTGGAAATGCCTCGCCGACGCCAAAGGCCATGGGTTCGCCACCGCGCATAAGAGCAACGATGGCTGTTCGACTCTCGTCGACGAGGCGATGGCCATCGGTCTTGTAGCCCTGAACATGAGGTATTGGGAAATATTCTAGTCCGAGCAGCTCCGTCAGAAACTCGGTGGCGAGGTATCGTCCAACATGCCCATGGGCCGCTCTAAGACTAGGACCGGTCACAGACGCGTCGCGTGTCGGAGTCATGAGGAGCTTGGTTGCACTCTTCTTCGTGGCGTGCAGAACTCGGAGGTTGGCGTAGCGATAGAGGAAAGATTCCATGAAAGCTTGGCCAGAAATGTCGACAATCGGCAACTGATCTGGAGTGAGGCGGGGTGTAGAATGATTCGGGATCAAAGCCTGTCTCGGAAGAAAGTCCTTGTCGTCAGCGATGGCCTTTGCCAACTCAGCGTCCATGGTTTTGCTCCTGAAACGCTTCTCGCCGACGACGACGATAGCTTGGTCGGCCATCTTGAGCATGGGAAGGTCAATCGGACTGTCTCCGAAAGCCCAGACAGACACACCTTGGGCTTGGATCTGAGAGACAACAACGGCCTTGGCCTCAGGAGTAACAACATAGCCATCAGCGAAACGGCCCCCGCCAATAATCTCCACGCTGTCATCGAGGCCCTCTCTCTCCAATATCAGTTTCCAGATTTGACGAAGGCCACACGTGACGATGACGATGCCCACGCCCCGATGGCGCTTCACGGCGTGAATAAGAGCCATGAACTCCGGATATAACGAGACAGCAGAGGCGACTTCCTCGCATATTTCGTCGAAAGCGCCGTCGACGTAATCGTATAACGACATTGCCTGGTTAAAGGAAGCAAAGGAGTAGTTCTTCTCGCTGAATAGCCTCTTCAGGGGACATACGGGGTCATCCCAGAGCCAATGCCCTCCAAAGGTCTCTGGAACGTCCCAGATCCGATCCTGGTCATGGCTCTTCAAAGTTGCTTTAAGTCTCTCCCAGAACATCGAGCCCGTATCCGCAGCGCACAGCGTTCGATCCGCGTCTAGAACCAACACCGTATCCAACAGATAGCCGTCTCGGTCCGAAAACAGCAATCGGTCAGTCTCCTTTCTTACACGACCAAGGTTTTCTTCGTCTTGTGTCACAAGATTGCGTAACATGTGTTGAATGCCATCATAAGAACGCGGCCCTTCGAGATGCAGCGGCATGAAATACATGCCATTCAGACGAGAGAGACGGGATAGACCGGCCATCTCGGCATTCTGCCACTTGGAAAGGTGATTGGGCTGCAGATTAGGGCGGCTTCGACTTTCATCGTCCTGTCGTTGACCCCATAGCCTGTCAGCGGGCATATCCAAGTAGAGGATGTGGGTGTAGACGCGTCTGTCGCCCTCAGTCCACACAATCTTGCGGGGAGAATTATTCTTGTCGTTCCAGAATGAATAATGACCGGTGACGATGCCAATACGTCCAGTAGTGGTACATTCATCGGCAATGAGTTGAATGGCTCGCTGTCGTTGCAGGTTTCGAGTGTCCTTGTCGAGTCGCTTGAAAGCTTCCAGACCGCCGTCGACGAGGTTTCCAATGACCTCGGATCCCTCATAGTACTGGAACTGATTTCCAACACCGAAGTATGTCTTGAGATGGCGCAGGACGTAAGACTTGCCACTACCAGGAAGGCCATAGAGGCCAACGACAATGGGCTTGTTGATGGAAAGAGTGGTACTAGAACTGAGTGCAGACATCCTGCTAATGGTAGGCAATGAGTCGTTAATGCCATCTAAGAGAAAGTAGCTAGGGAAGAATGAGGTTCGGTCGATAGAGTAAGATTAGGTGGATACAGTGCGGCTTATATGCAACATCGAAGCCTTCCTCAGCTGTCATAATCTGGGAGGAAAGAGCTTCCTGGGGGTCAATCATGAGACAAATGACGTGAAAGGCCTTTGGTTTGTTTGAGGCAGTAATGATGCACAATGCTAGAGGTGGGAGGTGTTTGTTCGCAAGATGGCAACTTGAGTTCCTACTGACGTAGCGGCTCAGGCCAACTCCACACTCTTGTCTGCCTACAAACACAGGAATTTTCCGTTCAATTTGTGATCGTGGATGTTCGGCCATCATTCGACTAGTAGTGATTCAGCTGGGACATACATCGGCGTTTGCCTTGGGAAACACACCACAGCATTTGGAGGCCTTGAAAGCGACTTGTCGCAAGCTCGATAGCTTCAATGCTCTGAGAAACGTAGCTTTGGTAATATGTGATCAGTAAACAACAAGGGGTTTCCGTATAAGACATCACAACAAACGGCAATGCGAGTGCGTTTGTGCCCGCTTGTCCCCTTCTGAAGAGGCTGGCTGCTGAGGCCAACACGGTACGCGATGTTGACGACTGCCTCTCAATTCCCTAGGGTGATGTGTGCGTCCTCTTGATTCAGGAAAATGACAAAAATGACAGCTGGTCTTCTGAGCTGGGTATACATAGGCAGTACAACAAGCCGCTGATGGAGAAGAGCCTGTCGCACGTTCGATTTACTCCTGATGCATGTTCTGAACAAAGATTAGTCTGAGTTGATCCCCTTTCTTGGGTTCAGATGAAACTACATTACATTACGTTTCCTTACATCGAGAGGGGTATCATATGTTCTATCATACAAAAGTCCATTCCGTGAGACTCAATAACCCATGTAGCATCCCATCCGTCCATCTAAATGTGTTTCGTTCCCTCTGTCTTGGATCCAACCGCCGTAACCTCATCCTCCTGCCTCAAGACCGCACCATCATCACCACGACTCAGACTCCGCCCCCTCGGCTTCTCGACATCCTCAACGTCCCGTTCGCTACCATCGTCAAGTTCCTTCTCCTTCTCCCTCTGTGCCTCGGCAGCAACGGTAGCCGCCATAACCCCAGACACCCCTCCAACAGCAGCCGCAGCCGCAGCCGCCTCGGCATCCTCCTTGGCCTTCTGCTTCGCCTGCTGCTCCTTCTTCACGCTCTTCCACTCCATGCCGGCAGCGCCGATGAACACGGAGCAAACCATCACCAGCGCAACCACAAACACGACCCGCAGCGCTCCGTTGTACGCCTCCAGCACTGGTCCCCTAATGTTATCAGGCAGATCCGTCAGCGATGTCGCGCCGGTGGTCTGCAGGTTGATCCCCTCGAGCCCAGGCAGCCCCCTGATCCTCTTCACGAGCTCGTTGTTCAACACCGTCTGCCCAACCGAGATGAATATAGCGCCGCCGAGAGTCTGCGAGAAGAACATGATACTTGCGCCCACGGGCACATCCTTCAGCTTGAGCACCGTCTGCGCAGCGAGATTCGGCGCCTGGAACGTCATACCCTGTCCGATACCGTAAATAACCTGGTACGCCGCCCACTTGGCTGTGCTCGTGTCCACCTCGAGGGTCGTCATCATGCCCGCGCCGACGGACATGATGCAGATACCGACCAGCATCACGGGCGTGTAGTATCCAATCTTGGTAATGATACCTCCAGATACACCCGCGAAGACGGTCATGGAGAGAACCATGGGGAGTGTACGGACACCAGACTCGACAGCCGTGAAGCCCTTGATCGCCTGGAGCCAGATGGGGAGGTAATACGCGATCAGCATCATCTGTCCGCCGAGGGAAAATGCTGCCCAGGCTGCGAAGGCGATGGACCGTTGGCGGATGATGCGCGGTGGGACGGTTGCCGTGTTGGGGAGGAGGATCTGGATGGCGATGAAGGATAGGAGGAGGACGACGGCGAGGACCAGCAGGGCAATAATTCGCCCGTTGCTCCACTGTGATTCCATCAGCCTATGTTTCCATATAGAGAGAAACGGGTCGAAGAGGGATAATAGGGGATAAGATATGAGTGAGAGGAATGGGAAATCGTAAGACTGACAGCATACTCAACACCACCCCATTGCAACGCAAGAAGCAAGCAAACAACACCAGGAATAAACACCGACGTCCCCGCGAAATCCAACTGCTTCAACTTATCCCACAACGAAGACTCGGCAAGGTTCTGCTCCGGCGGCCTCATCACAAACGCAATCACCAACAGCGCGACGCCCCCCAGCGGCAGGTTGATGTAAAAGCACCACCGCCAGGTAACCTTTGTCGTGAACGCGCCGCCCAGCAGCGGTCCGATAACGGACGCGATACCAAACACGGCCCCGAAAGCGCCCTGGTACTTGGGCCGGCGGTGCAACGGGACGGAGTGGACCATGACGACGATGGTGCCCGCAAAGATACCCGCGCCGCCGACGCCCGCAATGGCGCGGCCGACGATGAAGGCGGCGCTGTCGGGGGCCGCACCGCAGACGGCGGAGCCGACTTCGAAGAGGACGACGGAGCAGAGGAAGACGCGCTTGATGGGGAAATTGGCGTAGAGCTTGCCGAAGAGGAGCTGGAAGGCGCAGGTTGTTAGGAGGTAGGCGCTGCCGTACCAGCCTATGTCGGTGACGGAGTGGAAGTCATCTGTGATTTGTGGGATTGCTGTCGCGATGATGAGGCGGTCCTGTTGGTGGTTTTAGTCTCGTATGAAAAGGGGGGTTGAGAGTTCGAAGGGAGGCAATACCAATGCGACGAGGAACATTGACACCAAGATCGAGAGCATGATGAGAAAGAGCTTCACGCCCTTTGGATACTGGATCGAGCGCGTTGTCGAGGTGTGCGTGAGAGCATGCTGGGCGGGTTGCTGTTCCTCTTCATCGTGAATCTTGCTCGTCCGTGATGAGGCGGGTGGTTCGCTCGCTGGCGTCGCGGCGACGGCGACGGCGCCCTTGTCGCGCTTTTTGAAGAACATGGCGATAGTGCTAATTCGTCGTTCGTTCGTAGTCGTACAATCCAGGATATCCAAACCCTCTTAGTTTTTCGTCCTTCTATTTCTGTTTCCCAAAGTTGTTGTTCGTCTGTTCTCGATGCGTGGTTGACACTCTCAATATAGGATCTACCCAGAGTGACTCATTAATACTATCCCAGATCTCGAAAGCCCTTTTGATGTGAACTAGAGGGGTTGGTGGGGGAGCTGTAATAAGTCGACGATAATGAAGAGACAAGGAGGCAAACAACACATTCAAAAAAAAAAAAAAAAAAGAAAGAAACCGTCATCTCAAGTAATTATATTGCATTTCCCCTAAACAAGACAAAACACGCCTATTCGAAACGAACAAAACGAATTACCACCAGAAAAAGGACGTAAGAAACGTCCGGTCACGACGCAGGAAACGACCTAACGCATGTCCGCATGACGAGGACGACTCACATCCAACACCCGTTCGGGGATTTCTATTCTCCTTTTCTCTCTTCCTCGCATCCAACCACCCAATGAAAGAAAGCCCCCCCAGACCAGTTTTGCCCTAAAAGAGCCTCCAATCTTGGCTCCCGCCCGCCCGCTTCTGTCTAGCCACGCGACCTTAGACCCCCAAAGATCCAAACTTGAATGAGTCTAGGCCGGTGTGACTCTAAGCCAGGCCTTTCATTCCGAGTTGTTTCCTGGAACGGGGCCTGGTTATGAGGGACTTCTTCGCGGCGCATGCTTACGTACCCACGCTGACTTATCCACAGGTCAGGGAAAACAATCCAACGAAACAAAAGGCCAGCCATGCTCGTGTCTTGGCTTCTTGGGATCGTGAGGAAAATCATACCCGCCCATGTGCGGATATAAGGCAGACGCATAGGGAGGTAAGCAATCGGCCTTGAAAATGCCGACTCCCCAATTTTCATTCCTGAACTGGTGCAGTAAAGCCTCGCCGGGCAGGTTTGAACCCAGCACACTGGCCCGTTAGTCGACGCCACGCGCAGCTGCAAGTGGAAAAGAGGAAAAACGAGGAAAAAAGACGACACGCATGAAAGGAGTCGTCGACTCGTCGTCCATGCTGCCATCAGGCCAGACGGGGCCGAGCGGGCTTTGGTAAGCTCCAGGTGAGAGTCTGTTAGCCCGCCTTCCTTGTGTTGTGACTCTTGCGTGGCTCATCAGACAATAGAACAGGCGGGCATTAAACCGGCTTAAACCAAACCATTCGAGAAACCCAAGCCACAACCTCGGGGATTTCCTACACCAAAAGTGGTAAAGACCCAACCAACCTCGGTCCCGAACACAAGGGTCGGCCCACGGGTCCCTCGTTCCCCGACGAGCCCGAGCCTCCGGTTCTTGGTGTTCTGCGTAGGTACCAGAGAAACTTGGCCGGTCGTCAGGTTCTCTCACCCCCGTCAGACCGGCGGTCAAATTTGCCCTCCGCGGAGGTAATGTTCATATAACTCTACGGATACAAGTTCATGTTTTCCCATCAAACGGGACGGCGGGTCGGGTAAGTATCCCGCTCCGCTCCGTCCAAATAACACAGCCCTCAGCCCTCAGCCCTGAGCCCGCACATCTCCTTTCCGTCCCCCGGTTCCTTGATTTTTGATGATGTTTCTATTGACTTCCCGGATATTACCCACCTAAAAAAAGACAATTATGTCTCCATTTGCGGATAGCTCCCCCTTGCCCATCGGGCAACATTGCAGTTTTGTTCCTTGGAAGGAAGTATCTAGTAAGACGGGCATTCGGCGGATATGATATGCGCAGCAGATGGATCAATGCCTCTCTCTCTCTCTCTCTCTCTCTCTCTCTCTCTCTCCCATGAGTGATGATCCTGTACTCTGGAGTACCTTGGTAAATAGTAGAATTGTTTCGCAAATCGCAAACAGGCGGGGGGGGGGACTTTGATTGTCATTCGTTGGGGGGTTTTGCGACCAGGGAGTAAACTGACGAGTCGTTCCACCTGCCTGCCCGCGTCGTAAGCCCATAGGATCGCATATGCAAGTCTCGTATCCTGAGCGGTAGGCAGACAGGCACCAACAAGACTAAATGACGTTGTATGATTGAACGGATAGAGCCGTAAACAGTGAAAATCGTGTCTTCTCGGAATAAGTCTCCGCAAGTCGCCGATGAAGACAACATCACTGCCAATCGTACCCCTTTTCCGGTGAGGAGGGAGCCAAAGGCCCAAAGCCGACAAGTTCACCCAGCTCGACAGGGGCAGGTTAGTCAATCATCATGCCAACGGCTTCCGGACTGCCTGGAGAAGGGGGGTGTGCGCTTGGTCGTTCCATAGACTCCCGTTTATTTACCATTAGGTAGCTTCGTCATCTCATGGTACTATCGTTACAGAGGTGGGAGAGTTGTCTCTTTGTAAAATCCTAACACCAAAAGACAAAGACAAATCCAAAGAATGCCCCAAGTAATGATTTCCCGTCTCTTTCTAATTCAACGAGAGATTGATTGTAGATACCCGGGTCCTTACACCCCCCCCTGACCAAGTTCACTCCCTTGACTTTCCCATTTTCTACCCAGGCACCGGAGCTAGCATGACGTGAAATCCCAATGATGCCGCACGTTCACCATCCCCTATTCGTTGGTGGCACGCCGAAATTCCCAAATTGCCCAAACATGTTTGATGAAGACTGCTGGTTCATGTTGCCGTTGGGAACACCCAAGTCCGCCCACATATCCAAATCGTAAAAGTTTGTAGTGTCAAGGAAATTGCCGAGGAATTGGTCCATGGGTTGGTCGTGCCTCGGAGGAATCTCCATCTTCATCGTCTGTGCCGGCGAGGGTCCGCAAGACGACGCTTCCGAGCTCGTCTGAGGCACGATATCCTGCAGTCGGGGGATAGCAACCGGTGTATCGTAGGGTAGGCCGAGTTGGACCAGAGCGCGCTCTCGTGCCCTCCAGGCCTTGAGCATGTAAACGCCCAGCTGCGTGTTCTCCTTCTTCGACATGTCCCACAGCTCCTCGTGGTACTGATATATCCTGTCGACCACCTTCCAAGCGCGGTCGGCCAGCTTGCCTGTCGGTCTCTTGTAAAGCTGTCCAGCCATGACGATGAAGACGTCGATTTGGAAATGAAGCTTAAAGAACCACACAAAGCCAGTGTTCTCCATAAAGTCGTACAATTCGACGTTGTGCTCGTGGTGCATAAGCGATATCCGGAACATGTTGTCCTGCACGTTGAAGATCTCTGTGCCGAACTCGGGCAGTTCGCGCATGGGGATCATCATAGCCCGCATCTTGTCAGTAACCATGGATCGGATTTTGGTCGCTACGATGTGAATGTTGCCGGCAAGGGGATCGCAGTATCGCTTTTCGAGGGCTACGAGTTTCGCATCGAGATTGTCGACCAATGTCCGGTACTTGGCAAGCGAAGTCTGAGTCGCCAGTTGGGAATCTTGGCTGTCGTTCTCCATAGCGCCGAGAACGACGGCTTCGAAATCGGGGATACGGTTTTCGACGATAAAACGACCGACTTCGTACAAGAGCAGGCAGAATGCCATTTCTGTCGGGCCTTCACGAGGCTGGACGGGTTCGGTCGATCCGGGGAAGAGATCGGCATCGTTTACGTTCTGCGGCGTATTCGTGTCCCAGTTCCATGGTAGTAGCGTGTCGCAGAATCCCGAGACCATAGCATATTTCGTGTCCAACATGATAATCTGCCACCACAGTCGTCGTCGCATTTCCGTCTCGTATGGAGTGAGGTTGAGCAAATCTCCATCCCTGTGAAGTCCCATCTTTTGCGCAATACGGATTAGCACACCACTGAGCACCCAAGCCGCGTGGCGGTTATATCGCCCCTGAAGAGAGACCTGTTCCCGGTTAGTAAAACAAGTTAACTTCCAAGGCGGGAAAAAACCACTACGGACCAGGTACAATATCAAAGCTTGCAGCGTCATCAAGTCGTGGTTCTTGAGGAAGTTGACCTTGGTTAAAGCCGCCTTGACACCAGCAGTGAACTTCTTGAGGGCCTCCTCTTTTGACGCATCCAGCATCTGTCTGGCTTCTGCCTCGGTCATGGTGAGAGATGCGACGAGGTAAATGGCAAATAGCAGAGCCTGGGCGTTGTTCGCGACATTCGAGTGGTTCGCAGCCGCTTCCACAACCAGGGGTTGCAGACTGGGCACGTGAATGAGTTTGGTGATTGGGTTGACCCTCTCCAAAAACACCTGCCAAAGTCTGAATATTTGAACGGGAGATGGGGTGACATCTTCCAGGTCGATCGCGGCAATATCGTTCAGAAGAAGATCTACGTTGTCGTCGGGGGTCACGGCGTCGGATCCTAGAACACTCTGTTCCTCTTCCTCGGCTTCGATGATTTGTCGCATTGCGGTCAACTACGAAGAGGTCAGGCCTAGCCGGCGCATGCAGGGAGCGCGCGATGCGTCGAAAGCAAGCGCATCGGACTACAAGCTTCGTGATTACGCACCTGATCATGCACTGTTGCCCAAACATAACTGTCCATGAAGCGGACGCTGCCATCTTCAACTACGACTTTGCCGGCCGGCTTCCAGGATGTCGCGGGTGGAGATGTGTCCTCGGATACTGAAGCGGACCCCGAGGGCAGTGGCAGCTGTGGCATACTCGGCGACGGCCCAGCCGAAGAAGGTGTGGCAAAAGTCATGGGCGAAAGAGTCGCCGCCGTCCCAGGAGGCGTCGTCGTCGTATCGCTACCTGTCGTGGCATACTGTTTTAGTAAAGCCTCGCATCTGGCGAGTCTTTCTTGTAAGTCCTGGTTTGGCCTCCTGCGCTTGCGTGCGGGAGCCGGCGTTGAAGGTGTACATGTGACGTTGGCCTAATACGAGTCAGAACGTATTCGGAATTCTGTATCTGTACAATGAAGGCGGCGCACCTTTATACAGTTAGAGCAGGGGGTGTTCCGGTCGCATTTGATCTTGCGATGTTGGCAGAGAACACAGGCCAGAACCCTTTGGCTCTTGTGTTGACCGGAGTTGGTACTCATTGGTAGGGCTGAGGCTGAATGGCCTCGTGGTTATGCAGTAGTTGCCACGGGAAGAGTTTGAGACAGGACGGCGTCGTCCATGAATGGGGGGCAACGAGACCCGACCAAGTCTTTGACACGCGTGGGCGCGAGGCCCTTATGGATGGTTCCCTGGCGGGCGAAGTCCGTCGGTAGGATAGTTGCAAGGGGGATCCGTTCTAGTGTATCCGTAGTAGAGAGAGGAGAAAATAAAGATGTGGCGACGAGCTGAGACCCGAGGGGTAATAAATGCAAACGGACCTAGACGCGACCCCCTAAAGTGGGATGAAGGAAGCCCCCCCCCCTCTTTGGCGAGGCTCACACAAGGCGGGCGCGTGCTGTGATCTGCCGCAGTACCAAAGGTAAAGTTTTTGGCTTAGAAATTGGCAGAAAGTGGAATCCCGGGTTTCCTTGAGTCGCTTGGGTGGTTCCAGACGTTGTCGATGACCAACCAGGGCGGAGATGGGCGCTAGAGACAACGACTTTGAATCGTTATGCTTCCCCGAGTGTGCGGTGCGGCGAAAGAAAGGTAGGAGAGGAGGGGAGGGGAGGGTGTCTGTGAGTCTTTCAAGCCAAGCCGTACGTAGGAGGGTTGATCGTGGGCTGGTCCGGGACGAGCGGACGGGAGGCCTGGCCCAGGGTCGAGACAAGACAAGGTAGGTTGGGTTGGAAACCAGGGCGCCTTGTTTGAAAAGACGCGTGTGCAGCGGTGATGCGGGAGAAGAGGATGTCTGGCGGTAGATATGGATATTGCCTCCTTTAACCCCTGGGTTCGCTTTTAACTCACCCTACCCGTTTCTGGTGGGGATATGAGTTGCGAGGTTTGGTGGGATGGATGTGGCAGGGCTGGGCGTCAGATGTGAATGTAGGAAGTGAAGTGGGCGTAGAGTTTGAGGGTGAGGGCGGCGGCGGTGCGAGGAACGACAAGGGCTTAAGAGACTGTTGAGAGGTGTGTGAGGTGAGAGAGAGAGAGAGAGAGAGAGAGAGAGAGAGAGAGAGAGTGTGTGTGTGTGTGTGTGACAGAGAAGTGTGTGCTGGCAGCCCTGCCGGTATGTAGTCTGGTAATGTAATGTAAGGCAATGAGGCGTAGTCGCAGGACGGCGTCGGCGACAGCGGACCAAGAGAAACAAGTATGAAATTGGATGTCAAGGACTTGTGTAGTATGGTATGAATCCGTATGGTGAGGTAGAAAGGTAGGGTGGTCCAGCAGCGGAAACGGGCGCGGGTCTCACAGTCACTCGGCCTGACTCGTCGGGATTCCAGGAAACCCGATGCAGCGCAACCCAGCCAAGATGGAGAAAGTGACCACTCGTACGTATCGGCAGCGTCTCACCAAGGGTTGCTTCTTTATCCGTCTGGCTGGTTCTTGGGACTCGACTATAGTAGTTGCTCAGGAAGAAGTTGAGCTTTCCGTGCGTGATCAATGTTGTCTAGATGAGAAGAGAGTTCCGTCGTAATTCTGACAGGGACGACGTTGTTGCAGTTGCGAACAATTGGAGAACAAACACCTTTTGGAAAGGCACTTGACAGACAGCAAAGGCTTAGGTGGGTAGAATGGAGGGCAAGAGAAAAGACAAGGGCAAGTCAAACAGGACAGGACAGGAGGGGTGGTGGATGTTCAGGTCGTCGGAGGGAACGGACGAAACGGCGGAGGAATGACGCCAATACCCTCCCACTACAGATGTAGGCCAGATGCCCAGGTGGACTTTGTGCATGTGCGGTCCGTCTACTCGTCGTACTATGCGTCTATAGTAAGGTAGTAGCGGCAGCAGGTCCAAAGCGGCCGATGGAAGGTAAGAGAACCCTGAGACAGCCAGGGCAACCTGTGTGAAAGCTGTGTGAACCGGTCCACCGAGGCCCGGAAGCTCTGGGGTTTTGGTTATAAATGAGCGGGTGTGCCGGTGGGGAAGCGATCGGGGGTTCGAGGATCAAGGAAGATCAGCTCCAGGGTTCTCAACGGCGACCAACTGAAAGGTCAGGTTGCGTAGTGCGTGAACTGTACTCCGTAGGTACGGATAGAGGCAACGTGTGCGGATGCCGATGCAAGGCAGTAAGGAAGGGAAGGGTTGGATGGAAGCTGATACTGAGTAGATTGTGCTGAGGAACAAAGTAACGTGGGACGGAAATGGTCGATGCCGAAAGGAGTTCGGGAACAATTGGAAGAGATCAAGTTAAGGTGGGAGGTCCATGGTCCAAGGAAGTGGTCACTACATAGTAAGAGATATTTACTACCTATCCGGACGGATAGACATGAATGGCCATGAGAAGACAGGGGGGTGGGGGGGGTGACAGCTGAGAGGAGAGAGAGTTCCTGACAGATCCAACCCACGTCAAGGAGCTCTTTCTGCGGAGGTTCTGGGTGGGTTGAGGAGGAGAAATGACGGACGAGCATTGGATGGAGGGTGATGGAAGGCAGGTGAGCCCAGATGGAAACAAGAGGTCCGGGATCCATGCCATGAAGGAGCATGAGCCACCTTCCCCGCGCGCATATGAGGTAAGTACCCGTAGGAGCCCAGCAGTTAGACTGGCGTAACTTGAAATAACTCTGAGAAGCCAATCAACGGTTGGCTCCTATATTCATGGCCTCATGATGAGCAGCGGGCGATGCCCTGGGCGGCATTGCGTCAAGGCATGGAGCCGGACAAGTTTGCATGGGGCGCACTGCCGTAAGCAGGGTGGCATCCAAGGATCAAAGAACAATAAATAGGTAAGAATCCATTCCTCTCACGCAGCTGTCAATTGACACGTGTGATAGACACAGGGTGCCTTACTTGAGAGATCATGGTGGGCAGCTATCGGAGGGATACAGGCCCGGCCTTGAACAAATCGAACGCAAGCCGAGATCCAGGATTCCAGATGCCCGAAGTGCGAGGGGCTTTTTGCTCGCCGAATCCGTGAGTTTTACGGAGGCTGCAGATTGTGCACAAGGCAATCCCGTCGTTCCATTGCATGCGGCTCCATAGACTTGTGCACGGGTAGCAGCTACCGACGAGAGATGTGCAACTTGCACAAACCTTGCGGCATCTAATCACTCCGAACTTGACCAAGTGACCTCTATACTCTGGCACGTGCTGTCTTGCACAATGGAGACAAGCAAGCCAGATCCCTACCTACAAGTTCAGTCATCAACTGTCGGTGACATGCTGGTGATCGACATGTCGAGAATTCCTTACCAGAAGCGTCCGTATCAGCATTACCAGTGTCTTTAACAGAAGACCAAATTCCCCAGTCAAAACTCTGCTCTGCCTGCCTAGCTCTGTTCTTCATCCTCCAGAAGTTTAAGTGAGATCGGCATTCGTATTATTCGGGTCTGCTTGCTCATCGAAAGCTCACCGGTAGTGTCTAAACCAGTAATTGTATCCGCAGACAGAGTCTGGAGTCGCAGTACGGAGTAGACACTGGAGAGATTTGCGGAGTTTTAATCGACTACTGTAAATGCCCCGCAGCTCACGGCGGAATTACATGTCATGAGCCGGCCTTTATCTCCGTGATCCGGGTACAGCCGGCGGTAATGCCTGCGCCTGCGGATGTGGCGTCGTATTCGTTCCCGGAACTCGTCGTATTTCTCGCTTTTCGGATCACCTCGACACCTTGTTCATCTGTATTATGTAAGCCGTTATCACTATATCGATAAGATAAGATTATGCAGAGTCAGAAAGTCGATAAGAGTGCCGAAAAAGGTGCCGAAGCTAACCAATCAGACAGCACCCAAAGGTGATTCCAGAGAACGGCAGCGGCAGCCCCACCCCGGCATCGGTGACTTCCCCACAGACTCCAAATTTTTGGATCCGGCTACCGAACAAGTCACGACTTGACGACGTCGCGAATTGCCGGAGACCAAATTGTTGAACTTTCGGTCATTGGCCTACCCAATTGAAGTCGCAATGTTGCCCATTGTACGTGCGCTCTCTCACATGAATCTCCCATCATGTCGAGGCTCTACTGATCCAATTATCTCCAACAGAGAAGAACAGTGGCGCTTCACGCTGCGAGGAGCTGCCGTCGCAGTCTCCTGCAGCGCCAACTTCCCTCGCGATCGATCCGCCCCAGCTTCTACACGACGACGACCCGTCCCCGCCAGTATGCCTTCCACACACAACTCGAAAACGCCGCGACGGCGACCGACTTTCTCTACACATCCGCCCCCAAGGTCGAAAACCCCCAGACGTTGACGGAGAAGATTGTCCAGCGGCACTCGCTGGGTCTCGCGCCCGGCAAGAAGGTCCGCGCAGGCGACTACGTCACCCTGTCCCCTGGTGAATAATTCCCCCCTTCTCCTATGTATACGCATAAGAGGACCATAAGCGCATAGTGGCTTACAATTGGGAAGGGAAGTGCATGTCTCACGACAACACGGCGCCCATCAGCAACAAGTTCGTTTCCATCGGAGCGACCAAGATCCACGACCCCTCACAACTCGTCTGGACCCTCGATCACGATGTCCAAAACAAGAGCGAGGCCAACCTGAATAAATACAAAAAGATTGAAGAGCTCGGGAAGCAGCACGGTGTGGTTTTCTACCCAGCCGGGCGTGGAATCGGTCACCAGATTATGGTGGAAGAGGGTTACGCATGGCCTGGTACCTTGGCTGTCGCTTCAGACAGTCACTCCAACCACTACGGTGGGATCGGATGCCTTGGTACCGCGGTTGTTCGAACAGATGCCGCCGCCATCTGGGCCACTGGCCGCACATGGTACCAAGTTCCCCCCATTGCCAAGGTACAGTCGACTGTCAGCCATCGCTCAGGGGTTTGTCATTAATGTTACCCAGATCACTTTGACCGGAGTTAAGCCCCCCGGTGTCACTGGAAAGGACATCATCGTCGCACTTTGCGGCTTGTTCAACAAGGACGACGTTCTGAACCACGCCCTCGAGTTCACCGGCTCCGAGGAGACCATGCGAAGCATCCCCGTCGACGAGCGGATAACAGTCGCGAACATGAGCACGGAATGGGGTGCCCTGTCCGCGCTGTTCCCCATCGACCAGACACTGGAGAGATGGCTCCGCGCCAAGGCCACCACCGCGGCGATGCTCAACACAGACGCAGCCGTCAAGGGACGCTGGACCCACGAGCGCGTCGACGAGCTTCTCGAGAACCCTCTCACGGCCGACCCTGGCGCGACATACGCCAAGTCCCTCTACCTGAACCTCGAGACCCTGTCCCCCTTCGTCGCCGGCCCCAACTCTGTCAAGGTCGCGACGCCCCTGAAGGATCTGGAGGCGCAGAACATCAAGATCGACAAGGCTTACCTCGTCTCGTGCACGAACTCGCGTGCATCCGATATCGCCGCTGCGGCGCGCGTTTTCCGTGAGGCTGCCAAGGACGGAGAAACCGCCAAGATCGCGCCGGGCGTTTCCTTCTACCTCGCTGCGGCATCAACCGTTGAGCAGGCGGCTGCTGAGGAGGCTGGCGACTGGCAGACACTCATCGACGCAGGCTGCTCCGTATTACCATCAGGCTGTGGCCCGTGCATTGGTCTCGTAAGTTGATTGCCTCGTCAACAATTCATGATCCATATACTAATCCACTCATTATAGGGAACTGGTCTTCTTGAACCGTTCGTAGTGTCTCTCGAGAAACTTCTTTGGGAACGTCGGCTAACATGCATTCAGAGGCGAAAATGGAATTTCCGCGAGTAACCGCAACTTCAAGGGCCGTATGGGCTCCACCGAAGCCAAGGCCTACCTGGCCAGCCCCGAGGTCGTCGCCGCGAGTGCTTTGAACGGCAAGATCGCCGGCCCCGGCTGGTACCAGCAGCCCCAGGGCGTGGACAAGGTCATTATCGGTGAAGGCGTCGGTGATATCACCGCCGATATCGCCATGAGCATCGACGACGCCCTCGACCAGCTCATCGCGCAAGCCGACAGCATGATTGCCGAGTCTGAGAAGGGAGTCGCCGGTGCCTCTGCTCCCGCTGCTGCTGAGGAGCCAGCCGCCGCCGCGGAGAGCGAGGAGGACAGCTTGACAGAGGTCCTTCCCGGCTTCCCTGAAAAGGTGGAAGGCGAGATCATCTTCTGCGACCAAGATAACATGAACACGGATGGAATCTACCCTGGTACGTGAAAGCGGAGAAAACCCCCAATTTCCAACAAGGCGATCTTCTAACAAGAAAAAAACAAAAAAAAACAGGCAAGTACACCTACCAAGACAACGTCTCCGTCGAGAAGATGGCCGAAGTCTGCATGGAGAACTACGACACCTCCTTCCGCGACATCGCCAAGGCCGGCGACATCCTCGTCTCAGGCTTCAATTTTGGCACAGGCAGCTCGCGCGAGCAGGCCGCGACGGCGATCCTGGCCAAGAAGATCCCGCTGGTCGTGTCTGGCAGTTTCGGCAACATCTTTAGCAGGAACAGCATCAACAACGCGCTCATGGGCGTCGAGGTGCCCAAGCTCGTGCAGCGTCTCCGCGAGACGTTCAAGAACGAGGGCGAGGACAAGGTGCTTACGCGCCGGACGGGCTGGAAGCTCTGCTGGGATTTGAGGCGGTCCAAGGTTATTGTCACCGAGGGCAGTGGGGAGAGCTGGAGTGTCAAGGTTGGTGAGTTGCCGCCTAATGTGCAGGAGGTTATTGCCAAGGGTGGGTTGGAGGCCTGGGTTAAGGCTGAGATTGAGAAGTAGAGGGGATGGTGAATGAGATGGGGAGAATGGAGAGAAGAAGATCGAGATGATCTACGCTTACAACACTGTTTTGAGTACTGCTATTGGGATACAACGGATGAGGCTTGTTTGTAGATTTGGGTTCTAAGAAAAAAGTACGCAATACATTCGGGAGATTAAAGTATTCTACAGATGCCTTGACTAAATGACAGCAAGTGGCATCATCTCAGGAGCGTCGCACGCGTACCAAACCCATGATTTCCTTGGGGGCAGCTTAAAATGCAGTGAATCTGCCTCACTTATTAGGCATGATATGAGGATCGAGAGCCTCTCAGTAGGAGTAAAAAATGCAGTGAATCTGCCACACTTATTAGGCATGATATGAGGATCGAGAGCCTCTCAGTAGGAGTAAAAAATGCAGTGCTCCAGGGCTGGCGACGCTGCACGAAAGTGCCCCCAATCACCTCAACCTCTCTGGGAGGGGGTAAAAATTGCAGTGCTCGGCAGCGCTCGCCTCCGTTGAGCCTCAAAGGGCCGGAGCAGCTTACTCCGTGACCGTCCGCGCCGGCATGAGTTCCAAGGCCCCGCCAAGCTGGAATCGGCGGCAGAGAAGCCTCTGTTATACCAAGTAGGGCTGCTGCTGCTGCATAAAACCAGGAACGTCAAGAAAGCACCGGTCATATAACCACGACGTCAGAGGAGCCCAGAACAAGGAAAGGGAAGAAAAAAAAACTGTGAAAATGACATTTCCATCCTGTTCAACGGGATTCGGATTCCGAAAACTCCAGCACTCCAACATTGGGAACATCACCGTCCTCCTGCCGATCCGATTCCGCTGATCTGATGTTTGGGCATCAGTCCAGGTTCCCCATCGTCCCTCAATTGCCTGAAGCAAGCCAAAAAAAAAGAGTGGAGTTCATTGTTTTGGCTTTCCTCCTCTCGCTCGTTTAGCTCGCTTTCTGCAGGGAAAGCAGGAAAAGCGAAAGCGAAGAATACGACCGGGCCGGGGCAAAGCGAGAGGGAAACCATGTCATCCAACGAGCGAAAGATAGAGGAAAGCTTGGACAGAAATTCAGATAGGTTTTATGCTTATCCATACAAAGTTCAAGAAACTAAAGATGCGTGGGGTAAAAGCGAATACGATTTCCATCACATACCGTCCCGCGTATCCTCCGTACTTCGTACAGCCTGCCGCAGCGTGTTTATATAGGTGCAGCAAATACGCGGGAGGGGTCTTGGGGTTATTAGAGGACCAGGAAACAAGCTTTATGACATTCGATCTTGCTTACTCGTTGCTACCCAAAGGTTGGGTGGTGATCACCTGAGGGTGGAAGGGAGGGGGGAACGATCTAGGCATGTCGCATTCGGAGCCAGGACGAGCCGAGCCGAGCCTCACAAGATGCATGACTTCGGGAAGAGCAGACGACGAACATGGTCAGATGAACGGGCAAGGGATGAAGAGAAGATGAGCAGAGTTCTCTCAAGAATGAGTCTTTTTTTCTCTCTCGTTGATCTGACGAGTTTGGCTATCTCACGACGGCACATCAAACATGCCCAGCCCATCGACCTCGGTACTCGACCCTCGATCGCCCACGGAGCCGTCCTTCTCCTCATCAGCCTCAGCGGGCACGACAGCCAAGGGCCTCTCGGTAGCAACCAGCGCCCTCCTCTTCGTCTTCTTCATCAGCACATTGTGCCGCCGGCTCTTGACGTGCTTCGTCCAATCCTGCTCTGTGACGCACGTCGTCTTGCAGACCTCA